TTTTTTGAAGCTTATAAGTGCGATTAATTATCTGCTGTTGTGGTTTCTTTGCTTTTCTGGAGGTCGGTAGCCTAAAAAGTTGACAATACAGCATAGGCTTTTATAAGATGTCTGCTTCCGCCTACGCCTTTTTAGTCAACATTCAACTCATGATTCTTGATTTAGTGATTTTGTGTGAAATGTCATATTGTGTACAATATTTGGTGTTGTCATGACTGAATAAACGACTACTACTACTACAAAATAAAAATTAACTAAATTAGTTCATTAACTAACCAGCTAGTTGTTATAAATAACAATCTTGGCCTTAATAGAGGAGTAAAAATACTTATCCAATTAGCAGCACATCAATTTATGTCTTTATTTTCTAATAATGGCATCTAAGACATCATCACTGTGGTGTTTGATGTGTCAGTTTTAGCGCTGTAGCTGCTTATGTCTTAAGTCAATATTGAACCACTCATTTCAAGATTAATGCCTGCTTAACAAAATGTACATTGTTGTCCAGCCGGAGTCCAAGTGGGATGCAGCTTATTTACTAACAACACGCAGCGCTCCGTGCAGAGCGACACAGCAGATCAAGCTGTCTCCAGTTTGTACAGTATGGTGGCCACCTGGGTGCTGAGCCACAGCCGCCTCCAGACAGACTGCTGATGTGGACTTTCACTTCTATGTATAGAGAAAGACAGAAATAACCCATCCTAAACACCTGTGTTTTACTGCTGTGTTAGGTACAGATAAGCAGTACGAACACAGGTGAGCGCTCTCGGCTATAACAAACCGAGTCATCAGTGTGGGAATGTACCCGCTCAGCAAAGACACTCCTGCTTGCAGCACCGGTCGCCTGCTTAACCAAGAGAAAATTGCCACTACAAATCTTCCAAACATGGCATTTTACTTGCCTGTCGGCGATGCTGTGGAGCATGCAGGATCAGGGCGGTATTTCTTTGGCTTTTGTGTTTTTTTATAAACAGCTCAACCTCAAATACTGCGGGGATAGACTGATGCAACACATTGAAAGTCTGTATATGTAAAACACTGCCTTATTTATGACAGGGCTATGATGACATTCTGTGATATACTATACCGCCCTCCTCAGAGACTCACTACAAAACTATTATGCATCATATTTATAGCAGTTATGCAGCTGCATCTTTATTGCCTGTGTTTTCTGAACTCTGTTTGAGAAATATCTGATAGCTACTGTAAATTTTAGAGGTTGTAAGTTATTTAAGTTCAAATCTTATTTTAATATTCCACTCAGTATCAGTGAAAGTTTCCACTTTACAAGTATTACCCAAGGAACCGAGTGCACATAACAAAGAGAATATTAAAAGCCTTAAAATATTCATTAAGATTTATATGTTTAAAGAGCTTTTGGAGTGTTTACTTCAAGACCCAACACTCAAATGATTTATTGCAGTAATAAAAAAAATAAAAAAACACACACAAAGATACAGTAAGTACTGACAAGTAGAAGTAGAGGAATGAAATGAGTTTTTGCTGGCTGCTTTCGTTCCTAGAGGATCCACAAAGCTTCCTAACGGCTCACTTTTCTCTGACTCACCTCACTGCGGCCCAGAAATGAGATTCGTATCCAAACCACCACAGAGCTGGAATAAGCACACACATATTTTTACACCAAGATACACACAGAGATAAGCAAACCACAGCATAAAGGATGAGAAATATGGAAAACAAGTCATTAAGAGGTCGCCTGAAGCTAGCCTTTACAATAACAGAGATGGAAGCAAAATGTCACTCTGGAATATTTCATATGAATTGTATACACTGTATCTATTAGGAGGGATGTACTACTCGCCTCTTTCCCAGCATAGATCAATGCACTGGCTCCTCTGATGCTAATAGATAAACCTCTCAGGGTCAAAATAAAGATGTCCTCTCCGTCTGCGGCCTGATGGCTGTCTGTTCTCGGAACTGAACCATGAACGCGAGTAAAACTCTACCTGTCTGTTCTCCTTTTGTCTCCCTCTCCACCTGAAGCAACTCCCATACAAGATGAACCTTTCAGATCAGGTACTGAGAAGCAGCCGGCCGTACACCGCCAACACCTGATCTGTGTCTCCTTAAAAAAAAATAGACATATCATATTATTCATTTTGTTTGCATTTATGTGTGTTTGTGCGTGTGTGTGTGAAACAGAGTTCAACTGAGGAGGAGCAGCGGTTAAACAAGTCTACCTCTCTATTGGAGAGCCAGCACCACCACCTGCTGCACTGCTTGGAGAAAACCACCGTGAGTACACACACACACACACAATCATAAAACCTTTTTTGCATGGATTTATAAAGATAAATAAAGATAACATTTACAACCTTTTTTTTTATCTATACTCAAACAAAAATTAGGCTTAAGTACTACAGATGCCAAAATATTTGTATATAAACTGGATAAACCTCAAAAGTGCGCCGTCATCCATCTACTTTCCACTAACTGTGGCTCGATAACTAACACCACGGCTTTTAATCTGAGTGTCCTTAATCTCTATGGTGGCGTTATCATGCTAAAACTCACAAGATCAAGTCAGATTCACAAACCAGTCCAACACCTGTGTAGAAGAAGAGTTACATACATGAACTAGAAAAGCACTCAGAGAGCGCAGACCTCCGCCAAGCAGCTCATGTCCCCCCTTAAATTGTGATTCACACCAAAACCTTTACTGTTAGGTGTCTTTTATTAACTTTTATTTGTGTTTAAACTGGTATGTTCACTGTTCATAAAACAAGAAATGCCCAGACCCAGATTTGAACCCAGGACCTTCTGGTTATGAGGCGACAGTGCTAACCACTACACCACTGTGCCGCCCATTGGTCATCTTTCAGCATTGAAAATTCCAACGACACCCTTATTTTTGTGTGTTCTGGATCACAGTATCCGCAGTTTTGTCTGGATCAGGATCAACCTTTGACACCTCATAAAACTTATTGAGATCCTTTTGTGTAATATTTTACTGAAGACTCTGGACATTTTTATAGAGTAAAATGCAAAAATTCCAAAATTTGCCCTATCTCACAATGATGAAGAATCCTTCAAAAAATTCCTGGATCCAGAAGGCGATCCGGATGACCACCAAAATGTAATGGGATGCTCCTGGGGCCGAGACGCACCTCTGGTGAAAATTTCAGGTCAATCCGTCTGTAACTTTCTCTGTAAATTTGCTAACAGACAAATTAACAAACAAACCAATGCTACCGAAAATATAACCTCCTTGGCGGAGGTAATCAAGCAGCCATGTATACGTTTAAGGTGCTCTCACAGCACATACATGTAATGTGTACAATATCTGGGCCTACAAACACAGCAAGTGTGTATTTTTTTCTTCTGAGCTCACTAAAGTTTCTCCTTCTTACTTGCAAGTAGTTTTCTGGTTTTGTTTGTGAGGGTGGGCACAGTCAGGTATCCCTGATTATAATTGGCTCCACTGATAAAACCCTCTTTTTCTATGATTGGATGCTCTCAGGGTATGACTACAGGGATGTCTTCCGACACAGAGCTCAGTATGTGTGCACGGCTGTTTGCTCTTCCACATCTTTGGTCATGAATTTCCGGGCTCCAGTCTCTTTTGGTTTTGGAAGTTTCAGCTTTAATACGCCACTATATATCCTCTCCCTTTCATTTGCACAATTGTCCATCTGTATGTGATACAGACACAGTGTTTGTTGCCAAAACCAGTGAGGCAAGAAGAGCAACACAGCTGTCAAAAAACTGCTGAATCAGGTGATAATCTGTGTGGGTTCATTGCGTTGAGTGACACTTTCAAGCACAATTTCTCATGTGATTTATCGTTTACATAAAAGGAGTGATTAAAAGTGGCACCAGTTTCTATAAGAAAGCAACATGGAAAACTGAGTCAGAGCTAGGCTAACACAACACTGAGGAAGGTTTTCAATATTCGCACACCTGAGAAACACATTCCTCGAGGATTTATCGACCCGAGCTCTGAAGCAGAAAATGACAAACTATATAAAACCATATCAATACGCGGTCATAAATCTCAATGTTGTAAATGTCAAATCTTTTTTTTCCATGACTTACTCCCTCTGTTTTTGTCTCTTTGTCTTTATTTGTAGAACCACGAGTTTGTGGATGAGCAGTATTACCAGCAGAGCTACCTGGATGCAGGTTTGCAGAATTACCCGTCCCGAAGCCCCTCCCTCTCCAGCCAGGATGGCGTGACGGGCACCTGCTGCACCCGTCGGAGCAAGAAGCACCACTCCCCTTTACCGAACGCCAGTGCTCCTGCACACCTCCAGCCTTTGAAACACACGCACACACACCAACAAGGTTTGCAGGAGCTCAGCACCATACACATCCAGCCTCTCAGCACCAGGTGAGGAGAAAAACTCAGTCTGAGTGCTCTGGTGTTAAAGATTTGCTCAAATTGTTGGCTCATTTTACCCAAACATGCAGTTAAGGCCTTTTATAACAACTTTAGATTGTCCTCGAGGGTTTTTCTTATTAGACAAGGGCCTCCCCAAGAAAGTAAAACTCACCTCAACTGTAAGCAGTGATAGTTTGTGGTAGAAAATGTTTTCGTAGTCACTTTCCCTCAGCCAGAGCTGGTCTGGGACATCAGCTGATTACCCTCAATCACCATCTCATGTTTCTAAAGGTCTCATGTTACTCTCAATCACCTGTACCCACTCAAACAAACCACCCTAACTCCTTCCTTTCCTCCTCCCTTTCTGAAAGCCGCTCCAGTCTGAACATGCGTGTGGATGAGCAAGCCCCCCTGAACTGCCAGAGCAGCCAGATCACCACAGCAATCATCAGCATTCCCACACCGCCAGTGACCACTCCCGAGGGCGACGCTCCCCTGCCTGCAGGCCCCACCCACCAGAACGTTGTGAAGGTGTCCGCACTGTGAAGATTAGGGTGCAGATAAAGACAGATAAAGACTCAAGGAGACAGACTGAGGGACGAAGGAGGACGGGGAGGTGATGGAGAACAGAGCGTTTAGAGTCCTAGTCTGGCTGTGGTGGAGCCTGCCCTCTGCTGGTCATGTACTGTAATGACATGGACTCCTTCTGCAGACCGAGGATGGCTTTTAGACACAGTATATTCACATTAGTGGGTGTTTGGCATGCCTGTGTGCGCGAATGTGTGTGTGTGAAGAGTGTGTGTGTGTGCGCGGGGGAGTGGGGAATGTGTAGAGAGTCGTTCTAGATGAGGAGATGGGAGAGACTCCTCCTGAAGTAAGTCATGTGTCACTGTGCACAAAGCACCTTTTTATGATTTTCGCTTCAGTTTGACTGTTTTTAGCAGGAAGCATACAGGAAAAAAACTCATGTATTTCAAAACTTTTTTCCCCACACATAATTTCAATCTGTGGTTTTATCATTTTGGTCCACTCACCTGTTGATAGATGAATAATCCATCAGTCTTTTCCAGGTCCAACGATTCTCCACTTGAGCGAAAAACTCTTTAAAAGATGAAATATGATTGACAAGTCTGTGACAACAAGTTTCCAATTTGTGAATGAGTTTATGTGAATTTTTGCTAGCTAGAGGACTTGTGATGTATTCGGTAGAAGGTATGAGCCTGTGTGTGTGAGAGAGAGTGTTAGGAGTGTGTGTGTGTGTGTCTCAGTTAATTGAAATCCTGTGTTTCAATTCTTCTGGAAGTCTCTATGGCTCAGTATACGGTATATTTGACTAGCTGCCACTCTGAAGGGTTTAGGGAACGCTTTTGTGCCAGAAATTCTCAGCTACAAAGCCTTTTACACAACACGTGCCTGTTTTCATGGAGTAAAAAGAGATTGATCTGTTTTTGTGTTTTCCTGAATTCCCCCTCTCCTTGTTTTCTTTCCTTTTTACGGCTGCTGCAGCCTAGACCTCAAATAACTCAGTTATTTAACAAAGAAACTAAAAAAAGAAGAAAAAAATTTCAATTCAAACCACCACAGTTAAAAGCACAAGGCATTTGCTGAGAATTTCTGACACAAATAAGTCCTGGACCTGGGTTCTTTGTGAATATTGTTAATAGAATATTTTGTAATATTTGACCATCGTTTGGCAGAACCAGTGAAACTGTCTTCTCGTTCTCTTTCCCTCAGTCTGTCTTTCTCTCTCACTCTTCTTTCTCTCTTTCTCTTTCTCTCTCTTTCTTGTTGTTGTCCTGTTGTATCCCTACCTCCTGTGTGAACAACAGTATGCTTTCAGTAGTCTTTATAGGCGTCAATGTTTTTTCTTCTTCTCCCTGATCTCAGCGGGCATTTTTTCAAAGTTGTTGGGTATGTGTACTCTATGTGGATAGGAAACTTGATGTTTGTACTTTTTGTCCTCCTTGGTGTTTCAGATAATTTCATTTCCTTTATCTTCTCGAAGCGGGGGGAAAGTCTGTCGTAATGGTGACACCAGAGACATGGAGGACCCTGGCTGAGCAATCCACAGATCTCTGTCACTTAAAAACACATGTAACTCAGTCTGCCCTTACAAGTAACTGTAGTACTGCTTATCATCAAGTCCTTTCACAGTTGACCTTTCTAACTATGGATGCTGACCTTTTTAGCTCTGCTGACCTGCCAGCTGATGCCTCTCTGTTGGCCTTCTTCAACCTGAATGTCATCCAGCAGCTCCACAGACACATAGATATGTCTGTAGGTGGATGAGACCACTGCTGGTTAACAGGCTAAGCACCCATTTCTGCTCTGCATAGACGAAGTCAAATGTTGATCAAGAGCACACAGACAGGGCTACAGATGCGCCCGATCTTTCAGCATTCTGTCCATGTCAGTCAGGAGCATATTTCAGAAGCAATACATGAATTGGTCGAATATTATGTCCGCGCATATGTAGCTGTTGTAAAATTAGATTGTATTTGAAGCAAACTAGCAGCAAAATGTATCATGTTTTTTCTAGAGAAGTCTTCAGTTACCTTGAGATGAAGGTAAGGAAAAGCTTAACCAGTTTTACAAATGTATTTGTACTAAAACTTACGAAAAAAAAACTCATATCATCACTGCAGAAGCGAAACAAGTGGAAATATATTCAGCATAATTTGTACCATATCAGTGCATCATTACACAAGACCCCTTAGACCCCTCTGTTGTGCTTTAGTTCCCTCTGACTTTGACACAAAACAAAAAATACTCAAACTGGATCTGTTTAATCTCTGATATTCTTAGCAGTGACCTAGTACTGTTGCTGATATTTTAATACTGTACACAATGACTACAGCTGCCTAGATCCAGTTTTAGCGTTTAGCCAAGCTGTGTGCAAATTTACCCAGAGTGGAAAAAAAAGAAGACAAGCACAGGCTGGCTTTTTCAATTCTCTTTAAAAGGTAAAGGTTGAAGACAATGACTCCATATTCACAGCATCAAGTCCGACACTCAACATCTATTATCTACTACAACAAGAGTGTAATGTAGGTAAAAGGCAGAGGTGAGGTTCCTGTATTATTTGTTGCTGAGATAGAAATGAAACGTGTTTTATTTACCGCTACCTTTTTTTTTCCAAGACAGGTTTTTTATGTCAGCTGCACTTTAAAATGACAGCCTGGGTTATTACGTAAGAAACTCTCAGCTCAAAATGTCAAAGGATCACATTTGATTTACAAACAACAAAAGCAGAGGTCTGTGATTGTGTTTCTCTCTCTTTCTCTCTCTCTCTCTAGCTCTCTCTCTCTCTCTGTTATGTACTCTTCTTTGATTGTCTTCTTTCTGGGCTCAGTCAGTTTTCCTCTCAATCTTTGCTTTGCCCTCCTATGCCACCTGTCGTTGTTCAGACTACTGCTGTGCGTATCTTGTCAGGTGTTGGATATTATTTATGACCTTGTCTTGTGTCCCGACTGTGAAACGCCTGATAAAACATCTATATCTGCCACAAATACACAAGCTGTGGGCTCTCTTCTTCACCCGTCTCTGAATCACTCTGTTGTGTGAAGTCGTTGTGGCTTAAGTGGTATTTTCTACTCCACAAAGAGCAGTTCTTGTGACCCAAATGTTTTGAGCAGTGAACCTTCATGCTCTCAATTTTAAGGGGCACCCTGGGATGGCGGAGAGGATCTTGCTGAGTTCAGAGCGAAACTGTCTTGTGACTAAAGTGTAGATGAGTGGATCCACGGCAGCCTGCACACAGGTCAGCACCATCGCAGACGTCTCGAGCTCCATCAGCAACTGTAGGGGCAATGAGAGAGAGGTTAAAGAGTGCAGAAAGAATACTTGTCCAAAAAATGCTGCAGCATATATACAGTTTTTGCAGTTAAATGGTAAATTTATATTTGAAAGACCCCCTTGCAAGGTATTAAAACAGTAGAAAACAGTTAGAAATACCCATCATAGCTTTGCAGATACACAAGAGACATTTAATGTAAAAACTAATTTCCACCGCATCCGGAATGGCTATGAAATGTCAATTTCCACCAGCTTCATTCGTTTCTGCTGCGGATCACCGGACCCCGCAGCTGATCGCAAGAGTTTTTTTTTTTCTTTTTCCGGACGCCGGAGCATGCCGGATAAATTCAGCACACATTAACCTGGAAAGGAAGTCGGGCACAGACACAAAATAAAACATCCGGCTTCTTTTCAAAATAAAACACTCCGTGTTTCAGGTGGATCGTATTTCACACCGTGCAAACAGGTGGAGATGAACAAGTGAAAGGTTTTTAGACAGCATTTCACCCCAATGACACCATGGATGAGGACATGCTGATTTTATAAGTCCATATGGTTATACGGTTAGCGTATGTGGCTAAAGACAACTTGTTATCACGTGATTGCGCATGAATCCGCAGGTTCTTGTGAGTTCTTGCGATTCCTGCTGTGTGTAATCCGCCACAAAATTCGCCTCACAAACGGACCCGGTCGGAATTGGCGTATGTTCCGGATCAGAGCCGTTCCGGATGCGGTGGAAATCCCGGGTAATCATCAACTGCAGTGCTAAAATCGATAATTTTATGTGCCAAGCTAGGCTGTCTTACGTCACACTAAATTATGCAGTTTTAAGTGTTTCGACCTGAAAAAATAAAGCTACAGTATCATAAACTTGAAGTAATTAGCCATATCTAATAGTCAGATTCCAGATTTATTGTAGTGCCCCCTTGCTCACCCCTCCCCCTGGTGAAATCACATTGACCTTTGAGGACAAGAAGCTTCTGTGAATCATGATACGCACTACTGATCCTCTATTTGTCAAGTTTTTACCAACATAAACATCTGTTGATATGAATTCTTATGTGCAAAATTACAAACAATGTCTTGGTCATCTTCCAACTAGTGTGTTTAGCGTGGTCGCCCTCTGAGTATAAAAACACATATGTAACTAATTTATCAGGTGTGCGCTACTTTAGAAACATGGCAGTGCTAAATGACAGCCTCTATGTAAGTACACCAGTTCCTATGTAGATATACAAACAGTAAAACACTCTATACATGACGTCTATTCCTGGATTGCAGGATGGGCTGATGTGACATAAGCCCCCTTCTGAAAATCTGATTGGCCACCTCAAACTAGTAGGATATTTGCCTGGTCAGAGAAGTGGACATGTGTTCAAAGAATGTTTTGTTCTTGTATGTGGCCATCTATTTTGTTTCTACGTGCTTCTAGTACACTATAGCTTTGAAATGTCACGAATTAATTTACTGGCAATCAAATCCTAACTAGGCATGAGACAGTTCTGCAGTTGGGCCACCTCAGTCTAAAAAGTCTGGACACGCCCCTGCAGGACCGACAGATTTTAGTATTTTATGTTTATATTATCTGTATTTGAGATAAACAGCCTTAGTCTGGCAAAAAAGAAGAAAAGTTAAACTCACTTTGTCCGTATCCTGCCACGAGATGACGTTCATCAGCAGGAAAACCACCATCGGCACCCAGAAAAGCGTGAAAGCAATGATTATGTATCCAAAACGCTTGGCCAGTTTCCCCTCCATCTGTTTCTTCCCTCGCTCCTTGGCTCCTGGTGTAAGGAGACACACTGCACCCACTATCTCCGGAGGTCTCTCCGAGTTAACCCCTGGAGACGGGCCCGCACAGGGAGCGCTGGCTTGGGCCACCAAAAGCACAGTCCGGTGGGAAGGTAGTGGGGAGCAGGAGCCCACAGCGGCAAGAGACTTGAAGGAGGCCGGCGGAGCTGTTCGCGGTGCTGAAGCTCCCCACGCGTGCTCCGATACCGTGGGCCTCAGTTGGACTCCACGACTGAAAACTTTCTTCCGGTGCTGCCTTACAACTTTGAATATCCTCACATAGTAGATAACTATCACAGTTATTGATAGACCCCAAACCGGCACCAGGACGCAGGGTCCGAATGGATCTCTGTATGGAAAAGGCTCGTCCTTGGAAACACCAACGTGTGGACGACACAGCATGTAAAGAAGCGCTTTTTTGGATAGAGCCAAAGAGATGACAGCCAGTATGAGACCGCATGCCCAGATGGAGAGGATCCACACTCGAACCCTCGCTCTTCTCCCCTCAGTTTGGAAAGGAAACGCGATGGCTTGGAAACGCTCCACGCTGATGCTGACCAGCGTGAGGAGCTGGACGCAGCTGCACAGCGCGTAGGTGAACTGCTGCAAGGTGCACACAGACACAGACACCTGGCTGTCCTTACCGTAGCGGAGGAAGGAGAAGAGGAGCAGCGGGGTGTCCACTGAGCACTTGAGCAGATCACTGGCTGCCAAACTGACCAGCAGCGCGTTGTTGCACGTCTGCAAACTCTTTGTCCTGAAAACAACCCAACAAATCCACAAATTCCCCGGTAAACCCACGATTAAAGTCAGCGTTAAGACTGTGCAGTTGAAGATGGAAAACATGGTATCCATAAGAATCTCATTGTGCGAGCTTGTGTCATTCCATGAAGAGTGTGTGTCCATACTGTAACACAAATCCTCCCCTGGTGTTTGTCCACATTAGAGTGCTGCAGCTCAGATGGAGCAGATAGCACTATGGTGATTCCTTACAAACATGAGCAAGAAATGGTTAACAATATAAAAGCTGAAGTGGGCCCTGAGTTTAAACTAATTTATTCAAGTGTGTTTGATTTTAGTGTGGAGCAGCACTGATTGGGTGAATGGTAGGTGGCGCCGTGATTAGCCTGTAATCAGGAGAATGTGGAGTTGTCTGACCTTGCTGTGCCCCGCTGAAGAGGTTACATAAAGTAAATTGCACAGTTTGGTTCCCTCCTCTTCGTCTCTGTCTATAAACACCAGTTAGAGTAATGGCCAACAATGACAAAGACGAAAACTAAGTCTCTTAAAGAGTGGAACCGTAACAGTGAAAGGCTTCAATACATGCTCCGTTCAATTAATTTATTAGAAACAAAGCAAAAGAAATACATCGTTTAAGTGCAGTGTATAAACCCAGGAGTACTCAATCTTTACTGGGAAAAAAAATAGACTTCGTGATTATAAATACAAAGTCCAGAAAAGTCAGTGTTTCATCAGTTCTTCCATGTAAACAGCATTCATGCGATAGGCTGCCATCCAGTTGTGGGCCATGCTGTAGTAGCTTTGGTAACCTCCCTCTTGGAAAGCAGACATGGAGGAGTAGTAGTCGTTCCACGCTCTGTAGCAGCTTCTCCAGTAGTTTTCTGCATCCAACACCTCCTCTTCGTCTTCATCTCCATGTTGCTCCTCTTCATCTCCTCCCTTCCTCTGCTCTCTGTTCAAATCATCAGATACATGTTTGCTCCTTTTCTCCATCTTCTTTGGTTTGTTCGCGCTTGTTTTGGGTGGAGTCGTCTGATTTGGTCGCCGGCTGGTTTTAACAGCTGATCCATGTTTCTCGTTCTCAAAGGGGTGTGAAAAAGCCTGCCTGTTAGTCGCACAGGTTGTCTGATTGTGGATTTCTATTTCTTTTTTTGTGGACTCTACTTTTGGTTTGGTGATTTTAACTTGAGGTTGAACACTCTCCTCTGTTTTTGTACTCTCAGCATCTGACCGTGAGATTGATGAACCAGAAGCTGATTTAGGATGTGAAAATTCAGATTTGATCTTCTTCCTCTTTAGCTTTAAACTTTGAGTTTCGTCATCGTGGAGTATGACAGACTCTCTGTGCCTGCTCTGATCCTCAGTGCCGTCATCCTCATGACCTCTGAACTCCCTGATGATCTCCACTGATCTCCCCAGCCCTGTGGTGATGAAACTCTGGAAGTCCCGCTCGGCCTCTTCGAAGGTCATGAACCCTAACCTGCAGGTCTTGAATGAGCTGAGGGAAGGGATCTTTGGCAGAGCTTCTTGCAGTTCTTTTTGTGTCCGCACAGCAGGCACTTCCCTGGGATATTCTTCAATGTGTGCCTCCAGCCTGGGTGCAGAGTCTGTCTTTTCTGTTTTTCTTGGACTGCTGCACTCTTGTTCTCGGTTTGTGAGCGATTTGGCTCGCTTCTTCCTCTCTGTCCTGGAGGACAGCTGAGATAACTGGCCTGGAGTGGAAGCCTCTGTGCAGACGTCCCAGTCACAAGGCTCATCCATCAAACTGGGCTCCAAGGTGGCTACAAGGAAGAATATGATAATATTTGTGAAGGCTTTAGAGAGACCCCCTGCATCCTACCTATGGCAATATAAAAAGATTTAACCTCTGATATAAAGTGAAGCCTAAATAACCTCTGACAGAGATCACCAAGTCAAAAGCAAAAACAGCTGCTGTCCACTGCTCATGTTGGTGTTAAAATTCTGTTTTTTATGATAATAATCCAAAGCAGATAACACAGGAGGAGCCTCTCTGAGCTGTCAATCATAACACATACCCTTTTATAGCATCAAATTAACAACTAAAGGTCCTTACACACCAGGAGCGTTCTTTTCATGCGATTCTATCGGAGTCAATATTTTTTTTCGAACCCGTATCCTGTCAATACAAGCGTTCACATCAGCGACGTTTTCCTGTCCTGCGATATTGCGGCATTCATTTTTCCTATCACGGTCGAATTTTCTAAAGTTTCGCATGTGGTGTGTCCACTTCTAACCAATCAGATTTTGTGTTGTTGTGACGTCAGATTCACCGGTATATCCAACATGGCAGACAGGCTGATTGTTTACATGTCGGAGAACAGAGTGCTTTCTGATAAAAAAACACAAACATTACAAAGATAACGACCTGAAGGACAACTTGTGGAGAGTCATAGCATCGAATTTCTCATATGACGATAGTTTGTGTGCTTTAACAGTTTGCTAAACGTCTCTGTTTAAACTTTCATCTGTGCTAAGTAACTTTAGCTTGTAAGCTAACCTGTTGAGATACATACCATATGTATTGCTGTCACAGCACCATTAGGTCTCGGTTGTTACCTTACATTTATGGATTATAGTTTAATGTGCTTATCTGGTACTGGTCGTAGTTTCGCGTTCTATATTCCCGTCGGCCCCGGTGTGTAAGGACCTTAAGACAAAACTCTTTAGAAAAATTAGAATCTAGAAAATCAGTAATGAAAGAACTAGCGTAGGTGACTAATTCAGAAAACGTGTATTGAGGTATGACCCATGTCTCAAATTACAGCCAGTCAAAGGAGGGATCACTCGATATTTAGGTTTCACTTTTGGGAAACAGTCACATCATCAATTTTTACTTCTCCTACTCACATGGCAACATAGACAAACTCAGGCCACACTTCTGAGCGATGGCCATCATCTTGTTCTCCTCCTCGCCGTGGCAGCAGTAGGTCACAGCGAGCCCCTGAGTGCCTGTAACGAGAAGTAATCCTGATGAGAACACATTACAGTGACGCACGGAGACACGAGGAGATTGATTGCCGTGTGTGTCAAAAAGAGAGCGTGAGGCAAAGCTTTGATGAATTACATTCTATTTCCGAGATACTTCACGAGATCCAGGGAGTTGTAATTAAATGCAGACGATTAGGAACCTATTGACCCTCTAGGCAGGTCAGACCTCCTTATACTCCTGAGGCTCAGACTAATCTACACACTAATGGTGTGTAATGCAGTTGAGGAGAGGCTCAGCACTTAAGAAAATCAAAGCCTTACTCAGAGCATTGTTAAGTGATGAAACCAAGATTTTATACTTATCATACAAACATTGTACCATCAGGAGGGAAACTCTTTTGCATGGGCTTTAGCACTAAATATTAACATTGGTTAGGAGTTGAATCTTAAAGCTACTGTGAGGAATTTTCAGTTTGATGATTCTTGCTCCTTGTGTAAACAAAGTAGTGCTTCTAATCTTTGTTGAATTTGAGGTATAAACAAAAGACTCCATCCTGCTATCTTGACAGTCAAATCAATCACTTTTTCGGATTCTTTACAGAAGCTTGAAAGTGTTTTGTAATACCTCACGAATTTTGAGTTAATTAACTCAACATGACTTCATTTGCTTTCCTGTTTGAGAGTTGACCAGCTAGAAGATCAAACCTGCAATCATGATGCAAATTTTCCAGGTTCCTCCTCAGTGCTAAATTGCTATTATCTGTCTTACAAAGCTTGTTAATAGCATAAAACTTACACTAACTGCAGTGTGGTTATCGTAGTTTGTTTGACAGACAGCCAATAACAGTTCTTAAGACTTACCAAAGCGACCAGCTCGACCAATTCGGTGCATGTAGGTCTCCCAGTCCTGCGGCACATCCAAGTTTATCACCAAGTTTACTTTGTCTGCATCTATACCTCTGGAGGTCTGACAGATTAAAGAAAAGAAGTTGATCTCAGTGGAAATGCAAAAACGTGAAAGAGGAATGCGAGATATGAGGACGGATGTAAAATGCAGATGATGTGTGATTCTCACCAGGTCTGTGGAGATGAGAACCCTGCACTGGTACTGCTTTAGTTTGGACATTGCCTCCAGTCTCTGGTCCTGACTCAGACCCCCTGTGCAGATCATCACACAGGGTTACATCAAAACCATATCTGTTCAAATTGTCTTAATCACAGCAAGCCTTCAAGATCAATTTGATTGATAAACTGTTGCATCTACATTAAAACAACTCATTACAAATAACCCAACCCCGAACTGTTGCCTGGGAAACCCTCATCACATTTTCTATAAATAGCCACACTTCACTCTGCTTTTCTGCAGCCCCTCTCACCTGAGATACAAACAGCAGGTAAGCCTTTGGAGGACAAGATGTCTGCCAGGTGCTGAGCCCTGTGAGAACAAACCATCAACAACATGTAAGAAGCTATCTCCAATAAAATCAATATTAAGTGTCTTTTTAGAATTGTGCCAAAAGCAAAATCCAACATCTGAGGATGAGAGCTATCTTTAAAACTGTGTTTTACCTTGTGTGTAGGTTGGAGAACACCAGGGCCTGGTTAAATGGGATTTTACTGAAAAGCTCCAGCAGGTGCTGTACCTTCTCCTCAAACACTTTGTGAGGTAGAGGATGAGACTGCACCAGCTTGTAGTACTGCTTCAGACCTGACAGGGGGCAGAAAAGAACAACATGCATGAGGAGTGAAAGCCTTTCAAACAACAAAAATAATCCCTTTCACTTAAAATGTTTTCAGATTTCTTTGGTCAAATATGAGTATAGCACATGACTGCAGTGTTACCTTTCAGACCCATGTCACTAGGATTGAGCCTGACAAAAGTGGGCTCACTCATGTAGCGGGTAAGGTGCTGCGCCAGGGATTCTGGGTAGGTGGCGGAGAGGGCAAGCATCTGTTTGTTCACAGGCAAAGATGAAAAAATCCAACTGAGGAAGAGGAGCAGAGGAGATTGGTGAGTATCTTGTAATTCTGTAAATGACTATACATGAAATAAATATTGCAAGGAGCATCGTAAAATACTCAGTTTCAGTTAGGAAAAGATCTTAGGTCTGACTTTATCTGTTCCTGGAAGCTGCCCTCCTCCAGAAGCTTGTCAGCCTCGTCCAGAACAAACAGTCGGATGCTGGTGGTGGACAACATACCCAGCTCAATCAGCTGTTTAATACGACCTGTGAGCAGAACCAAGAGCATAGTTAAAAAATAACACAGCCAGTGTGACAGTTACACAAACAGGAGCTGCTTCTTACCAGGTGAGCCCACAGCAATATGGCATTTCTTTAGATGAGGTTTGTCCTGACTCACAGGTCGGCCCCCGATGAAAACATGGCACTCCAGACCCTCCATGGCGCAGCCGATAGCCATCACAACAGAATGGATCTGAACTGCTATCTCTCGTGTGGGAGCCAAGACAAGAACCTGCAGAAATTTCCAATCAGTCAAACATCATAGATAATTGGATTACACTGTATTAGAGTGCAATCAGATCATCAATAAGGCCAGAGGTACCCCTGCTCTATCAATCGCTGTAATTTGGTATTTGCACTTCTGACACTTCTTATTGCTTAAATCAAGACCAGTGGTAATTCTCAAAACAACTATACCACTGTTGCTACTGTTTATCAAACTGCTCACCTGAGTTGCAAGATTCTCCAACACCAAAGAGTCCAGGGCAATCGTAGAGAAGACGCATGTTTTTCCCGTGCCAGACTTTGCCTGTACGATCAGATCTATAACAGCAAACCAGCAATGTCAGACAGCACAGTTTATCTGGATGGTCAAGATCACAATTTAGGCCTACAGTCAATTCAGTTTGATGGGAAGCAACAGTATTTTCACTTTTGGAAAAACAAAACACCATTAACATGTATATACCAATAGAGGGGAATACCTGATATGTTCACCTTAAAATATACCTTTTGTCAACTATGACATAATTACTGTTGTTTCCAGTGACTGTTTATTGAAATATGATGTAAAAAGTTAGAAGTTACCTTAGGGTGCCATGCTTAATACTAATACTAAAAGTATTAGTATTAATACTAATACTTAAAGTTTCTTTAGGTGTACTGATTTTAAAGGTCCTGTGAGCTTTTAGTTGGTTTGTGCAGATTTCTGTGCCACCTATTGACAAAACACCCTTAGCTTGTTGTGTCATCTGCATATTTGAGTGATGTTTTCTAATAAAAAATCTAGTCCTGCAGACTTTTTACAGTCAGATGTATCATTTATTGAGAATTTATGTGGAAAGTGTAAAAGCAAAGTTCTCTCTTCAGCTACATAAGTGACACCCACAACTCCCACTAAAATTCAGGCATAAATAATCACCCTATAAAAATGATCAGTCTTGTCACTGATGGTCTTGTTTGCTTTAGGGTGTCATAAAAGGGCATCAAAACTAATTTTAGCCACTTCAGAAAACTCATCATTGAAGCCCTAGGTTTTTCTACCAGTAAATGAATTCAGCCTACGGCCAAAGTTGACAACAGCATATCTGAGAAGTAAATGATACTACTTCTCACTAAACACCTTTGTGCACAAGCCTTCAGTCCATCATATGGAGTGGCCCAAACTCAGTTTCATGAACCCACCGAGTCCGCAGCGTCCCAGCGGGATGGCCTTGAGCTGAATCGGTGAGGGTTTCTGGAAGCCTGCGGCGGACAGTCCTTCCAGCACGGGCTGAGACAGCAGCAGGGAGCAGAAGTCGATCCCCTCCGATAGAAGAACATCATCGGTCCGCCTTCGCGTTTCGATGTCGTGCGCTGCTCTCCTCACGGAAGCTGCCATGTTGGCTTGACTGTTTACCGCCGGTGCACTCAGAGCAATGGATGCAGCCTGGTGCCATCCGCTTTGTACCGCGCATGCGCGAGCGTACGTCACTTCCTCTACTAGACATCTTTTTTTTTATATTCAACACAAGTGATCATGGGAAATGGCACAAGATGCTAATGTCAACTTATTAAAATTACAGTGTAAACACAAAGAGTCATGTAAAAGCAGTATTATAAACATACAAACATGTACATGAGGTAACAAACCATATTCAATTGTGAGTAGAAGAGGGTGAAATTAGATAATATAACCACATTTTATATTGAATCAGGGGAATTTAAGTATTTAATAAACAAGTATTTTTTTTTATGGCTTTGTTGTTTGATGATGTTTTTATTGTATTGAAGTATTGTTTGAGTGCATTTTTAAAGTGCTTTTGTTTTGTTTTTTCTCTTCCCATTTTGTTTTGTGAATGTGTAATTTGCCCAGAATGATGACAGTCTGTAACAAGAAGGAAAGGTCATGAAGTATGGAGGGTTTTCATAGTTAACCCTATAATGCCTGAAACCACAAATTATGGCCAGAAAATTCAAATATTTTGAGCTGAAATGTTTATTTCACTTACTAGTGAAAACCCAAAAAAATCAAAATGTCCTTAAAGTTTTACAAATAGATTTTTTTATCTCGTTTGATACATCAGATGTTTTTGGAAACTGATAAACCACAAGAAGACATTTTTATCATTTATCGGACTGTGTTAAGGTGGGTTTTTTTTAGTAATTTGTTGATCATATTGATTGATAGAAGTGTTATCAATTATGTATCAAATATGATACAAAAGGCAATAAAGAATTAAAGAGAATGCAGCTTTCCTGGAGGCTGATCCTCCATCTGGTTTTGTTCTGGACTAGGTTTTGTTTATGAGTCCAGAGGTTTCTACTGCGTGAGCATTGATAAAAGAGGTGGATGGTGGTTTCTGGTTCCGTCTGGCAGAAATCACAGTAATGTTTAATTTGAATCCTTCCAGAGTTGGCTGTCAGTCGATTTGAGGGTTTTAAAGGCCAGTGTCGACAAAGGAAAGTGAAAGAGGAAACAAACGGGAGCTTCCTTTGTGTCCACATGGCTCAGAGGATAAGGAGACTGATTGGGACTCCCAAGGTTGTGGGTTCAATTCTTACCTTACACAGGTCAAGGTGAATTTTAAAGTCTAGTGTCTACAAAGGACAGTGAAAAAGGAGAAAACCAAAATTCTCCTGTGTGTCCATGTGGCTCAGAGGATAAAAAGACTGACTGGGACTCCTGAGGTCGGGGGTTCAAGCCTTACCTTACCCAAGTCTAGGAGAATTTTAAAGTCTAGTGTCTAAAAAGGGACGGTTAAATAGAAGAAAACCAGAAAACACCTGTGTGTTCACATGGCTCACAGGGTAAGGAGACTGACTGAGACTCCTGAGGTTGTGGGTTCAAACCTCACCTCACCCAACTCTCTGAGAATTTTAAAGTCTAGTGTCTAAAAAGGGACGGTTAAATAGAAGAAAACCAGAAAACACCTGTGTGTTCACATGGCTCACAGGGTAAGGAGACTGACTGGGACTCCTGAGGTTGTGGGTTCAAACCTCACCTCACCCAACTCTCTGAGAATTTTAAAGTCTAGTGTCTAAAAAGGGACGGTTAAATAGAAGAAAACCAGAAAACACCTGTGTGTTCACATGGCTCACAGGACAAGGAGACTGACTGGGACTCCGGAGGTTGTAGGTTCGAACCTCACCTCACCCAACTCTCTGAGAATTTTAAAGTCTAGTGTCTAAAAAGGGACAGTTAAATAGAAGAAAACCAGAAAACTCCTGTGTGTCCACATGGCTCAGAGGATAAGGAGACTGACTGGGACTCTGGAGGTTGCGGGTTCATACCTTATCCCAGACCCATTTTAAAGTCTAGCAGCCAAAGTACCAAGATAAAAGGGCGCAACGCTCATCCCCAAGTGCGGACGGTATCCGGTGGCGCTGGGGGTATGCAACTGACACCCAAATGCAATGTGTCAAGCGGGCAGCCCTAGTTCGATACCCACTCGACACGCAGGAGATCCTGAAGCAAATCCTGGGGAACCAGGCCCGGGGGGAGGTTTCCCCCCGGTGTTTCCGGAGAGACAAAACAGGGGGGTTATGAGGCAGGAAGTCAGAAGCTGCTGAAATTTTGGAGAAACCAAGAAAGAAAGTAAAATGGCAAAGTGAAGACTTGATGACAGTTAAAACAAGAACAGTGAATAAAGATGACATCTATAAGACATGAGACTAATATAGATGTAGAAAAAAGACAACTTTATTATAGTCATCTCTATTATAATAAAGATGGATATATCAGACTATAATAGTCATCTATAATACTATTAAAGATGACTATAATAAAGGCATCTTTATTCTAATAGAGATGACTATAGTCATCTCTATTAGAATAAAGACTGTAATATAGTCATCTACTATTATAGTGATGACTATTATACTATACAATTATAGTCATCTTTAAATAATAGTATTATAGATGACTATAATATAGTAACTTTATTATTCTAATAGAGATGACTTTCATCGTCTTTCTTCAAAATTCCAGCCACCCCTCACTTCTTGCTCGATAACCCCCCTGTTTTACCTCTCTGGAAACACCGGGGGGAACCCCCACCCCCCGGGCCTGGTTCCCCAGGATTTGCTTCAGGATCTCCTGCGTGTCGAGTGGGTATCGAACTAGGGCTGCCCGCCTGACCAGCATTTGGTATTTGGGTGTCAGTTGCATACCCCCAGCGCCACCGGATACCGTCCGCACTTGGGGATGAGCGTTGCGCCCTTTTATCTCGGTACTTTGGCTGCTAGACTTTAAAATGGGTCTGGGATAAGGTTTGAACCCGCAACCTCTAGAGTCCCAGTCAGTCTCCTTATCCTCTGAACCATGTGGACACACAGGAGTTTTCTGGTTTTCTTCTATTTAACTGTCCCTTTTTAGACACTAGACTTTAAAATTCTCAGAGAGTTGGGTGAGGTGAGGTTCGAACCCACAACCTCAGGAGTCCCAGTCAGTCTCCTTAACCTGTGAGCCATGTGAACACACAGGTGTTTTCTGGTTTTCTTCTATTTAACCGTCCCTTTTTAGACACTAGACTTTAAAATTCTTCAAGCGTGGGGTGAGGTGAGGTTCGAACCCACAACCTCAGGAGTCCCAGTCAGTCTCCTTACCATGTGAGCCATGTGAACACAGAGGTGTTTTCTGGTTTTCTTCTATTTAACCGTCCCTTTTTAGACACTAGACTTTAAAATTCTCCTAGACTTGGGTAAGGTAAGGCTTGAAGCCACGACCTCAGGAGTCCCAGTCGGTCTCCTTGTCCTCTGAGCTATGTGGACCTGCAGGAGTTTTCTGGTTTTCTCCTATTTAACTGTCCCTTTTTAGACACTAGACTTTAAAATTCTCCTAGACTTGGGTAAGGTAAGGCTTGAACCCCCGACCTCGGGAGTCCCAGTCAGTCTCCTTGTCCTCTGAGCCACATGGACACACGGGAGAATTTCGTTTGTTTCCTTTTTGACTCTCTTTTGTAGAAACTGGACTTCAAAGTTCACCTTGACTTCAATCTGATTAAAATTTAGAGACAGAGAGTCACAGTGTGTTGGTGTGTTTTTTATTTATAAACTTGTGGGTCCCCCCCAGGTGGTTGTGTTGTTGGCTTAAGCTCTTCAGGGTCTTTGTAACGTAGTTTTGGTTCAATGGTCTAGGAAGGTCGTAGGAAGACACATAACAGACTGCTGTTTTCCCAGAAGTAAATATTTTTATTTACACTGAGGTCTACATATATAGGTTCCATTGAAAAATACAAACTTTTCCAAAGATTAAACAAAATGAGTCTCAAATGAAATTACGCAAGGGCACATCTTCCTTCCTTGGGAGCAATTCTCTTCTCCTTTTATAGGCAGCTCAATCTCCAACCCACCTATCAGAGTGTAGCAAGTACCTAAAAGGGAGCTCAAGATCTCTCTTATATCAAAGAAATCAAATAAAACTCCTAACTTCACTGCCTGTACCTAACTTCACTAAACTATACTCCAACTAAATAAACCACATACTTAGACTCCCCACGAAATGCGAAGTATGAACAAAGAAAAACAATTCACAAAAGGAAAAACCCTACCACTGGTGCTGAAAGAAAAGATGAGAGACAATTAGTTTGTCACATTTAACCCAACAAAAGACAAAAATCTGTGCTGAGGATGTCAAACTGGACTGTGGTGAGAGCTCAGAGAAGCTCTCAGGCTTCTTCACTGATCAAGGAGTTGTTTTTTACCGTGATGTCTTTTGAAACAGTAAAAACAAAAATAAGTGAAAAGTTTTACTGAATTTGTGCTTAAGATCTGTTTGCACTTATTTTTGCATGACTGTCAGAGAAGCTAATATTAGTCTCAAATATCTCTGAATAAATGAATAATTAAACTTTCAGCTGTATTTGGTTTTATTACTCTAGTGCCTATTACATCAATAAAACATGGGGACTTTAAACTCCAGTGTTTAATCTGATTCTTTCATGATTTAGTACGATGGTCTCAATATGCATTACACTTAAAGAAAACACTACAAATACAGGAAACTAAATGTTTAATTAGTAAACAAGAGAGAACTTAAAATCATAATCTCTTTAAAGTTGAGTCACTGGACTTTGACAGAAATGAATACCCACATTAGATTTAAATTGTGACATCTAAATTAAGATATATCTTTAATTCACAGATTTTGAGCAGTCGTTCTTGTAACTTACTATTTTAGTGCATTATATTTATTGCTGAGGCTTTTGACAAATAGGAGCTTTCAATGTAAAGTACCCAGAACTTTTAGCTTGTAGATTTTGGGGTTTATTTCTCCCTCAAATAAAAGTGAGTAAAAACATTTCTTTAGGTTAGCTAAAGTATAAGTCACAATCTACTGATACAACACAACTCTGGACTTGGATTTGAAGCTTATATTTCTTTTTCGTGCTCTTTGTGAAGGGGGAAATAAAATCATGGAGATAGAAAATATAAAAATCTGTTTGGATTCACTCCTTTTTCAATAAGTCTAACAAAACTGTTGGCTGACAGTCAATAAAGTTCACTATCTGCTTCAAGAATAACATGTCATAATTTTATTCTACAAGTATGCTTCTGTCAGATACAAAGGTGTGCTAATTTATTGAATAATCAATAGACATTTTGTAAAAAAAAGACTCATAAATTGTGTTGATATATCATTTACTATTATAAATCAAGTCAAAAAATACAGATATTATTTATTGCAGGGCAGTTTTGTGTAGAAAAAGTGCCTTTTAGTGGACAGTAATATTTGATTCGATTTTTTTTTTTTTTACGGCTAGAATTAAAGATTCAAAGATAAAAATCTTTTATTTTTGTTGGCGTAATGTAACTGATTTTTCACTTTAGGACTACTTGTTTAATTTTTTCCATATTTATCTGGTTTCAAATCAATATTATATAAAAGTGCAATACCAAAACCTTAAAGTCATGGCAAAAAAAAAAAAATACTAATTGAATTTACAGAAACATTTACAGGAAAGTCAATGATACTTCTGCTTATGTTTTTTTGTCATGCAGCAAATTAAATTAAAAAACACATTAATATCAGCTGATTTCATTAAATGGTAACCCTAATGTTTCCACTTCTACGTTTTCTTTAAGTCGTGTCTCATCTACAACGCAACGATTAATTTTCCAGTGATTGAAACACTACTGAACTTCCAAAAAACAGATGAAAACATCACCTGAGAGAAGCCACTGCTCTGTTGATGGCCAACTGCAGGCACCTGTACCATAAAATATAACAAATAAATAATCAGAATTCGAGTTTATCTTGGGTTAAACTTGATCATATTTGTGTAAAGAAGACTCTGTCTCTCTGTTAAGGGCATAGCCCGAAAAGAAGATGAGTGACAGGTATCCACTATAGAAGCAGGCACACTTCTTCCCACTTTTAAGGTGAATAGCCTCAACATCTTCTTCACGCTCTATGCTCTCAACAGAGAGAGCAACACTGCCGCCCAGTGGATAGGAGAGGCGGTGTTCAAAAAAAATGCACGTGTCGGTTGATCCACAAACACATTTTTCAACGATTCACAAGCAGAATTGATGATCTACAAATAATAAGTCATGATAAATGCTCACACAATAAAAAAACAAATGTGAAAATAATGGACACATATTTGGGGATCTGATAATAACCTGTGGAAATTGTGGATTTGCGCATAATTTTGAGACAACTCTCTCCCCATATCTTTTCTGTGAAGCAGTGGAGATAAATGGAGACTCTTCTCTATTCATTGATAAAGAAACGGTTCAATGTTAAGGATTAATTACCAGAGACACCTAACCATTTATTAAAGAGGTAGTTCCACCTAAAGAGGAGTCTCCAGAATGTACAGTCTAGATAAAAAAAAAGTGACATATTTAAGATGTACAAAACTTATAAATTTATATGGCAAGTAAACTTAGGATTTCAAATCGACCCCTTAAAATACTCATAGTATAGTCATTTACGGTAAAATCGAACTATATCATCAAATCATTACACAGACAGAAAAACAGAAGAGCAAACACATATAGGGGGTCATAAAAATAGTTGAGGAGGATAAAATGGTTAATTTTCTTGTACAACTAAATATTAATCAGAACATATTTTGGGTTACAAGGCTTTGAAAAAAAGAGTATTTTTGTAAGTTGATATGCTATCAGGTCAGGTACAGTAATGACAATAAATAGCAATGTGTTGATTTATCATTTTTTATTCGGCCACTTGCGGTTTCTTTACGGTTCGTTTCCTGTGAAATTTAGAATAAAAAGGACCACATTCAAGATTTTAAGGTTTCTTCTGAAAGTCTATTCTGAGACCTTGGCTTTGTTTTGAGACAGTAAGGGATGGCAGGAATCATTTGGAGAACAGAGTTACCTGACATCCTTTTTAGTTTGAACAACTCCCAAAGCAGTGAAACTTCACACCAGATTGTTAGACCCTACTTAAAAAATAAAAATAAAAAAAAAACATGAAACTAAGATGCTGTCATGTTTTTTATTCCTTTAAAAAGCAGACATAGAATTAACTCTGATCCTAAAAACATGTTGTGTTTCTGGCTCCTTGCCTCATCACTCAGGAGCAGCTGTAAACCCAGCAATCATGGAAAGTGCTGTCTTAGAGGATATAAAGCAGAATTATTGTCCTCACAATCCGGATCTACTTGGATTTGGTTTTCAAGAATTAAATTTCATGGTTAAGAGCCCCTCTCCTCCTCTTAGTGGGCTTATTAATATGGTCCTGCCTCCCTTTTTTCTGCCTCCCAGCTGCACCAGAGCAGCAAACATGGAGCATCTATGAAGAAAGACTGCACTTGTTCTACTTTTTGTGTACTTTTTTGTTGTTTGAGTTCCTACCATCTCAAATTTTCTCTTGTTTTACATTTTGTAAATCTCAACTTTATTCTTAGACAATTGGACTCCATCTAGAAGTCACAGATGGACTGGTGAGATTTAATTGTGATACTGGGAAGCTGTAAAAGTTCTCACAAAAATGGAGCAGTTACCTCCTCATGGAAACTCCTCATCGCCTCACAGCTCAGCCAACATTGAGCTTCTTTCTAGGACTGGCTACACAATACTGGCCTTCATCATTGGTTCTTTCTCTGGGGCCGGGATCATCCTCAACGTTCTGGTGATCGTGGTGACTGTGAAACATAGACAGCTGAGACAACCGCTCAGCTACGCTCTGGTTAACCTGGCCATATGTGATCTGGGCTCTGCTGTGTTTGGAGGCATCCCCACAACAATTACCAGTGCAATGGGCTACTTCAGTTTGGGACGTGTGGGCTGTGTGTTGGAGGGCTTTGCTGTGGCCTTTTTTGGTGAGTTCGCCAGGAGAGAGGATAAATATAGACTTAGTAAAAGGAAGTTCTGCAGCATTTTCAAGGAGCTCAGAGAAGTAATAGTTCAAATTCTTCATCGGGTCCAACTATAGCGTCTAGTGAAATCTTAAAGAGCCTGGAAAATATTGGATATACTTGAAAAGACAGAGATATGTAACACTTATCACATTTGTTGGCTTGACTTTTTAATAAATACTATTCACTACACTGAAATATTAAAAGTACAAATAGCTCAAATTTATTTGTAACTTGTGAATAAATGTACTGTGTCACTTTTCACTTCTGAATTTGTTGCCAGTTGATACAACATTTGTGGTACCCATCTTCTTTACATGTCTTCTCTTCTGTCAGGTATTGCAAGTTTGTGCACAATAGGGGTCATTTCTGTTGAGCGCTACCTTGTGGTGTGTTACCCTATGGGTGCTGTCCTTTTCCAGACCAGGTACAGTAGTGACTATCTATTTTACTCTTGAGTATTACACTAAGAACACATATGACGCACCTACTCTGTTTTCTTCAGACATGCAGTTGCAGGAGTGGCATTGTCCTGGGTGTGGTCGTTTGTGTGGAACACACCGCCTCTGTTTGGTTGGGGGAGTTATGAGCTGGAGGGGGTTCAGACCTCCTGCGCACCTAACTGGTACAGCCGTGATGTGGGGAACATGTCCTACATCGTCATATACTTCTTCCTTTGCTTTGTTGTTCCGTTCTCCGTTATCATGGTGTCCTACTCGAGACTCCTGTGGACCCTCCGCCAGGTAAGCAATGGAAATGTTCTGTGAAGAATGAAAATATTGCATGCTCTTTTTTAAAAATTATAACTATCATTTGCTTGTATATTGGTTTCCCAGGTGACCAAGCTGCAGGTTTCAGAGGCCGGTAGCAAAAACAGGGTGGAGACACAGGTAGCACGTATGGTGGTGGTGATGGTGATGGCCTTCCTGGTAACTTGGCTGCCATACGCCGCCATGGCAATGGCTGTTATATTGGACTCCAGCCTTTATATTGACCCTGTTATCGCCACCATACCGGTTTTCTTGGCTAAAAGCAGCACTGTCTACAACCCCATCATTTATATTTTCATGAACAGACAGGTAAGCCATCATCCAGCATAAACTTTTTTACAAATGATGCATTAAAGGTGGTAGGTTTATTTAGAGTGTTACTTTTAAGTGAGATAGGAAACGAAACATAAGCAATTATTGCACAACGCTGTGTTTGTGTTTACAGTTTCGAGGATACGCTGTCCCCACTGTTCTTTGTGGATGGAACCCTTGGACCTCAGACCCACAGTTTTCAGAGGGTGAGACCACCATTGCCTCGGTCAACAAGAGCCAAAGAGTCTCACCCAAGGAATCTTTAAAGGAATAAACAGCTGGATCAAAAACAAACTGAAGATAACAGACAAACAAGCAGGGAAGGAAGGATGCTACAAAAACTCAATGTTGTGCTATGTCTGTGTCATTCTCTGACTTTTATAGTGTTGATCATGTTTTATTCTCTCTGGTCTAACTCTAAAGATTGTTGAAATGTGTCAAAACTGCGGATTCAAAGTTAAAAGAAAACAGCTAGCTTCTCCTTAATCTGCCAATATTTTAGCCAAATGTCAAGAAACATTTGCAGATTTGTTCAAGTCATAAATAAAATCCTTTGAACAACTAAGGTAGACCATGAGATAACATTTAACACTCCCTACTGCTGCGAGGGGGTAGATGTCAGATGAGGCCTTCTTCTTTCTTTTTCTGTGGTAAATTATACCTTTGACTGTTTAAAGACATCTAGATTTGATTTTTTTGTGGTGAAAAAAGTACCATCGCATGTCTGGGAGAAGATCAACAGAGATATAAGAGGCATCACTTTGTCCAAAGAGAAAGAGAAATTTCCCAATGTGATCCTTTGATACTGATGCTGACGTCAGAACCATCCTTTCTTCAGATCCTGATTACTCCGGTTTAGAGGGTAACATAATGTAGTGTAAGCAATATGGAAATCATGGTAACGCTTTCTTTTACGGTACACTTATTACCAGGTAATTAACGGGTAATTACCTAGTAACAACATGAAATTATCTGGTAATTACATGATAACTACTAAGTCAATACTGTCTAGCTACCAGGTAGGTAACCTTCCATCATCATACAAATTTGAAGCCAAATTGCTCTGGTATTTCTAGGATTTTCTCCGCTTCCTGGAACCACCTCTTGCGCAGTAGCATTGTACGTATTTGGCAGGTGAGTCGCTGTGATAATGCTTGGCTCAAACAGTGTATTGCAATCATAGAAAATAAGAACCCCAAATAGCTTTTGAAAATGGAGCTGCACAGAAAAAAGAAAAAAAAAGAAAAACTAGACAGTATTAAATTAGTAGTTATCATGTAGTTACCAGATAATTTCATGTTGTTACTTGGTAATTACCTGCTAATTATCTGGTAATTAGTGTACCGTATAAGAAAGCGTTACCGAAATCACACTCAAACTGATGTAGTTGCTAGAACCCTTATGCAATTTCTAATGGAGGACTGAGATGATTAAATTTTATTGATCTGTTATTTTAGTGCACATAAATATTCGTCTTGTTTTGTTATGTATTTGAGTAGTTAGTAGCTATAGAAGTCAGTTAACTTCATTAACTATGCAGATGTATTTCAATCAACCAATAACAGCGTACTCCATCTCTCTGAATGGCAAACTTCAAGGATTTATGACAAGAAAAAAATAATGACATTATATATTTTTTTTATTTTTATCAGGTGTACACATCCTTTTTGTTTCTGAGGGTCTGTGCTCAGACATGGTGCACACAAACACACCTTTATCATCCATATACCACCTTTGTATGGCTTTCATTGATAGAAATCAAATAATCAGTGTGTAATACTCCTCTCCAGCACTCCACTCTTTTGGATCCAGCATGTTGAACAGCAAAAAAGAGAAAAACCTGTCATCAGTCAAGTCAAGTCTCACAGTTTGATCATTCACAGTCACTTCTCCCTCACTCAATAAACACAGATGCAATCATACTCATCCTATTACCTTGGCTTTTTATTGATTACAGAAATATTGCTATGACTCTCATTAAAGAAGATGAACAAAAAAAGAAAGCCAGAGTGTGAATAGCTGTATCAAACCTGTACACTTTTATATATACAGAGTGAGGGATCATCTATGTACATGCTACATACTGTAACGTCACACTCTGGGGAGATAAGTAGTCCTTCTGACAGGCAAAGATCAGGGATTACTTCACCTTCACTGAATCCTTTTCAGGTAAAGAAGTGATCCGCGGTCAGTGCCCGGGGAACAGAAAACTCACACAGACCATCTCATAGATACAGTACACATCAACACATTACTGATGGGTATGTGAAAGAGTTGTGTGCTTGAACACCTGGTGCTTGGAGGATGGACTTTGGTCCTGTCGTTTCTGGCAGCCTAAAGGACAATAACTGAAGGAGACAACAGTAAAGTCCTGTTGTACTTGAGCGCCCTTTTAGACAGGCGAATTTACAGTTATACCCGGACTCTACACCTTAGAGGTTGAGCCAGTTTTGTCATTCAAACTCTCTGTGTTGTCATTGTCTCATTTAAGGTTCAGTCTCCAGACTCATTAAGGAGCTACTTCAGGTTAATGTGGTAAAAGTCATGTAACAAGGTTATGTCCCATGCACATCTAAATCCTTTTCCAGCTGTTTCACAATCCAACTGACTAGAGTTGTGTTCAATACACAAACATGCATGGAAAGATGACATAAAGACACGGGTAAGGTAGTTATTGATATGATGGTAAAATGAACAGAGAACGACTGACAGGATGATGCTAAGAAATTATTTTTCTTCTTCTTCTTCTTCTTCACTTATACTTTAAATCAGCTTTCAATTACACTCTGCCCTACAAGGGAGGCAAACAAAACCATCTGTACCTAACAAACGACACAAGCAATAAGTCCTGAGCTCAAGGAATGTGCAACACGTCCCCAGCCAGTCGCCAACTGATCCACCGAGGGAACACAGTGAAGACTGAGAACAGCATCCTGGAATTATCATTGCTTCTGGCAAGTAAAAAAAAAAAAGATCATATATACAGATTCAAAATCAAAAAATAGCAAAAAAATCAATGCACGTGGAGTCAGAGAGGAGAGGTTCGAATGGTCTACTCATGGTCTAAGGAGGTAAAAGCAGGTGCAAAAGAGAACATTTCAACATGGACAGCTGTACATTACACAACGAATCAAGACAACGTCTGAGTCAAGGCAAAAGAGGAAGGGGGTGTCTGAGATAAGCAGGGGGAGGATTTTGTACACTTTCTTTACCTCTCTGTCCTCACAGGTCTTTCTTAGTGTGTACTGAAACATGAGCATCTGGCAACATATGTGTTTTACAGCATGTGACATGTGTAACTTTTGTTCACTCTTGGTGTTTTAGCTGCAGTGCCCAATTCAGTAAATGAAGGATAACACATCTGTCCTATGCTCAGAGACCTCTTCTTTCCTTTTTGGTTTTATACATCGGCAGAACATAATGTACTTTCCATCCTTCTCTGCATGAGTGACGATGAGGTAAAGTAATGACAGCCACCCTGACCTCTACCGGACAATAAGGTGCTAAGGTTTCATCTCTGTAAACTCCTTTGATCTACAAACTTTTCAAGTGAACCCTCAATGTGTGTGTGTTCATGTGTGGGTGTCAGAGACAGAGCGAAAGAGAGAGAGAAAGAAGAGGTGTGTGAAATATTTTGTCGTAAAGGGCCATCAGGTTAGGAGAGAGGGTTTAGGGTTGAGGTGCAATATTCAGAGTTTGGATTCAGGCTGAGGTGTGTTATGACAAAAGCAGTTCTACGTCTCAGTCTTTTTTATGTACAGCAAAAGTCTGAAACAAAATTAAAAAGAAAGGCGCAGGAGAAAGTGAACGGTTGGCTCTCTCTTTCATATCCGTGTTTCACTCGTTCTTCTTCACAGCTCACTGTTGGAGCAAGTTCACAAACAGCTGTCCTAAATGCTGCCCTCTTCTGGACAGCAGTGGTAGTAGCAGCAAGGAGAACCTGGTATTCTCCCACTTTTCTTCTTCCAGCTTCACGTCTCAGTTTTTTAAAATTTTACTGTCTTTAGAGTCTTAAGTCTTCTTAGTTTAGTGTGAAATCTTCAGCCGTTGTTCTGTGTCTTTTGTTTCTATGTTTGTGTGAGTGGGTTTTTCTTCCTCAGTGTATATGTAAATGCAGCAGGGCGTGTGTGTCTCTCCTTCATTGTGTTTGTGTGTTTGTGTGTGTGTCTGTGTGTGTCAGGGTCAGTGAATGTATGTCTGACAGGACAGCTCCACCGTCACCGTCCTCCTCTGCTCAGTGGCCCCGCCACCTCTAAAACAACACACTCTGCCTCCTGCTCTTCCCCTGGGCTAAGGGAGACAAAGAGAGACGGAGAAAGACAGAGATGAGAAAAAGAAAGACAATGTCACTGACACACACTCAACCACCACAACCCTGGAGGTTTTTCTCCATGCCAGCAACATAAAAAAAAAACACTCAATATGGCCAAAAGCACTGAACATACTTGAATCAATTGAAATAAGCCCATTTAAGGTCGAGGGATGTTTTAATGCTTTAATCAAAACACAAGTGAGCACAACTATTTTCTATCTACAGTAAAACTATTTCATAATTTTATTTCGAAATCCTCTAAAATCAATAAACTGAACAGTTCTTAATGCAGCAGTTGTTTATCTTCTGTCGGTTTTTGCTACAGCTTAAAGAAACACCTGTATGATTGTCGAACATTTAGTTCCCGAACCATCTGCTTCATTTAGCTGATGTAACACCCTCCTCTATTCTGGGATTTCAGATCCTGGTTCCAGAGATTTAGTCCCATCAGCCATGAGAGTATTAGTGAGGACTGTCACTGATGCTGGGTGATAAAATCTGGTTTAAAGACTCTGTTCCAGGTCATCCAAAAACAGACTGGAGGTGTTTGGGATATGGTTTGAATACAACAGATGCTAAAACCTGAAATTGCAGACAAATTAAAGTAGAAATCTTTCACTTTTAATCTTCTGATAAAACTAGAATATCTAAAGTAGTTTCCTTATGTTTAGTATGTGTTCATAAATATTAGATAAGAGCCAAATTGTCTTAGGCTGAAACTCCTTTTGTCAACAAAGCAGTACATTTTTTTTTTTAGTATTCTGCATCCAGTTTAATAAAAAAATTACACAAAAGTTTGTGGACAGATATTTTTGGCCATTCAGTGCAGCAGCAGTGTGGTTAGTGCCAAGAAAAGCCGGATCTCATACCTCTGTAACTTGACATATCTCTTGTTATCTTGCATTATTAAAGCTCAATCGTACCCATTAATAACTGTAGCATGGCGGGAAAACAAACACACATGTCCATGCTGATAAAAATGTTTTTAAAACACACAACCAACCAAATTCACTCCACACCAAACCCTCACTTACAGACTCAACAAAAAGGCTACATCTCTCGCTGTAGAAACCTAAATAAGGCTGTGAATGAAAAGAATCAAAATGACTCCATCTCTGTTCTCTCATCACCCTCTTTTCTTTCGTATACAACAGTATTCCTGCTCCTTTCATTGCTGAAATAAACACTGGGAGCGGCTAACTAAGAGGAAAAGAGGATTAGGTAAGTGAAAGCTGAGATGAGGGGGAGGGAGGCAGAGAAAAACACAAAGGAGAGGATAAAAGGAAAGAGTTTTACCAGGTAGAAAACATTGTGCAGCTTAGTTTCAGGGAGTTTGGGATGAGAAGCTGTATATAAGTATAAACAGACAGAGGGACGGAGAGGAAGGGACAGCCAAACAGAAAAAAGGGGGGCTGATTAGAGGACAGACAGAATGAAAGAGACCGTATTTACCAGAAAGATAGGGGCCACTCAGCCAGTGGAAGTGGAGGACAGATTGTGACTCTGAGCCCTGGGATTGGCTGCTTCTCTCTGGAAGTACTGCGAGGGTGCGGAGCCTAGCTTATGGGCCATCGCTTTATTTTAGGGTAAGGTTAGAAAGTAGGGGGGGAAAAGGTGAGGAACATTGAGGTGTTGCAGAGGAATTGGGAGCAGGGCACACAAAAGAGATAGAAAGGATTAAGGAAAAGATGAACATTAAGGAAAGAAGAGAGCATGGGTACCAAGAAAGAGGAAGGACAGTTTATCAGAAAGTGAGCAGAGAGGCAGCGGAAGCAGAAAGAAAGGAGACACAGACTGTGAGAGAGACAGAAACACTGACGTAGATCAAGCAAATGTAACAGAGGCACATTTAATGCACAGTTAATGTCGAGGGGTTTGGATAAAACGGTTCCAGTTACCTGCTGCGCTGCAGTGACGTGCAGCCAGACTTGTGTCTGAGTGTGTACTTGTTTGATTTCTAACAGGGTTTTTACATTTTGATAATAAAATCTGATGTTAACTGCAACAGCTTTAAGCATGTTGACTTTGACAAAGTACTCCTACTAAGATGTGTTACAGTCATACCTGCCAACACTCCCATTTTTCCCGGTACTCTCCCGTAGTTTGATGGTCCATGTTCATTCATGAATTGGATCACTATATTTGTCCAAAGTTGCCAGGTTTCCAGTCAACCGAAGACTGTCCTGTGTTTCTACTGAGCCTCATAGACACTTGATTGATACTTTTACTTTACAATTTGGGATGATTCAGATCAGTTTAAGCTGTAAACTATATTTAAGCAGTGTTTGTTGCAAAATGAACACTTGAATGAAAGGGAAACAAATGCGAGATATAATATTTACATTGATAGTCTTGCACCTTCTTAGAGTGATGTGTTCAGGGCAGCCTCAGTTAAAAGAGTGCTGTATTGCGTTCAGATGTTCAGAGAGCATGTAAAACATATAAGGACTTTAACACTAATATTAGTGGACTAAATAAGTTCAAGGCATATCGTAGCTACTATTTTTTTATTACCATTTGTTATTGTTAAAAAAAGAACAAAAAAGTGTGCAGCTTCACTTATACTTATTAGGATGAGCAATCTAATTACAAATACTCTCATAATTAACTTATATCCACCATACAAGGTAACCCCAAAACTGAGCGCCGCAAAAATCTCCCAGATCTTATAACCCAATTGTTGGCAGGTATTCTGTTTGAGTTCTGGCTCTGTGTAGTTTCACCGCTAACCTATCAATACACTGTGTGTGACGTGTAAAACCACACAGTGACATGAGAGACAACACTCAGAGAAAAGCATAAGAGAAGGAAAAGGACAGGGAGCAAGACCTTATCTCCTGCATGTTCCTACAGAGACTTCCTCATTTTCTGACCCCCCCCATTCCCCTTCATTTTTCTGTCATGCAGACGTACCTGACTCTGGATAGACCGAGGACCTCTTCCCTGGATCTTTCTGAAGCTGAATGCCTTTTACAGAGAAGATGGACGCAGCTGCAAATAACAAATAACAGTTAGTGAGATAAAGTCCGTACACAACATTTTTATGTCAATCACAGCCCGGTTTTTGTACTCACTGTCAGCTAATGTCTGAACCTCCTCCCCTAGGCTTCTGAAATAGGATTGTCTGAGAGCATCCTCAGCTGATACCCGCTTCTTGGCCTCAAACTAGAGATGTGTACAGAAAAAGGGGGAAGATTAGGACATTATAACGAATGTTTTATCAAACACATTGAATAGACCTAAATGGTTAATCGTTTTAAGAAAAAATGATACCTGTAGAAGCATTGAGAGCAATTCATGACCCTCACTGTCTATCCTGTGTTATAGAAAGGAAAAGAAAGAGACAGAAAGCAAGATTGAAGTTCCAGTGCAGTCAGATCTAGGCCTAACCTTGAACTAAGGACAAAAATGAGTGTGAGACAAGAGGCGGACATATTTGAGAATCGCCCATTACAGAAACCACAAATCTGCGTCAATATTTGTTCAATCATTTAAAATGTGTTGTCAAACATAATGTAGGCACATGATACCACACCTGGGTGCATGGTTGACGAGGGGCTCTGCGTTGTACCGGGGGAAATTGTACGTTTTAAACTCTTCACTGGTGGTGATACCGGGCCAAGTCTCTTCTGTAGGAGTACCTGTTTGAGAAAAACAACCAAATGTTAAAGATGAAGAGAGTGAATACACACAAACGGTGAAGTGCTCATCTTGATTTCGATGTCCTTTTCTCACCAAGGATACGGAATATGAGGTGAAGCTCATCTTCCACAGTGGATCCAGGGAAGAGGGGTCTGCCAGTGATCATTTCGTAAAAGATGCAGCCAACACCCCTGGATGAAGGTAGATGAGTGTTGTAGCACATGAAGAAAGGTGCCTGTGTTCCATGAGCTTATAAGGTAGACACTGTTTTGCATAGATGAGTCAATAACTTTCGAAATGTTGGTACAAGATTGGCTAAACCACAAAGTTAAAAGATACATAAATAAGCAGCTCTTTCCTGTTTGATAAGTTCCTCTTTGTTGTGTAATCATAATAATGGTGTCTGTGGTTGTTCATTCAGTACTGCCAAGACTAGGCAAACAGCTGGAGACTGTACTCTGTCAAATATGCTCTGTTAAAACTCATAAAACAAACAGCACACAGTATTGTATGATCAAGGATGATCCATTCAGAAACTACTTCTGTTTACAAAACATTGAACCCAGTCACACCTTCAAATTCTTCTTAAACTAGCCTTTACACTTTTTAGCTTGATCATTAGGAACCCTATGTTGAGCTTCGAGACATGTACAGGGGGCAGCAGTGAAATCAATGAATTTTATAAAAGCATTAAGATGAAAGAGACGCATGAACAGAGGTGGTGTCATATTTCTCTGAAGCTGTGTGTGTCTTTGCTGAGGATGTGTGTTTGCTCACCACATATCGATGGGTGTCGAGTACTCAGTGGAGCCGAGGAGCACATCAGGGGGTCTGTACCATAATGTCACAACTTCATTGGAGTAGGTCTTCGTGGGCACAGATTTGGCTCGTGCCAACCCTTAAACAAACAACAAAGTTACATGAGTTAGTGAGCTCAAATTTATTTTTTTCTCTTTATACCTTCTCTGACATTTGCGGTTAAGAGACTACAAATAAAAGAGTAAAACTGAGAGTGAAACAGTTTGCATTTTTTGACTCTTTTTGAATCTGAATTTACATTTTTGCTTTAATTGATAATAATAGAAAAACAAACATGTCATGTTTCTGGTTGTTACCTACAGAGGGCAGTGTTGGACAGATTGTAATTTCAAATTTCTTGGCCACTAGAATGGCCACTAGTGGCTGCTAGTGAGGCATTGCTGCTGTTTTGATTACATTTTTTAAATAAAATACCCCACTGAGAACAATTGAAATGTGTGAATTAACCGTCTATTTTTGTTAAAGAATCTTAATAATAGGGGGCTGTATCTCAAGCTCTTCGAAAAAAAGGTCAGCAAATGGGGAGAAAATGATTTTATTATCTCTGTATAGCAGCTGAATTCGTCATTGTGTCAGTGCTTTGTTAATTAGGTCAGTATGGTGCATGCCTTAATCCTCTTTTCATGCCTGCTTTGAACATGTCGCAATGAACGTACCAGCTATTATTGGAGGGAAATTGGGCTTTAAGTCACAAAGAGCAGTTTCAACAAAATAAATGTTTCTTTGCCTGATCGTTTTAGGAAGTTTCATGATTTTCACTTATTTATTTACAGAAGTGATGACATACCGAAGTCTGCCAGTTTAAGCTCTCCTTTTTCATTAATGAGCAAGTTCTGAGGTTTGAGGTCTCTGTGGAGGACCTTTCTTCTGTGGCAGTACGCCAGACCTCGTAACAGCTGGAAGAGGAATATCTGAGTGGACAGACAGGATATGAATATTAATAATATTCGTCAGTAAATAGTATCAAAGTGGTTTATTTCTGCAGTAAAAAAATAAGCGTATTTATATCAAACAGTCACACTTTTTATCTGCACATTTTAACATATTATTGAACAAATACTTGACAGTGAAGAGGTGTACCTTAACATTGTGAACACTCATGATGCTCCCACAGTCGTCCATATACTGCTTCAGATCCTTTTCCTAATGAGCGGAAACGAAAATAAGCAGAGCAGAAATCTGGATCAGTATATCCCACACCCTCTTTAAAGACACAAAATAAACATACGCACATCCTGAGCACAGACACTCACCAGATACTCAAACACGAGTGTCAGGCACTTGTCAGTGTGGATGATGTCATGGAGAGTGACAATATTGGCGTGCTTCAAGTCTTTCAGTAGAGACACTAAAGAGGAAGACATATCAGAGTCTGTCAGTCAGGCACAGACAACGTGTGAGATCCAAAGGAGCTCACAGCTCACCAGCAGCTCAGTGAGCTACTGGCAGTATGAATAAGCAACCACCATATTTCACAAAACGACAACAAATAAACCTCACAAGCTTTTCACAGTATGCTACAGTGTTGATCTGTAAAATCTTTCTCTCAGTGTTTTGCAGCTCAGTACCTTCTCGTATGGCTGTGCAGGGAGCCCCCTCCTCATGCTCCAGCCGGATCTCCTTCAGAGCGACTAAGTTGTCTGTTAACTTGCTTCGCCCTTTGAACACCGTGGCGTAAGTCCCCTGCGGTGACAGAAAGCATGTCGGTGCATTTTGATATCAGTCAAACTGAGTATTTGAGCAGTTTGCCTGTGATGTTTTCTTATGAACCCACCTCTCCCAGTTTGTCCAGTTTGATGTAGGTCTCAAGTTTCCCAAAGCCGATTTCAGACTAGAAGAAGGACAGAGAAGAAGTTAAGGGCGCCATAATTGAGAATGACTCCTCAGTCAGTTTGTATTTACAGCAGAGGCAAGCAGGTCTCGCGAGGTCATTTCACAGTGTTTAAGCTAATCTCTAGAGTAAAATCCTCCAAGCCAGGGCTTTTAGTTCAGATTTCAGTTATGTTGATGTTGACATTTGACCTACAGCTACAGGGCGCTGATTCACCAGGCCTTTTCTGCGTTGGTGTTTCTATGATAAAACATTTGCTTGGATTTCCCAACACTTATAAGATACTACTGAGCATTTGAGTTATGTGGATATTCAAGTTTATGGTTATAACATTACAATATTCCAAGGAGTGGGATCAGAAAAATCGCAGAATATAGATTTCAGTCATGTGACCTGAACATGTAACATTCAGCCATAGGAAGGCAACAAAATAGAGGAAAACTCGGCCTCTTTATTTCAGGTTTTTCATTCGAGATACCTCATTTGCTTCTAAATTTTTCTATAGATAACCTGCAGGCATACACCAGAGTCTGTGCATGCATGTTAAAAAACAACAACACAGAATTAATTGTAATTTCAGTTAATAAAGGGTTTCCCTGCATAATGTATGTAGCCCCTGGGTTTCAATGTCATGAATTTTAGATGGCTGTAGCTATGTCAAGCTGTGATACCCACAGGCCTGTCAGTGTTTATCCCTCCCCCTGTCATTTTCTCGTTTTTCTGTCTCTATCAGGTTTCTCTTTCAGACATGTTTTTCCATTGTTCATCTCTCTGAACCAAACCATCCCTCCACATCTTGTGCAGGCCTATCCTGTCATGATGCCGGTATAAATGCCAAGCCAACGCTCAGCTCTCTCTCTCTGAGTGTGTATATATCTATGCGTGTGCATGAGGGGGAGGGTCTCCAGTGACCAAGTTAGCTGATGAAGCATGAGATCTCTTTAAAGGCATGCCTAAAAGCCGACAAGAGAACAAGATGAGACACAAGACGACACGCTTAGACACTGAAACAAGCGTGATTTTGCATCTTTTAATAAACATGGAAAATATCATATACATTTTTAGAAATTTGGGGATTGGTAATTTGCCGTAAATTCAAATCAAGAAAAAAGATTTCAGTATAAACTGAGGTCATGTGTGCATGTTTGTACAGTAGGCTAGGTGCATGTACTGTATGCATATGCTGTGTGTGCTTGAAGGCAAGAGAGAATTTGTGGTGAGACATGCAGCCTATGCTTATATGTAAACACACTCGCCCGGCACACACACACAAACACACACTGCTCCCATCTCTATGTCTGTGACAGGGCTGTCAGGAGCTGCTGCTGAGCTCTGCTGCTCTTTTGGCAGGGGAGCACACACACACACTCAGAGACTCAAAAACATATCAAAAACACACCTCCCCCCACATAGATCCTACTCCAGGAAAAAAAAGCACATCTGTGGCCTCTAGGCTTGTTGAAGTGCCTCTAAAACAAAAGAAGGCCCAGCTCTTTACCTCCTGTTCAGTCTTTGCTAACAGCGTGCAACTACACTCCCTGTCCATCCACCTTCCAGCCCCACTCCTGCGCGTTTGTGTGCGTGCGTGCCCCTGCGTATGCTTTTGATGGCAACGGGTTCATTTCATTCCCAACGCTCCAGTGAGCTTACTCAGCAGAACTGGGTCAGACCAAGTTTTAGTGACAAAACTAAGCAACATAAAACCAAAGAAAATGAGCGTATGTGTTCTGTCTGAGCCTGTACAGGAAGTGAGGAGACATTTAGTGCCGATAGACGAACTGAGAGTAGATGAGAGGAGCTTGAGATAAGAGATGTCTGCAGGTGGGGTCTAATGTGTTTCAGGAAGAGAGTCCATTACCTCAACCATGTTTTGTTTTTTTATAGAGGATTTCTTAATGTGAAAACTGTAAAAAGGTTTGATGGAGAGAGAGAGAGGGGAAGAGAGGATCGATGGCAGCAGTGAACTTCACTTTCTCAGAACGTGGTGATGGGTTAGGGGAAACCACGCTTCAATCATATGAGCACACATCTCACACTGTGTCACATGGTTCATGCAAAGTTTGGCTCAAATGAGCATGTGTCTTTTTTATTTTGTATCATTGTTAAAACGTCCCATAACAATAGCATCCGTCTCTTTATGAATCAGACACTCTGCAGCTACAGGGTTCAACAGGTTCCACAAAAAGTAAACGTTGCATAACGCTGCTAAGTATTGCGGTTTGAGATAAAATGACATCTCTTTATTCAGCACCATGGAACACCGCATCTCATTGAACTGCTTTGAATAATTGATTATCAATGGGCAACAGCAGCCATGACAGAAAACTGATACCAATCGGCTTCACTTACATTACATTGGAAGCGATTCAAAGATCAGAATGCGGGGTTTCAAATGAGAACATCTGTTACCCGACACCTGACATGTGTTCTGTGTCACGGTAACAAATGACAAACTGATAACACTAGAGTTATTACCGTACACAGCCCACAAGCATATCTCATCTTTAAGTGGAGGCATAGTGTGAAACTTTAAATCCATAATGGTAAAAACTGGGGAGCTTAGACATTCATTCATCATCAATGACTTATACAGCGGCTCAAACTTTGAAATGTAAGGAATGCATGTACAGTAGCAACTTCAGTGATAGCTTTGTGAATTCAGAGGACGCACAAGGCACGTAGAAAGTAAGACTGAGACAAAGTGAGAGTGACTTTCAACAGTACAATAGTGACTTGCATAGTCAAAACAAGTTTCTGCAAGTGTTGCATCATCTCTCGCCTGAGAAGCAGGTGAATCTGCTGGCTTATGTTTGATTTGCTCTGACAGATCTGCCTAATCCCTCTCCCACTGAGCTAACATTCATTCAACCTCTTTAGGTCAAGTCAAACACGACTGTTTATCTAATATAGTTGAAGATATTATGTTGATATTAAACGGAATAAATAGTAGCTCATGTGATGTTCAAATGATAATGCTACTGGCACATGACATACAAAATGTTTGTGTTTATGTTCTGTGTTGACCTTGAAGTATTAGGGATTGGAGTAAACACTCGAAGCTTAGCACAACAGTTGATTTCTGGTGTATGTGATTGGTTACAGCATCCACAGCACTCAGGATGGGAGGTCTGAGCAGTGTCAAGTGAAATCCATGTGACTAAATATGAGAAATTTTGCATTTTCCTTAAAATAAAACTGAATAATAAGCAGAATAATTTGTCAGTACTTTCCAAAATGAAAAACTGGATAAAGAATAATAACCCCAATTAGGGCTGGGTGATAAAACGATAACGATATTGAAAAATAATTTCCCTCAATATCAATATAAAACATGGTCAATATACTTTTCAATAGTTGTGATTGTGCCATGTTTTGGTAGACTTTACGAATAGCCAATGAAAATGGGAGTTGCTCCGGGTCCACTTTATGCTGAACTTATCGTGCTGAATTAGTACCAAGTAGCAAACAACTTTGTATTAGCCGGCTGCAGCTACACGCAACCATAGCACTTTAAAACGCGAAACTAACAGCGCTGTTGGTGAGAAAAAATGAAAATGGGCGCTACCCCCAGCAGAAATACAGATGAAGCCTCAACAGATGACGATATCTTTGACAACACTGGCATGAAAACATCGGTGGCGTGGAGGTATTTTGGTTTAAACACTTTTAAATTTCATTTTTTATATTGTAATTACATCAGTATCAACTGATATAAAAAAATTTTCGTGATAAACTTTTTCCCATATTGCCCAGCCCACTATATTTTTGGCTGCCGTTAGTATAAGTCCATGTAAGTTTGTCAGCTATTAAATGACAACTTTGCTCATGAGCTGCCTGAGCTGATGATACAGCATCATGAAAACAGCAAAAGAGCTTGAAGTGAAGAAGACGCTAAATGTTGTAAGCTTCAATTCGGTCCAGCTTAAGCTTATCAAAAGTATTTAAGATAAGGGCTAATACCCAGATTGAATCTCCTCCTTTTCTAGCATATCTATAATTCTCAGACTTAAACGTGAGTGAGGAAGTGGCTGCATGCGAATATTATCTGTGCACTGATAATAGCTATCATCAATATGAGTATGTTCTTTGACTGGAAATGTCGCCTGATGTCTCCAGGTGTTCGCTTTCCATCGTCTTTGTCGTTGTTTATCAGACAGGGAGGAGTGAAATCAAAACAATCTCCCTGATTCTCCATATTTGTATGACTGACAACCTAGATTAGAGCAGTGAGGCGAGGCAAGTTTATTTGTATAGTCCCATTCATACAGAAGGCAATTCAAAGTGGTTTACAGACGCAAGGAAATATATTGGAAATGAAAAAAGAGATTAAAAGCATTTAAAATCAATAAATGAGGCATGATAACACAGGAAAACAGCTGCTATATGGATACTGTGTAATTGGCTCCCACCTTGACAATAAAAGTTAGTTTCTTTATTCAATACAACACAGTTCAGTTGTTTTTGTACTTCCTACATACAGCATACAGAGTTTTTTTCTTATGCTACACACCTCTAAACATCTTTTTAATCACAAAAGCATTTACCTATTTTTTAGTCATCATGCCTCCCTGTCCCTCCTTAACATTTTCCTGTCATCTATTTCTTCCTCTCTGGCTCACATCAAGGTGCCCTGATGAGTGGGGGGGGCTGCAGAGGATGAGTCTGATGCTGCTGCTGAATTATTGATTGATCTATTACATCAGATGCATACAGCAACCCTAAAGATAACTAGCCACGTACAAGTCTGTCAGCAAACGTCTGCCACGCATTTACATTGCAAAGACACAACACCTCAGAAGTCTATTCCCTTCTCCTCGTCTGACCTTACATCATAAACCCTCTTCTTTTCCCTGCAAACCTCTTTTTAAAGATCCTTCCCTTTCATCTCTGTTTGACTCCAGCAGAAAAGCTGCGTCATTAAATCACTTCAAGCAGAGAACCAAAGACAGAGTCCAGGCCCTTTTCAATAATTACAGTAAAAACGGTTGATGGAGAGCCAATCCTTACTGCTTTCTCACAGTACAGAGAGGTTTTCTGGTATCGCGTTTAAACATACAAGTGCTCTCCTGCTTTTTTCAGGTGTGTAGAAAGAGGGCTAATGTGGTATAAAGCGGGAACAAAATAAAATCAAGTGGAAACAGCAGCACTTCAGCTGAATTACAAGAGGTATAACGGGTCATGTTGCATATTTATGTACATATGCCCCTTTCTACCCATCCCAACCCATACAATAGTATCCCACCCCCTCTCATACCCATAATACTCTTGGCTTGCATGCACAATACAGAATGAATTTATCATTCATCCCCCTACTGAGCTATTGTACACTCTAAAGAATAACTTATTGTGTATTTATAATGAGCATAGGTCAATCTCCTGCCAGTGTGTGTCACTGGACAGAACAGCCGTAGTCAGCTGTTTGAGTGGCGCACATGCACAATAGCATTGAAAGTACATGTACCTGTTTCAAAACAATGCAGCATCAGAAAAAGAAGCATACACCCAACTGTACTCACGAAAGTGTACATCACCAAGCGGCTGACTCAACAACAGAGAGTAGTTTCAGCTGATTTGCACACACATACACACAGATGCAAATAACGCACACAGGCACAATGAGCACTGACCAGTGAAGCACGTCGTAGCCTGCGGCTCATGGGCTTGTCAAAGGGCGGGCTGTTCATGGCAAACTTCTCCAAGTAGCCCTCCGGTAGCCTGATATCAGCCGGGAGAGACAGACGCTTGTTGATGTCCTGAAATACAACAAAAAATAAAGATTCAAAAAGGAGAAGGAGATTAGAAATACATGTCAAACATGTATTAGAAGTTGAAAGATATCAGTTATAAATTTAAAGATTTCTCAATGGGAATATTCCTGGTCAAATAGTTTTAACCAGAGTTTTTATTTACTTTTTAAAACCGCCTTTTAACTCCATTGAGTCCAAAAGCAAATCAATTCATTTTAAAGCAATGAGGCCTGAATTTAAGATTATGCATCATTACATTACATCTTTATCAATATTCCTAATGTGCTTTAGACTGAGTCAAAGCTGGCAGAAAGACTCTAGACTTTGCAATCATTTTAATTGGTGTAGCATCAATAAGAAGGTTAGTGTTTAAACCAATCATCTGTCCTTCGCTGTTTTCTCCTGTTCATCAATTCCAAGCATCCAACTCAATTTGAGGGCGGTTTGACATGTTCTGCAAACTCTCCAGAATTGATAACCACTTTATGGCTCCTAATCTATTTTCAAACTTGGCTTACTTTTCCTTCTTTTCTACTAAAAATATCTGTCAGTCCTGTCAATGTGTTAGTAGAGACAACGTTTTGGCCCCTTAGCTGCTGACTGGCTGCTTTAGTCAAGACTGCTGACTGTTTTCTGACACTGAGGATGAAGTTTGTGGGTAGAATAAACTGTGGATATGATACTCACTGAAAATGACATTTTAGTTTGCCTAAATGACGTTCACTCTAATAAAAAAACAATGACTTTAAGCTTTATGACCTTGTTTGGCATTTCTGTTCTACAGTTTAACATGAAATACAACAGATACCCACATTATACCACATACCTCTATATGTGCGTTTAGCTTACATTCATTGTAGTCTTTAGGAGCAGCAGAGATTAAGGGTATCATGTGAAATGAATACCTGTTATCTGCAACCTATCACCAATTGGCTTGAATAACCTTCTCCTCTCTCTACTTGCTTCTATATAATTAACATGATGCTACTTTTCCCTCAATGCATCACTCCTTGGTGCTATCCATGTAGGGCATGTTCCCCGGCAAAGTGCCAATCACACGTTGTTGCCATGGCAGCGTTGACAGGCTGGCCCCATCCCAACAGCCCCGTGGTATGTGTCCTCGCTGTCAGCGTGTGAAATGATATGTGTGTTTACATGTGAGCGTTAGCGTGGGGGGGGCAGAAAAGTGTACGTGTGCGCCTGAAGATGAAAGGGAGAGGGATTTTACGCCTTTAATGGTTTTAACTGAGCTCAATGGCTAACATAACAACATGCAGTACTACAAACAAGTCATAACCCTGAGGACGGTGACACACCACACGGAAATTCGGCCTGAAAACATACACACTCACGCACAGGGAAGACTTAAAGAAAGGCTCTGCAAACTGCATGAGCTAATGTGTTGAAAATAGGCTGTAAACACATGCACTAACATGACCCACTGACTTTTGCATATGCTATTTACACATTCGAAAGCTCCATTGAAGGTTTGCATCTGTAAAATAATAAAATAACATCAAGCTAGCAGTGCTGCACTGTATGCAGTAAACATCTCAAGCTAGGATGCCTACTATCCAAAAAAAAAATACAAATTTTGCCCAACTTATTGGTATAACACTCAAATTGTCATGCAATTTGTAAACCCTTGATCTCACTCCTTTATAATAGGACAACAACTGCTGAAATGACACAAATGCCCTCTTACTCTGTGGTTAAGATTGAAGAGCCATCCACATGAAGCACACAAACACACTAGCACACAAACACACATGCCCCCATACTCACAATGCAGAACAGCTCTAGTAGCTCCCTCATTGTCCTCCTTAAACGTGTCTTTCTATACACTCACACACATGCGTTTTCCACGATCCATGCCTCTGACCTGCCACATGACTGCACTCACACTGACAGACAGGGAGAGAGAGAGAGAGCAAGAGGGAGAGAGAGAGAAAGAGGCTGGCACAGTGGTAGAGTGCCATCCACATGCTCATAGGAGGAGGAGGAAAAAATAGGAGGAGAAGGAGGAGGAAGAGGAGGAGGAGGAGGGGGAAAACAGGAGCAGAGGAAAGAGGAATGGACAGATTCCTGAGGGGAGAAGGCAGATGGGGGGAAGGGGGGAACGAAGAGGTTTGGTTGTAAGAGGAAATGTTTTGCTCTTCTAACCCCCTGTCAATTTGTCCTCCATCTCTCCTTCACCCACTTCCTCCTTATCGTCTCCAGAGCTCCGTTCTTGTCTCTTTTTCTTTGTCATATCAGTAATTATTCCTACTTTCATAATTACTCTTTCACCCCATCATTTGCCTCTCTCTTTCTCCGCCCCCCTCCCTTCTTTCTGTCTCTGTGGTAAAAATGGTCTAAATTAGTCCCTTCCACCGTTCACAGCAGTCAGAGGCAGCAGCCTGTGTGTCCAGAGGCATTTCCCGTAATACAGCTGCACTAATCAGTCTGCAACTCCTTTAAACACACGCACACATACACACAATCTGGTCGAGGCATTAAGCACATACTCAAGGATGAGGAAAACAAGGATGCTAATAGCTGATTTGCTCAGCTCTAAAGGGTAGAGGTGCGGTTACATAGAAACGCAACTTATTTCATCTCAAAGCTGGTTAAGCAAAATAAAAGATGATGTATTGTATCGTATCGTTTTGTATCATATCATTTGTATCGTATTGTATCGTATCGTTTCGTATTGTATCATGATGTTATTGTTTCATATCATACTGTATCTAGGGATGCATCGATCCAATATTTGGATCGGATATCGGCTCCTATATTGACAAATTAACTGGATCAGATATCGGGTGAATGATGCCGATCCAGCGTTCCGATCCAGTCTTTTTTTCTTTTAATTAATTTTTCTTTTTATACATGGAAGTATAATTCGTTAATAAATAATATGAAGTAAACTTATATCGGTGTTAATTTGTTACCTTTTTTTTTAACAGGGCTAATGTCAAGCCTGATGCCTTCACTCACAGGGCAAGGTGTACAGTTCATTTATTCACCAGTAGTATTGGATTGGTATTGGATATTGGCCGATACGCTCAGCCCAGGTATCGGTATTGGATTGGATCGGAAAAAAATGGAACGGTGCATCTCAAACTGTATCATATCATATCACATGCTACACCTAAGTCCACCAAAAAGAAATGACTTAATGACCAAATAATGACTAACAGAAACAGGATTGGTCTAAAAATGTACTTCTTCGCCATCTGACTGACCCTGATAGATATTTGGATTGTTCAGGTCAATACTAATTACTTGTACTTGGCTGGTCAGGACATTATAATTACCCTTTTGTCAAACACATCAAGGGTAAAAAAATACATTTTTACTCAACTATGATCTTGGTATTTGCTAAACAAGACCTTTTTAGTATCATTTCAACTTGCTAAAGCTCTCTAATGGACTAACTCTGTCCTGTTGACACAGACATGGCAAAGCTTAATTGAGACATTATGGAATTTCTTTTCTGTGTGTTGTGACCCAGAAGATTTTAGAAATCCCATATATATATTTATTTCTTGATGTGAGTGTTTGTTTATCCATACTTCATTAGAGATGCGCCGATGGTGATTGTTCCTCATGCGGACCCTGACGGGACTCTGGACCTCATCAGACGAAGTTCCTGACGCCTGGTCACTCTCCCCATCTGAACCCATCTTCACATTCTCATGGACAATACCTGCAACACACAAACACTCAAGGTGAGTTTTATTCTGCGGTAGTGAACTGTATTCTCATTCATCTCAGGTTTCTATTTTGTTTTACGACTCTGTGCCTCTTTTCAGTTCCTTCTTCCATCAATCTGTCTATGTACCCTTCTGAGGACACCATATCTTGTATAAAATTTCATTCACCCCCCCTAAAAAAAGCAATTGTGAGGTCCCAGTCCCTGGATGATGGATTGTACCACCAGCTATTAAGGGGTTATGTGTGAGTGTGTATAAAATGCCATTGGTAAGATGAGGAGGTCAGAAATCGATATTGCCCTGCATGCAATGGGAGCTTTCCCGTCTCTGCCTGCCACCCCCCACACCTCCACACCCCCCTGAATCCATCTGATTAATGAGTCACGGTGCAGCAGACAGGACTGCCTCTCTCAATGGTCTGTGAGTAAATGTGGGGGAGGGGTCTTCCTCTGGGTTTTGTTGTACAGTGCCTGATAGCACCCAAGTTAGGGTCACAGTGAGGTGTGCATCTGTATGTGTACGAGGACTGGCAGATGGTAAAGCTCACCCCTGGAGCTAGCAACATCGTAATTTACCATCTTCTATTATTCACATTTAAAGAGCCAGGGTTCCACAGGCAGGTGACAGAAGGAGGGAAATATGGGGATCAGGGGGAGGAGGATTTGGATAGACACGAAAAAGCAGACAGAGAATACCTCCTAGGATGATGTTGTCACAGACCATGAAAAAGAACAATTGAAAGTCGAGTAGGTGCGGCGATTTATCACGGTGCACCGTTTGTCATACGTGAAGGGGAGCCACACCACCCGGGGCCGATTCTAGGTCATTTGTGTGTCTCTCTCATGAAGTCAAGGTTAGTATTAGAGAAAAACAAGCCAGTCTATGGTCCCAGCATGAGGTCTATACACTGTTTTAGATTAAATTCATAGACTAAGGACTAGAATCTTTGCTTCATATCAAGCAATTTTTAATCATTTCATTTGTCCTTTAGTGCCAATTCAACTCATATGCATTCATGGAAAATGTCTAGTTATGATCCGTTACTGGGTATTTCTTTAAAAGCTAAAATAAATAAGTATTTTGCTGCTTAGTTTAAACCTCCCACTATTGTATGAAAGTAAAACTACTCATAAAATAAAACCTATTATTTTTAAAGGCCAATTCTACATTGTTACTAGCCTGGTGCTTTTCTTACTAACACAAACACCCGACTATCTGTGTAAATCCCAGTTGCTTATTTCAGCCTACATCTGTCCTTAGTCTTACTATCTGTTGACTAAAGCAGCATATGCTCATTAAAGAAACACAACCCAAACACAACCCATCTGTGTAAATGCTTACTAAACCTCTCGGTAATGATTTCAATCTCTAAGTCTGAGGTAATGCCTGTGGCCTCAAATCCAGACACGAGAATATAAACTATGCGTATAGTATATCTTGTTAAGAAAAGTGAAGGAGTCAGTAGTCATAGAAGAAGTCAACCCTCACAACCCTGATGTTGAAACATTAAACTTAAGGTAACGGACACCAGAGAGGAGGGGAATTGATCCAGGATATCAACACACTGGCAGACGCACTCACATGAGCACATGATAACAACAGGTGAGTATCCAGTAGTGCGGTTATGTCATAGGTCCTCCTCACTTTCCGGAGGGGGCCTGAGCTTGTCTGTTTGCGTAAATAATCAAGGGATGTGGGTGACTGTCCTTGGAGGAAAATTCCATCACCTTGGCCCTGATAAAATTCTACAACACCATGGAATCTCTCACTTGGTTTTCTGCAGGGTCTTTCTGCTTCACGTCCGCAGAGCACTGAGCTACTACTGCCTCCATCTGTGGAGCCAAGCTGGCCCAGTTAAGGTTTGCTGACTCCTTGCTAGCATGTCTGGAAGAGTGAGTGGGCTGCTTTTAGGGCTATCCTTATTTCACCTAGCTCTGCTCGCACTCCACTTAACTGAAAATCCATCTCTGGCTCACGTTGTCAATGCAACAGAAAATGATTGAGTGGATATCAAGAGGTTATGTTAGAGTAAGATTTGCTTTGAAAGCCTCTCAAAGAGTACGTGGGGTGTTTTTTGATTCAGTAGAGTTACCAAGTGGTTCACCCAATGAGCTAATAATGATGGTCCAAATCTAATATATTAAGCCCTTAAATTACAAGACTTTGAACTGAGTCATTTTCTGTTTTTGTTTTTAGTCCAGGAGCTCCGAAAAATATATTGAATAAAGGATAGCATTTCATTGGAATTTGGCTCGAACAGCAGGAACGGAGATCCTGCAGCCATCGTGCTGACAAGAAAATTAATGAAATATTCAAAGGGAGAACTTGAAGGAGTGCATAGGATCCCCAAAGATACGCAAACTCAGTGCCCCAGGTCTACCAACTGCATCTGTGAATTTTAAATCAGCCACACAAAGGAAAGGTACGTGTTGGAATTAAGGATGCAGAGAGTTGCTGTTTTATGTGAATGCATGTCTTTGTATCTTATAAAACCTCAGGGCATAAATGTGACTTTAAGTAAACACCAACAGGATGAAAGTCACATGTTACAGATGAGAGTAAATTGACTTGGATCTCTTGCATAGAAGGATCAGGATGCAGATAAACTTAATAACACACACATGACAGCGACGAGACTCACCGATACGGTTTCCTGGAGGACGGCACGAGTCCAGCACTCGAAGCATACGGAAAGGTGACAGCCTCAATGGGGTGTCTCTCTCCCCCAGTCTAACTCCCTCTCCCATCCTAGCCTCTCCTATTCTTGGGTCTCCTGTGCTAGGAGCACGAGCAGGGCACCCTTGGGGGTTGCTTGGCATATCCATTGCTCCAGAGGATTCAGAGTACCGGGGTTAAAAATGTACTTCAAATTTCAAAAATCACATCAAGGCCTCCTCTAGGAGTTGGAACCACTTGAGTCCAGTCTTGGAAGTCCCAGGTCTGGGTATAGGACCTCAGGTTTCAGGAGTTGCTGCCACTCGAGGGTTAAAATTTTGCAGACAAAATCCAATCTTCTGTATATCCAAGAGATCCCCCGCAGTAAAGAACAGGTCTTACATTAGGAGGACAGTGCAGACTGCACAGGCACACTAATCACAATGCAACAACTCCCTCTGCTACTACTCCACTTTAGCACTCTCTCTCTTCCTGTAGACACTCCCTCTCTCCACCTCTCCTTCTTTCTCACTCTTTTTCTCTCCGCAGTCACACTCTGCCTGCTGACTAAGGAAGGTCAAACAGCGTGCAGGTAGATAAAATGCTGCAGAGACAGCCTGACACGCACACATGCACACACGAATGCAGGAAACTGTTACACCCCGTCATCTCTGAATAACAGGTGTTCTGTCTCTATCTATGATTCACAGCGACACACACGCACTCAAAAACACGTGCAGAAACCAAAACTTACAGCTCCTCCTCCTCTTTAGAGGATGAAAAACAATCTAATTATTACTATCTCCCCTTTTTCGCGTCCTCTTCTCCTTGTCCATTCTCATTTACAGCCAAGTGCTGTCCTCTTTTTCCTGTTGTTTTCCTTCTTCTCTCAGATCTCTTCCCTGTGTCCTCCCTCTTTCTCCTCCTCCTCGATTCAGGCTGCTCTGCTGCTCTCCTCCTTTCCACTCCCTCCTTGCCTCTGGCGCCCCTATCAGTGCTTTCACTGTTGTTAGTCCCCCTGCTCCCTCCCTTCACCTTGCTATTACTCTCCTCCCTCTCATGTGATACCAATCTTTCGCTCTCTCCCTCTCTCCCTCACTCCCTCCTTCTGTCTCCATCGCTCCCTCCCTCGCATCATTTTTCCTGTTTGGATCCAGACATGGTTATTAATTAAAAACATGGTGCAATATTTTCTTCCATTCCAGAGCAGATGACAACATTTTAACGCCTGATCCACCTTTCTTCACCTGCAATATCCCTCTCTCTCTCTCTCATTCTCTCTCTCTCTCTCATTTCTCCTAACCCTCTTCCTCCAAGTCCTTATCAATCTCTGGCACTGAAACTGAAACCCTGAGGTGTTTGAGTGACGCCTACGGCATCCTCGCTTCCATCTTCTCTCTTTATCCATCCTATCCACCCTCCTTGTTCTCTTTCATCCTCCGTCCTGCCTCCTTGGACCTGAAAATGCAGGCCATTATTCATGCTCAACCTCAACCACACACACACTGTGTATCACTACAAATGTACACGCAAATAGCTCTCTGGGACACGACAAGAGAGCATATTAGGATCAAACACACTCATCACACACAGAGCTATTGGGAATGATGTAGAAGTGGAAATCCTGAAGATGCTCCACATTGAAACACCTTTTTGAATGTTGATAAGAAAGTGCGCAGGATCGCCAGAAGGGGGCAGCATTACAAGAATCACAGGCTTGTTTTTCTCACTGTACCCAATATGCTTTAAATGAGGTCTTATAATTTGATAAACCTGATCTGTTTAGGATTTATTAAATCTCATATATTGATATTTTCAGCTGTTCAATACATGTCCAAGTTGTCTCTGGATCAAAGTTAATTAATTTGATTTTTAATGATAATCCAATTTATTTAACTAGTAGAAAATATCTGTCTGTGTACTTCCTTAGGAGTATATGTTAAGATGTGATCATTAATCAAGGGTTGTAATGTATACTAATGCATCAACAACAGGATAGTATGCTCGATATCGCTGTTAAAGAACATTGAGGACTATAACTTTTTGACTTTTTGTTCTCAGTATGTTTTTTTTTCTTTTCATTGTATTTTTACCAGTTATATCTCACAGTTGCACAACTTTAGCTTTGAACAGAACATTTCTACATAGTTTCATTAACATATTTTTAAGTTGGACCTTGACTGTGCTGAAATTAAGATTAAAAAACTAATGCGTTCTTAAATTTTGTCTCTTTCGGCACACTGTAGTGAAGCTCTTCATTCCTGCTTTCACACTGATAAAGAAATAACACGTTTTGAATTCTCATTTAGAAAAACTTCCAGGTGGCTCAGCTGACAGGTCGAAAGCATAACATCTGCTTTGCGTCAAAGGGAATCGGATTATCACCCAAGTATTTCAAGTATGAGCTCCTGCCTGCAAACTGAGCATAGGGGGAGCAGACAATCAGATATCAGTGAGGAAACCACATTCTAAAATCAAGCAGAACACCATTTTGGAGAAGGAAAATTACCACAGACTTTAAAACTCTAGGCTGCCTGTAAATTATGATTTCAGACCACACTGGTGTAGCAGTCAGTGGTTTGAATAATAAACTCAAAAGTCGAGATCATAAAGTACATTATTGCACTCATCTGATTCCCAAATTAAGACACAGGTTAGAATTAATCAGCGCTGTTAATATGGCCTTAAAAACTGTTTTGCATCATAATTTCAAAGATTGTTTGACATTTTTTTTTTTACGGTATGCTTTTAGACAGAAGTTTGTTTTCTAAAAATGTTGGAGGATTTTATAACTGCAGGGAGAAACTTTTGATTTGTGTTGATTTTGGCACCCATATGTGAGCCAAGATTATTCACTTTGCTGATCTTTTCATTTATACAAGCCAAAAAAGTGTTATCAGGCAATAAATCTGCTAGACTATGACAGTCTAATATGTCTCACGTTATAAATATTGAAGGCAGTATTTTCAGTGTACTTGAAGCTGACTCACCTTAAACCTTGCCCCTTGTAGTGGGTCCAGGCAATAAAAATAACGATAAGGAAATTGTCAAACTAATTGATGTTGGTTTTGTTTGCTTTTGTGGGTCATAAGGGTGTATAAGTATCAGTTTCAATCTGCTTCACAACCAAAAAATTCTCATAAGGGGATTTAGGATATTAAGTATTGCTGTAATGCTGCCATAAACAGTTCGCTGACTGTTAACCTATTTATCCGTTTGTGCATAAACCAGTAAATATGTGTTACCAATAAAGGCATAGACCACAGGACCATGAAAGGAAGCATAAAAAAAAGAGTGTTCAGAGCATGACAGTATTGAATGGCAGCTGCATTCGAAATGTCTCCAAGATAAGGCATTAAATGCCATCTTTCCTTACAATACTCTGAAGGATTTACACTTTGAAAATAAACCGTTCCAAGTGTTTGACAGCTGCGAGTTAAAGCTGTCACCTCTCCCTTCATGTCAATAATCTCTGGTGTCTGTTGTAGGCCTTAACCAACAAAACACACTCATGCAGAAAAGCTCTCACACCCCACATGTCAATAATGTGGCGCTTAATTATAAGACCATTTACACAAACACAGCTATATACGGTCAAAGCCATGGTGTAATGGTCTGACTGGCTTTCATGAGTAAATATGTTGACTCTCTTGCAGACTTTACACTGAATGAAAACATATAGATAATCTACCGAGGAGTGGAAGGTGTATAAAATAAATGTTTGGGATAGCTATAGGAGTGAAGCATTCGGTTTCACTGCTCAACATAGCATGCACAGACTGTTTTCTTTGAGGCCCGGTACTCTGCACTGAAAACTTAAGACGTGCAAAGAGTAAAGGCGGTTTTCAGTATATCGACAGACTTTTATTGATGAAGCATACTGTAACCTTGAGCTTCGTCAAGGACAAAAGCTCACTGCCCTCCACTGTCATTGTCTTTTCATTTTTTGTGATTCTGTTTTTCTTTTTCATGCAGATCTTCACTTTTACTGTATGTACTGTATTATTTGAAAACACAGATTAGAGCTTCATATTGAATATATTGTTTAACCTTGAATACCTTAGTTTGCCATCAGTCTGGTGAAACAATTAAAATCAAAGTGCATATCTTGGAGGGATATACATGCATAAAGAGCTATTTGGGGGGAAGGGGGGATTCAGACAGTGGTAATTACCTCTAAACCTTTTATCTGCATCTGAGGAATCTCATTATTCAATTACCGGGACCATGAGAGCCTACTGTAAGCGACTTGGCTCTGTGCATGCTGGTCCCCAACGCCTAACTCCCCGCCTCCTTTCTTTATAGCCTCCCTCTATACACGGAAGCTTTGAAAGAAACCAGCATTCTTCAGCAACATGTTTGCCCCAAGCAAAAGCTAATGTTACAGCAAGCCACACTAATGAACACAAAGAGCCTGCTACCAGATAAAAGGAGTAGGCTCCATTGTTCTTGTAAAATTCAATCTGGGAGTGAGCAGAGAGGGCTTGCTTGAGTAGATGGACGGTCGAGGGAGTGTAGGGAGTAAGGGAGAGGGGCTATAGTGATTAATGCTGTTAATGCATCAACATTAAATCCCTAGCACAGATAAGGGCAGCACACAGGGAGGGGAGATAAAGGTGGTCTGAAAGCTTTCACTCTTTTATCTTTGCCCCATTCTGGTTTTATCTAGAGGTTAAATATAGCGTTATGATGTATGTGGAGGAGAAACGGACGAAAAGGAGAGGAAGGAATGAGAGGAGAGACATCTGTGGCAGCGTCAGAAATAGCAGCCAGAGAAAAGTGCGAAGCTTTCAGCCGACTCCTTTCTCTCTGTAAAAGAGACAGCAGGGCCGAGTAATCCTCTACAGCAACCACAGATCTTCACTGGGAGAAATAGATGAGGTAGTGGTGAAAAGGTTTTTTTTTTTTTTTTCGCCTTGCTGTAAGTACAGTGTGCAGGGAGTGGGTGTTGGCCCTGTTAGCAACAGATGGACCACAAACCTGTAAAAGCTCTCCGGTGACGGGCTTCGGGCCAAACATCTCTAACGTACACATCTAACCACACAGTAAAGCCCACTTATACAGATGAGACTGATATTTTATTGAAACCTCCTTCAGATGGAGAGAGCAAGTTTGAAAGGGTGGACAGTCTCTTTTAGTGCAGCAGGAAAGAGAGATTGCATCATCATGTGGCTCTATTAAAGACTGCGACGTGCTTCGACTGCTGAGTGGCACACAGTGAGTCAGCGAGAAGGACCAGTGAGAAACACACACACTCACATACACACACACAAGCACACAGCGTACCTCTTAACATTTTAAACTACACCTTATCATGATTTTAATAATAGAATGGCTTCTCCTTTAGCGTCTCAGTCAAGTAATGTCCTTTTTTGGGCTTTGCTGTTCTCAAGGGCAGCTGTGGATTAAATAACTGCCAGGCCTACTGTTTTCAAAAATGACTTTTATCGAACCGTATTTCCAGAATTTTTCCTGCTGCTTTTACTTTTACATTTAAAATGAGAGAAGTGTTTGCTTTTTATTCGTCCAGGGGTGTTTTCAGCATCGTAAACTTCCTCATGCCACTTTGTGAAAATTTTTGCTGTGGAAAATGTAGTTTTCTCTGGAGTAGCACAACTTTCTTAGCAGATATAAAGTATTAAAGGGATATTCCGGCGTCAAATTAAATTTGGGTCAAACACACCGTAACACCGAGTTACGCCACTCTAGAGCCACAAATAATGCTCAAACAGCACCATCAACGGTACATATTGGGTCCCACAGCACTAGCCACCAAACATCTTTCTAGCTTTGCCTCATTTCTTTAGCAAAAAGACTAAACACAACTCATCGACTCTCTTCCAGCAGCCGCTTGTTTGTACGGAGACCTCTGGGCGAGTCCATCAACTGCAGCGGGGGGATGCAGCTCAAGGAAGAACATTTATGATCATTTTTTTATCATTTCCTTGAAGTAATAATCACCATATTAATCATTTTGCACTGCAGACACAGTAGTTCTGCCTAAGCATCTTGGTCTGATTGTATTTCCATGAGGAAATGATCATAAATGTTCTTCCTTGAGCTGCGTCCCCCTCACTGCAGTCAATGGACTCACACGGAGGTCTCTGTACAAACAAGCGCTGCTGGAAGAGAGAGGGTGAGTTGTGTGGGCTAGTACTATGGCTGGGACCCTATGTGTACCGTTGATGAAGTTAGGTGCTGTTCTGAGCGTTATTTGTAGCTATAAAGTGGCTTTTTGTTTGAGCGTGTGGCTCTCTGTATTGCTATCTATAACTAGACAAGCAAGCAGTCAGCAAAATTCATCTCTTGATGGGGTGTCTAACTCGGTGTTACAGTGTGTTTGACCCTAACTTAATTTTATGCTGAAATATCCCTTTAAAAATTACTTCAAGGAACTTATCCTTCTTTTTGCTTTTTCTGTTTGTCACACAGTTTTGATTTTATTATGTTTCATAGACGGCTAAAAATCCCTCACAGAAGCTTTAAGTCTAACGCATCAATTTGACGAGTAACTTTGACAGAACAAAATCCAGAGTTTCTTGAAGTTTAAAATAAGTTTTGTAAGCATAAAACATCAAGCCGCTTTTCTTTTGTCTTTACAGAGTCTTTCAATGTTTCATGGTTCCTGGATCCCCAGCTAGCAGGATCACCGTGTGCCCAAAGCTCATGATAAAGCCCAGCTCTGTTCCAAGTTCAGCAGATGCTAAATGGAGTTTCATTGTGGTTTTTCTGCAGTACGCTCTGCCCAGGACTCTGGGGATGCAAAGCACAAAGCTTATATGACTCCTGAAGGAGCTAATGTGAACCTAACGCCCGCCTATCACTCTGTCTGTCACGCCTTTCCTTTCTTCCATCTATACATTTCACTTTGCACTCTTTATCCCTTATTCCAAGGTAATCAACCTTGTACCAATTTTGAGCTCCATTTCATTCTTAAACTCATCTCACATTTTACACCCCCTCAATCCTCCGCTTCCTTTACCTCTCTGTCCCTCCATCACACCGCTCCTGATGTAAGTCGTCCTGTCACACCGGGAAATGAGATTACTGGGATCCATATATCCACAGACCACACGTTCAGTTACATAATTCAGACAGACAGAGGGGTATAAAGTGATTTCATGAGCATGTGGGTCATGTGCATGAATGTGTGTGTGTGTGTGCTTGTGTTTGTTTGGATTAAGGTCATTAGAGTTTTAGCCCCCAGATTGGTAGTAGCTGTTGGGAGGTCGGCCAAGTCATGTCAGTAAATACGGTTTTAAACTAGCTGAGGACCCACTGAAATGCATGCACGCACAAAACAGCACACACACACACACACACACACACACACACACACACACACACATCAGTGTGTGATTGTGTGGGTTAGTCATCCACCCAGAGATGGCAGCATTGCTCAAGACTGCTAAAGGTAGAATTGTCAGCATTATAAAAACTGCACAGCTAAATATAATGTTATTCCCTACATGCATGTAGAGCACAACACAGAGAGGTTATAGAAACTGCATTGCTCATACACAGACAAAGAAGTGAACAGAAGCAGAAAATGTTGCAACAAGTAGAAGCTAAGATAGAAGTGGATGGAGGACAAAGGGGACAGCTTGTTGGGATGTTTATATCGAAAACTAATTTTAGGAAGCGTATTTGCAAGAAAGGTGAACGATAAGATACTGTTTTGTACTCCTAACAGTATACTTAAAAAATAGTACAAAAGGGCTTGTAGAAAAAAAGGATATAAGGATTAGAAGGATTGGCTTTTGCAATCTTATGTAGATATATTTTATCATTTTTACTGCCTCCTCTTTAAAAGCTAATTTCTAACCTGAGTCAAAGATCCTATGAACAGATAATAGAATAGAGACCTACAGCAGAATACTTTAGTACAGCAGAAACAACTAAAACTATCAAATTTTAAAAGTACTTTCCAACTCAGACTTGTTTGAGAAATGATCCTCTAACTCATTCTGAGCTAAAACCTCCTCCAGGCTTTGCTTTCACTTCTCAAAGTGATTATTCAGAAATTTAGGATTACACTAATTCAGCACATTGTTAAGCTTCTGCCCCTCGATCTTTAAGGTGTGTAAATGCTTAGCTGTAATGTGTGTGTGTTTGTACCCAGAGATCCAGTCCTGTGCAGGCTCAGGTAGGCTCTGTCTCTTTCCAGCCCCCCACCTGGCTCTCTGCGTAGGGCGGTGCGGCCCAGATGACCGGCATATTGACGCAGGAAGGAGGGAGCACTGTGTGAGGCGGGAGGGTGCAGGGCGCACACCACCATGGGCTCTGAGATGCACGATGTAGACGCAAGGAGAGCAAGGGGGAGGTAGGAAAAAGGAGGGAGGAGAGAGGGAAGCCGAGAAGAAAAGCACAAATAAACACAAATAAAAGAGGAGTAGGTCAAAGCCAGAAAAAAAGGAGGGAAAGATAAGAGGGGAGAGGGGGGAGAAAGCAACAATATTGAAATAGGCAGATAACAGAAAATGTAGAAGGGAAAGGGGGAAAAAAGAGAGAGAGGGAGACAACACAAGGTCACACAGAGACCAGACACAGAGAGGTGGCAGAACATGTAGAAACAGGTCAATATGAAGTAGAAGATAAAAGGTGGGAGTGTATACAGCTGCTGGGCTTGCTAGTGGAGGAAACAGTTATTAGAGACAGCGAGAGGATTCAGTGAAGCTCCAGGCAGGCAGAGAGGAAGTCGTGTTGAGTAATGGATGGATGAAGAATGATTTTGAAGAAACTAGATTTGAAAATAGAAACATGCTGGAGGAATACTAACAGGAAAATGATCGAGCAAACTACCAAAGTCTCAAGGCCAGATTTCAGCTCATGGATAAAGCAAAGATACCCTCGCCAAGGTCTCTCGAATGTGTTGAACACCCTGTCAGCACGTGTAAATCACCACCCTCCTTTAACATTCATTAGTATTAATGAATCCTTTATGGAGAGTGTGGGCGGATTCCCACTTGTCACATCTTTTATCTTTTAAATAATCCTCAATTTCTCCCACATTGCGCTGTGAATTCCACCACGCTCAACACTGATGAGGATAAACGATCCTCTGAAAGCCTCACAGGATAAAACTCCTGTACCACAAGCCCTCTGGAGACAAAACGGAACAACTGATTTGTGATAAGTGTGAAACGGCTTCTAACTGGAACCTTGACAAATGTGAGGAGTATTTTCTCACAGCTCTTTAGCACATTCTGACTATATGGTATCTACGCAGATGGGGAGGGGTGTAAAAGCTGTTACAGTAAAGACAAGGACGAGAAGAGATGCTCAGCTCAAGATGTAGAGCAGCGGTTAAAGTTTAATGTCCCTCTCTTCATCCTCTACATCACTTCCTCCATACCCATCCCCTCTTTTATCTTCCTACCTCCTTGAATTCTCTGGAAATGAAATGTCAGAGCTTTAGCTATTAAAGACTTATCGAAAGTAGAAAGGAGAGATGACCATGGTAACAAAAAAGAGGCACAGAAATTGGCATGGATAGAAACGATAACCACCATTGCATCCAAATTGAAGTATAGCTTTGATTTAACATACAGCAACCCTCTTCTCCCTGGATCTGATTTTATTTCAAACCAGAATAAGAGGCAAACACACACACACACACAAACACACACTGATGGCTGTGTTTTTTCCAAAAGGAGAGATGCAATCTTGGAAGATGTCCAGCAGATGGCACCCAGCGTTTCTGAGAATGACGTTGCTTTTTGCACTCCTACTATCACTCGAGCGTCTGCTACAATCAGGTTTGAACGTTTGTGGATGCCTAACATAGTTTTGTGAATTAAATTCTGTTTCCTTTCAGTCTTGTTGATGAGTCAATGAAGCGTTGAGAACAGAGGAGTGATGATGATGATGATGATGAAGCAGATGATAAGGTGAAGTGGATGAAGGGTAAGAAGGCTCCAAAGGGCCGAAAAACTCAAGTGATACTGGAAATACTCTGAATGAGATGCTTTCATTTCATGTATTATTTCATCAAGTAATCATCTGTGTAATTGAAAGACACAAAAGAGTGAAGATAGGTGACATACTTGCTGTTATAAATTTGCATAACCTTCTTGTATCCTCTGTAGTTATCAATTATGACCTCTATTTGGCTCACTGCCACTTACACTATCATTTGTAATTAAAGCACCAGGTCAGTTTGTACTTCTTCTTGTCCTGAGAGATGAGCAGTCATGAGCTGCTGGAGCACATGCGAAACACACTGTCTTGCATCTTTTTAAAGCTCTCTCTCTCTCTCTCTCTCTCTCTGAACTGAAACACTGTATGTAAAAGCAGTGTGAAGACGGTTCACATGTTAAAGTGTATGCAAAAGTTATCATCGTGTAGTTCCCCTCGTGCAGCCTTCGTGTCTCACTTAAGACACGTGCTAATGTGCTTGGGTGTACCTGTGTGTGGGTGCATTTGATCACATGTCTCACCATTGTCCCTGGCAGTAGATGGCTCATCCAAGGCCATCTGTTCTGCCAGCTCTGACAGAGAGTCATCCACAGGCCGGGCACTACGCAGGGACATGGACAGCCTCCGTTTGATTATCTTCATCCTGTCCATCTTCTCAACAGTACCACTGGGGCCCACCGGCCTGAAGGGGAGAGACAAACCACCCACACCGTTATCATATCATCCATCAGCAGCAACTGCATCCCAGTCATTATTATAATAAGAAAGGCTATTCACCCAATCAACACATCAGCCATTTTTCTCTGACTTTAGAAGATCGAGTTTTTTTATACAGTCATAGCCCATTTTTATTCATTGGCTTTAACCCTGCATGAGACTCGGCTCCTGTTTTAGTGTTTTATGGTTTGTTTTTTAGTCATTTGTTTCTATGTTTTTAAATTGGTTTTTAAAAAAAATTTAAACTATATTTTACTTTTTAATTCTGCTTTTATTTCATCCATTGTTTTAATTGTTTTTTGACTGTTTTCTTATGTCGTTGTTATGTCTATTTGTGTACAACACATTGTTCAGCTGTGGTTGTTTTAAAGTGCTTAACAATTAAAATGAGTTAAGTTGAGTTGATAGCGGTAAAAAAGAAAAAAATATCAGGGTGAAAAAAATGTGAGGGATGCACCAATCCGATATTTGACATTGGTATCGGTCCCGATACTGGAGAAAATTCTAGATCGGGTATTGTGATGATGAGCCCTATGCATAGGGGCCGGTCTATTCAATCTAACTCTATGCTATGCGCCGTGAGTGTCATCCATTAGTAAACACGCTGTGCAGATGCCCACATTGTTTTCAAAATGGAGCTACAAGCTCAACGGCCACTTGCAAAACCTGCACAGTTAACGTTCCAAGGAGCAGTGGTAAAACTTCAGGTTACAACAAAAGGTAATTAAGTGCAGCTTTTCTGTATCAGAATTGGATCGGTATTGGCCGATACTAAACTGTAGATATCTGTATCTGTATCGGAGGTGAAAAAACGGATTGGTGCATCCCTCGATAATTCCTGATCCCAATTCAAGTGAAGACATCATATTTGATGAGAAAATGGCCACCATTAACAAAAGCTCCTGTTAACATTCAGCAGCTCCTCCGCCAAATATTTTCCTGTTAGTCGGCTCTTAATGTGTTGTTTTCATAAAAAAAGAAGCCTGTGTGAATCATACTGCACTTTTCAAAGCTATTGTTGGCTTAGCTGTTGTGTAACAGAAGTTAAACAGTTATGAGCAATCAATCATTTAGCCCTTCAAATGTTAGATGTAAAATACAACACCTAAAAACCTTTTTTGAAGGTATTTTAAGCAGCCAGCCTAGAATAAATGTTGGCTAAGTCATCATTTTCTTGTGTGACATTTTCATTTTTACCTTCGTTGATAGGGCGGTGGAAGATAGACAAAAAAATATGGGTATAAGAGAATGGCGTTAGCATTGGAAAGCATCTGTGTGTCAAGGCTGGGAGTCAAACCAATGGCTAAATGAAATTGTAAGTGCTAAGTAAACTTGTTTACTTTCACCATGTAAATATTTTAACACCAAGTAAAATCCTATTTACATGTCCAAGGAGCTGGAAAGAGTAACACTCAACAAATCTCAGCCTTCACACATTATCAAAAAATCTTCCTTTCCTTTATATTAAACAAGTTATATACTCAAAAGCTTTAGCTTTAGCAATTTGTGTTTATTTTAAATGCAAAGTTAAGTTTGTTAGGGCATTTCCTATTGAATAAAATCCACAGATTTTCATCTTTACTTCCAATTGCAGTCCATACAAACATTCAAATGATATTTATCTGATTAATTTCTAATGTTAGATTTGACTAAAACAAAGAACACTACAATCAAGTTATAAAGGCATTTAAGGCTCCGACTGTGTGAGTGATGTTTGAGGTAAAAAAATAAAAAATAAAGGCTGCCATGTTGATAGTCACTTGTTGTCATTGCTAGCAAAAACGGTTCCCTCCTGCTCTTGTTACCTCATTGTGCAGTGAAACTACTGCAGTGCCTCTCCGTATTTTCTACAGTTCTTTGGCCTCCCGGTGATTGTGTTTGCTCATGCAGCATGTGTTCTCATTGTCATGTATCCCAAGTGCAAACATTGCAGAATAAACCATACAGAATGAGGGAGCAGACCCAGAGAGACAGACAGAAAGAGAAAGAGGGCAACAAACAAAAAACTGAACAAACAATCCAAAAAAAAAAAAGTGGCTGACTGTGCAGCTCCCCTGAGGTTTGAGATGAGAGGAACTCTCCCTGGAGAGTTGTGATTGACATGAGTCTCTCCATTAATTATCTATAATGAAGTCGACATATTCAAAGTGTTCACCTGCTGTGCGTCAACAAAAAATGATGAAGTTCTGAATTACTGCTGATTCCACTTAAGTCCAATCTAATCTGGTGTTATTGTGGCTCACCTCTTATAGAAAGCTGGCTTCAAATAGAGATGCTAGTTGGTTAAAAACATGATTTAGTGTCCACTCCAAAAACTAAAGGGGGTGAAAAGGACATGTACAAATAAAGAACATGTTGTTTTTCCAGCAGAGTGCTCATGATAATATCCGCTAATGTGCTGTGTGGAGTTTTGCGTGTAACTCTTAATGTCAATGAGCTTTTAAAGTTGCACATTGTTCAGACATTTAGGGTCTGTTTTTATGTGTGTATCTACAGTAGTGGCTCAAATTGTGGGTATTTATGTGCACTGAAGCCACTATGTATGTCTTGTTCCCTTACGCTCTGCTTCACTAGCCTAGAGGTAGATGCAGCTATGGCAGAGTATTTCTGTCTTGCTTCCACTTCCTGCTACTTACATCTAACCCAGAGGGGCTCTGGAGCCGACGTGCACAAGCACACACACACAAATACACACGCGCGAAAGGCGCCCACTGCCTTTCTCTTTGTGTCCAACCTTGGAGGCTTCAACAAAAGCCATTCATCCTTTCAGGCTCTCAGTCTTTCAGGCCTATTAGAGACAGCCTGTGCTCTGAGGGAATTCAAACCCAGCGATCCTTGCGCAGAGAGACTGGCTTTTTTTCCACCAGAAGATGTGCTTCGGCAAGTATCCATCGCGAACAGTATTGCCTCTGCTGATTTACATGAGCACAGCTGGATAGGGTTTGAACCTCACCCTGGAGCATTTCTCCAAACTAGAAAAAAAGTTTAAAATGGGACAATAGGGGGCAGGGAGAGCAACACACACTCATTTCATAACATCCATCACCCATGGATTATCAGTATGGAACGAATCTCCCTCCCCCATCATTTGCATGTTTTTTCCAGACATCGCCAGAGTAGACGCTCACTTGGACAAGGAGATTGGGTTCTCCTCATGCGACATCACCGCTGTCATCCATGAATTTTTAAAAATAAGTGACTCACATTGTGAGGGAACAGGCGCTAATGTAACACACTTCTTCTTATTACCCAGATAAAACACATCCAGTGTTATCATTGCCACACACTTGTGCTCACAGCCGAGCATGCCCGCACACACATACAGACACACAATTATGCTTAATTTCACAGTCTTTATCTAATGTCTGTTCAGTTAGATTGAACAGTAATGCAGTGAGAATCTCTTCACCCAGCTGCTCAGAGAGTGATAAACTGCAGGGTAACACTGTATATATGCTAATATGATCAAGGATGATGTGGTATTTCTTGTTATCAACCTCTATGACAAAGACATTCATTTTGTAACAGATAACAAAGAACGTCTGAAAGTCTGAAGGACTTTTGCAGATTTTTACCCTCATCTTCTTTTTCTAAAAAATTCCTTTTGGAGTTTAATATGACATGTAACAAACTTTGGGTGTAGCTAGGAAAAACTGCTAAATCTTTCATTCTTCTGACAACCATCACCATCTGTTGAGTTAGTTGGTGGCCCCAAAAAGAAAAGCTAAGCTAGTCTACATCTGCTAAGTCTGGTTTCACTTGCAGTGTAAACAAACGATAAAAATATGATACAATCTGCAAATAATGCAGCATCAGGAAAAATTTGTTCTGCGAGATTTCACTCAAGATGCATCTCAGTGTTTCAGTCAACTCTTGCGTTGGTCCATCCAGCATATCCAGCAAACTTGTACACACTGTTTTTCCAGACCTAAAATGATCTCTGATAGTTCATTAAGCATCAGCGATGGTTTTATAGTAACATTCTTTATATGGATGCTCCAGATTTATATCATCATCACATTTCTGTTCAAGTCTGGCAATGATGGAAGTTCAATCATGTAAAATCTAATATACATGGTTACCTTAGACATTACCATTTTAAGATGGATTTTAGAAAAATTAAGTTATCTGTTTTTACTATAGATTTTAAAAAAAAACAGCTGATATTGTTGTGAATAGTGAATGGCATTATTCTACAGGCCTACGCTACAGACTGTTTTAGATATAATACACGATAAATGGGTTAAGGTTTATTGTCATTTAGAAGAGATGATGGTAATATCAGTCTGGTGAAGGCAGGTGCTAATATGAAGCTGGTTTTATAAAATGAATATTAATCGACCCAACTAATCAGGCAACATATTCTTCAGTCTATTTCTAGAAATTATGGTATAGTCCAGGTTAGATACTCAGTTCCTCTTTGTCCATGAAGCTTCAGATTAAATTGCCTACTACTGTACCAGGAGAGTCATTACTTCCTTTTCATCTGCCGTTTAATGGTAGTTAGGAAAATTAATTTATACATCCATTATCCTCGCCAAATGGACTGTAGTGGGTCACTGAGACTGGATTTTAAGAAAGCAAGAATATATGTGCTTAACTATGAAAAGAAGTCTTCTGATTATAAGTCCTGATTTAGAAGAGCCACTGATCATGCAAACAAGTTATCGCTGATGTGTAACCCAAAACATTTCTGCTTTAAAGTGGATTTTTAATCACATATTTAAACTATGATATTGACGTATTGCTGTGATTTTAATTTTGACTAGTTTTCATTCAGCGAACGCCTATTGTACAACATGTCTTCGCATTTTACTGACTCCGTGTTAAAAATTGAAAAGTGTCAAGAAAAGTGAAGTGTTATTATGAATGTGTGTTGGATACAGAGTGGTGCAGATGGACGTGGCAGCGTGAAGAGCTTGGCGGAGGCGAGGCAGGGAGTGGGACGGGACATGTGGCTCCAGGCAGCATGCGTAAGCCACACTCACCATACACCCAGCAAACCACAAACAACCCTGATACACAACTCCCACTGAACAGAGGGACACACTCCAGATGATGGAGGCCGCTTTCACTCCTACAAACACTCTAGAAAGCCCTTCTATGGTTTTAGCGAGGGTTGAAAAGTACCCTCGCTACCCCCATTGCCTTGTTGATGAATCAATGAGCAGTATAGCTCAGGCTGAGCAATAAAACAAACATAAATGAGCAAAGGTTAATGGAGCAACTGATTAGAAAATATAAGATCTCCTTTGACTTTGTACCAAGTTATCTATGTATGTCTGTTAGCATCAGATCACACCTGAGTTTCCAAATGCATGCACATGTGTTTGAATGCAGGTGAGGTGTTCATGTTTGGATCATTTGGGTTGCTAGGTTACAAGCCTACACTGGAACTGCAGTTTCTGTCTCTGAGGTGAAAAAAGAAAAGACACACAGAGAGGCTAAACACTAAAAATTCACAGTTTAAACCTTCCTATCTGTTCTCCTCCAACATTACTCTTTCAGGAACACACATGGTCGTATCTTAAATTGACTTTCAGCCCTCCAGTGTTTGGGATGCAATAAACTACCGCCGCATGTGATCCTTGCCAGCCTTGCTCCGGGATTCCACTGCCTGTGCAAAAAAAAATGAATGGACCAGACGACCTGAGTAAGCACATTACACTACCACTTGCTAGCTGCAGGTTTGACACACAATCAGACAAAAATACGAATAAATATATAAAATAAATAAGACCTCTGATTCAGAAATTACTCTGTCAGAACAGAGGAGGGGGTTTTAACAGCTTGCGAGGCTGGGATCAGATTTTGTGTCAGCTATTCTCTATGTCTTTATTTCATCACTAACAAAACAGGCATTCCTCTGCAGTTGTGGCACATGAATCACACGCATGCATGCACTCACATATACAATGTGGCATAGCGGAATTGGCACTCAGTGGCACTTCAAACGCGAATTGGTGCAGCGGCCTGAGGATGCATGAGTAATGCACAAATCTGCCCAACTACAGAAACCTACACACATCCACACAGTCAGACACACATAAACCAAAAGATAACTCAAAATGAAGTCTACCCTTGATACAAGCCTAGGGGCCTTTTCCCTGCATCTTTTCTGTCACTTAACCTAAATCTTCTGAGTAAGATTAAGAAAGGAAATTATAGAAACAAGCTACTAGATAAGCAGTATGCAAATCTGAAAAAAGCAAAAGCAAGATCTAAAATGAGGAAGGAGAACACAGCTGCTTTGATTTTGAGGGGTATATAGTTTAACAGGGTCAAAATTGATTTAAACTATCTCACCTAGAACTCAGTAATGTGAGGCAACATCACAATCCACTTACGATACATATACAGCATTGGAAACAATAGACATAACTTAAAACACATGTAAATGAGTGAGTGACCTCTGATTTCTGACAACTTTGGTGGCCCCTGTGAACATAGTAGTCTTTGTTTAGCTTGTCCGCTAAATGCTTGACTTGTGAGTTTTTTACGACATATCTCTTCTTACTGACTTTTAAGTCAAATCTATCAATCAATATGAATATTTTAAGTGGAAATTGTAAAAACAAGGCAGTTTCTTCAGCTGCACAGCTTGGCCTGACCCTCTCACACCAGTTTCAGACAACAAAACTAAGATTATAAAAATCTTCAATCTTCTTGCTGATGGTCTTGAATGCTCTTGTATATCATTAGAAGGCATCAACATGAATTTCAGCCTACTTCATACATGTCAAAAAACTCCTCATAGGAGCTTTAAAAAGCTTTGATTACTTAACTTTTAGACAGACATAACACTGAATAACAGCAAGCACTGCATTGTTGTACATTATTCTTCCTTCTGCTACACTGATCACAAATTATTTCATGTATAAAGATGCCACCATTAGACTTGAGTGGTGCACTAGGTGACATTCAAACCAGAGGACACAGATAAGCAATAAGCACACTGTGAATAGTTTCATACCATTACACTGTGTAAAAACTTCCTTTGCCCTTATAACAACAACACCAAAGGAAGCAAAGTTCTGGTTAGACAGCACATAAAAAACGTAAGAAATATGGCACTACTGCACGGTGACATTATGGTTTGTTTTGATATGAAAAAGCAATAAACGAGTCATTAACCGACCATGGTTGGGAATGATATTTCCCAATCTGCTTGCATTACAACATCGATGGATGCTCCTGATCTCCAATCTGAAAATCCCACACTGAGATGGTTATAAATAATTGAGTGGTCAACGATACTCCCAACACGGTAAGAATTTTAATGTCCAGAGCCTTTTTTTTTTCTTTTTACAGGCATCCAGACTTCAACCTGTATGACTTGCCATCGTTGAAAACCCACGAGGCTACACTGCAGGACCGAAGGACTGGACTGTCACGTCTGCGGGCGAGAGACGGTCCCGAACCCGTGTAATCAGACATGACTGCGGGCAGAGCGCAGAGGAGTTGGCACCAATCGGCCGTCCGGTTAACATCACGGGACCCCCAAAGCCAAATACGCGGAGGTTCACGTCGGGGCCTTGCTGGCAGAAAGATCCCTCTTTCTACCTTTCGGGCCTTTTGTGTTTTCGGCCAGCCCCTCTCTCTCCCCGTGTTTTCCTGACGGAAGTAGCCGGGAGGAGGAGAGTCGGGCAGGGCGAAGAAAAGTTCCACAGCCTCCTGAAACAGCTCTCAAACTCAGTGTTGTTGCAAAGGGTCATCTCTGCGGGTATCCCCCTTTTTTTAACGACGGCGGCTTCAACATGTCAAGATCAGGAAACTACATGAACCAATTTGACTACACAGTTTAGTCCATTACCTGCGTTTTCATCTGCTGGTTTCACTTCACTTCTCCCAGATTTTTACAGAGATTTTATTCACCAGCGAATTCCAGACGCAATGGAATTCGGTCGAAATCTCGAAATACCTTTGTTTTGACGAGCTGAAAAACAAGTCCACCTGCAATGTCAGGTGATAGGACACCCGTGGATGTTGCTTGTAATTCTTAAAGCATTACTGTCTACATGCGTAACACATGAGGCTGAACCTAAACAAACAAACCACTACTACTGACCTGCTAGTGTTTGTGCTGCAGGAGACTATTGTTCCACTTGTGTATGGTAATCCAGGCGGCACGCTGGGCTCAATCCACTGCGACAAGTTCCTCCAACTACTTTGCCCTCAAACGCACCAGATTTCCCTTTCCCCGCGGTCAGGTATGGCTCAACCCCGCGTTACTCTCAGCGTGGAGGTGTCCCATTGCCCGAGTGAGTGGATAAGGAGTCTGTAAGCGCGCATTATTCCCCCTTACTTTCGCTTATCAACAGCACCGTCCCGTCCGGTGATGATCAGCCATATCGCTGCTGCTGTGTGGATCCCAAGTGGAAGCAGTGGCGTGATCCCGGAAAACACCGCAAGGGGTGTGTGTGAGTGCATCTGTGCGTTACATAGAGAGACCGTCAATGTGCGTGTTTGCGCCAGACTCTCCAACATCACCTTCCTCTTCACCTTTTTTTCGCTGTTAAAAAAGGGGGGGTCGGGGATTAATTTGGAGGGCAATGTCACGGGGGAAATCATCCCTCATTATCCAAGATTTTCAGTATAAATATGCACCTCAAAGAAATGCCTTTTGAATAATGCAAAGGGGGGAAAATATGGAAATCCAACAGTAGCTCCCACCACTGCCCCACTGACATCAACACAAGACAAGATGAGCATTATCATATGGTGGTTTATAGGTTCATATTTCATAGTGCGACTAATAGGAAAGGTTAAAAAATCATGTTAAGTCGTTTAATTGGTACACAGTCTTTAAATAGCCCATATGCACAGTACATTGTGCTGCCCTGCTACTAAAATCTCAAACACCTTGCAATACACTTTCAAAATAGAAAAGTAAAAGTAGAGTCTTACTTTTCCACGGGTATCACCTGGGTCTTAAAGTTACGTCAGAGATCACAGATGACACAGCAAACCCTGTTAATAGGGAGTCCAGCTCTTAATATTTACCTCCACCGTGTGGTGACTCTAGGAACAGCAATCTGTTTTCATTCATCCTGTTTTTTGGGCCAAAAATGATCCACTGCAGATATAATTTGAAATAGTTCATGAGAATGTAGTCTCATGACAACAGATGAATTTGCCTTTATAACTTCATGTATAGACTACTGCAACTCCATATATGCAGGCTTGGACAAGTCGTCCATCAACCGCCATCAGCTCATTCAAAACGCTGCTGCTTGACTCCTCTCTGGCAAGAAAAAGCGCAACCACATAACTCCTATTTTAGTGACCCTTCACTGGCTCCCAGTCTGCTTGATTGATTTTAAAACTCTTTTAATAGTTTTTAGAGCCCTCAATGGTATTGGCCCTCCTTACCTGTCCGAGCTCTTGTATCACCATTCCCCAGCCAGAGCCTTAAGGTCCTTTGGCCAGTTACTGTTGAGCATCCCGAAAACCAGACTCAAGTCTAGAGGTGACGGAGCCTTTTCAGCGGTTGAATTTGGAACAGTTAACCTGGCCATATTAGAGCCTCTCAGACCTTAGGGTCTTTTAAATCATCTTTAAAGAACCACCTTTTCTCCCTTGCTTTAAATAAATGAGCACACAGGAATCAGAGGCACTGTAGCTTTATTCTTTTACTGTCTGCATTTTATTCTACTGTTTTTAACTTTAGTTTTTATTGCAATCTATCTATTTATTTATTTCTTTCATTTATCCCATGTACAGCACTTTGTTTGACTGCTGTCTTTTAAAGGTGCTTTATAAATAAACCTTGACTTGACTTGAATCTTTCAGTCGCAGAGACAGAACTAGTTCATTTCTGTTGAGAGTGAAGTGGCAATAAGAGCTACTAGATGGTGTTAAAACAAAAACAAACGTATTCAAGTTTAATCAGTCTATTTTCATCATATCACAAAATTTAGTTGTGACTGAATGTGAGCATCAGAGTTTTTTTATTTTAGATTTTAAAAGCACTCTTTTGAGGCAGTACTTGTTTAACTATGGGGCGCCGAATGTAAAAATTCAGTCACTGTTTGATAAGCGACATTTTGTGAAGATTTAGCTCACTTTTCTCACATTGAGCTCGTTTTCCTTTTTTTGAGACCTAAATTAATGTAAAGCAGCATGTTCTTTTTGTTTGTTAAAAATGTGTAAACATGAAAAATAAATCTAAATTTAAATGTTAAATCCAAATATAAATGTTAAGTATAAATCTAAATCTAATGTCAAATGTGAATTTAAATATAAATTCTAAATCTAAATTTAAATGTTAAATATAAAAATATATGTTCAATATAGCATTTAGATGTAAATTTAGATTTATTTTTCATGTCTACACATTTTTAGATAGATAGATAGATAGATAGATAGATAGATAGATAGATAGATAGATAGATAGATAGATAGATAGATAGATAGATAGATAGATAGATATTATTGGTCTGCCAAGACAGTAGGTGGCGGTATACACCAAAACATGACTTTGCGATCTGCCAATAAACAGAGAGAAGAAAAAGCTACCTCCTTCTCTTTCTTTACTTCTCTCCTCCGCCTGGTGACAGTAGTGCAATTTATCTAGATGTTGCCCGCCGTATTAGTCCAAAGAAGAAGAAAATCAGCCCTTCCCCTCTTGTTGTTAGGCAGGTTGTTAGGGGCTCAGTCAACTCAGCTAACACGGGATTAAGGAAACTTGGTCAATGATGACATATTTATTTTTTAACGGCAACCGAAGCACCAGCCTTTCTGCTCGGAGCTGTGATATTACACCGATAAAACGCAGCAGACACGATAGTGTCGCATTTTTCCCAAACAGACAGAGGTTTGGTTTCCCGTTTTCACTGTAGCTAGCTCACGTTAGCTACGCTTGTGAACGTCAGCCTGCTAGCTAATGTCTTTAGGTGGACGTTAGGTGAAAAACATAAATCTATAATACACATATACATACAAGTATTTGGTGCCACAATGGAAGATGAAAGTTCACTAGAGCACGAGGAACATGACGGCATCAGTGATATACCTTTACCATCGCGCTACCCTCCGTTTCGTCCCCATCGGATGCAGATCCAGAGGAGTAATGTCTGCTCCCGGGCTTACTTCGTCGTGGTCATGGTCTTCTTTCATGTTTACATCCTGAATGTTATTGGCCTCTTGCTCTATGTGCACTACAACAACGGTCCCGGGGATCATGTCAGTGGAGGAGGGGACAGCAGCGCGGGGTCAGCTAGCCCGAGTGGGACTCCTCTGCCCGATCACGCCCCTGTGTCCGGAGAGTTGCATGTGGAAGACCAGAGTCAGGGCTTTACTCTGCCTCGGATTGAAGGGATCCGGGTAAGAATACCATCACAGTTTCAACCAAAACTACCCCCAACCCCAGATAATAAATTGTATGCCGAGTCCTCCCAATCACAGCTGAAACATGAAGACTTTAGTGATAATGCTCTCTACAATACAGCTCCCCCTCTTACAGCTGTTGCATGTGCTAAAGAGGCCTTACTGTCTGTCTTACGTGCTCAATATAAACAATTTCAATAAGGGGTGCGCCGATCACAACTTTCTTGCCGATCACCGATCTGTAAAAAGCTTGACCTGCCGATACCGATTTTGGCCGATACCTTTTTTTTTTTAAAGACTGACGACATACACCTTCGATGCTCCAATATAATGTTAATGAAAAACTTTAAACAATACTTGTGGAACAATACAAACCCTTTTGTGTTTGTTGTAACTGCACATGAGATAATACTCTCAAATAAAAAGTTTAGGGTATTGCTGTCCAAACTACAAAATTATATCACTTCCTTTCGTCTTTTATTTTCCACATTTTAAAAATTAACAATACTTGTACAACAGCTCACACTGCAGGCTTGTTTTGAGCCTCTAACCAAAATAAAGTGAACAGCAGTATTTTGTATTTTCAAATGAAGGAAATCACAAGGTTTTAGGGAGTTAGTAAAATAATAATCTACAGGACAAACTAAACTGGTGGACGGACCTGTCATTCTGGCAAAAGCAAAACGCTACCTTTGCTGAGGTAGATAAGATCAGTGGATAAAATCGGTTTTATGTGTAAGGATCAGCCGATCACCGATCTGTCAGTGCATGTTTAATTTCAATCAATCAATTTAAATTAGGTAGCCAAACCCAAATACTACCTTTTAATCAGAATTCCTTAGTTAAATCTGCTGAAGTAGTTTCATCAGAATTGATCCCTATTAACTTAAGTGACTTAATTGTTTCTTACCAATCTGCAGGTGGGTCATGTTCAGCAGGTGTCCATTGTCCCAGACAGAATGCATGAGATGAAGACGATTAGCCTAAAACCCCTGCTATTTGGTAAGTATGCCACAACCTTTGGGTATTTGCTACTATTCAATGATAAACTGAGCTATATCATGTTTCAGAACACAACATTTATTTTTCTCACAAAGCCATACAAATATAAACCAGAGATATTTACTTCAAATTAACAGATATTTACATTTTCTATGACACGTCCTTTATTTCTTTGATCTCCTCTGCCCTGAATGTGTAAGGACCTTTTTGACCAGCTGACTTCTTTCAGCCCTTCTATGAGCACAGCTGTTTAGACAGAATTTGACTAAACCAAGCATAAGTTACAGAAAGAGGTATTTAGGCAAATTCTAAATACATTTTTATGTTCTTCTCCTATAAGCAGCTGTTTTTTTTACAACTTAGCTCTATTGTTTTTTTTTTAACTAAGTACATAATCCTAGCTCCTGCACCTGTGACGTTTCCATTTGCGTGCCGCAGCCATCAGGTTCTTGTCCCGTCTCTGCCAGGCATAAGCTTTGTTTACAACCAGGCGCTCCCCCTGCACCATTCCTGTTACTAGGAAAGTCCCTCCTCGTGGGTTGTGCCTTGTCATGTTTCTGACGCAGGTAGCATCCCTTTCCAGCCACAGCTCAATACGGGAGCGGATCTGCCCACCTAACAGGGGTCCGTGCTTCAGAACATCCAGTTTGGCTGCCAGCGAGAACTGAGACAGGCTTACATGGCTGTGTTTCAGCCGTGTGAGACGCAATTTCACCACTGGAGGGAAAAATATGGTTGACATTAGCTTTATAAAGAGTTGAACTAGATAGGAAAAGTGAAATAGAAGACAAATGCTCACCAAAGTCACTTCTACAGAAGGTCTCCAGTGTATCCTTCGAAGAGGAGGCCACCTCCAGCTCACAATCCCTACAGCTTGCCTGAGGAACTGACAGAATCAAACCAATGATCAGGTTGTTTGTTTATTCAAGTCAACTGGAGCTGAATGTCAGATTCTTACCTCTACGACTGCCTGTTTGAGCAGTGTTGTTAGTGACAGAGGAGATACACATGAGGTGGTCTGCAGGATACTGGTCACAATGGAGAATTTCTGGCCAGGGGTAGCCGTAACAGCTCATGATGGGTGCACAGCTGTCCCGTACGGATTCACACAAACTCTTACAAGGGGATATAAACCTGATGAAGAAGACAATGGAAATGGAAGCATTGAGTAGATGAACGGGTTTGATTTGGGCAGGAATCGGTTTCTTGTTTGTCTGCTTTAAACCGAGAGTTGCTAATGTGACAGAAAGGAGATAAAAGTGCTGTGATTGGTCGGTTTCAGTGTGATATCAGGGCCTTTCCTTTGAGAGTTGGACCAATTTGCATTCAAAAGGTGTTAACCCTTCAAGACTATGCTCTTAAGTGATTGGATTATTAGTTTGACATTTTTTCGTTGCTGACTAAATTGTTATTTTACAGTGCATGTAAAAAGTAACTTAAAATGCTAAAAAGCTATGGTAAAAGAAAAGAGGCTTGGTTTTTTAACTTACCTGTCAAGGCAAATGGGTGCAAAGAGAGAGCAGAGAAAGATGCGGGCATCAGGGTGGCACTCTCTTGCAAGTAGTGGCAACCAGCTGGCACTCTGCTGCACCGCCTCAGCAGGAGACTCGTGACCCAGTAAGTTGGGCATCCTCATGGTGTCATAGCCAATGTTTTGGCACAAGGCCATTCCAGATGGGATAGGGACGCAGCGAGAAGAGCTGCGAGGCTCCCACAGTCCTCCGTCCCCTATAGAAAGGACAGAGCTAAAGCTGGCAGTGGTACCTGGGTCCCTCCATGCTTCATCATCTTCTCCTGGCATTGAAACATGTGCGTCTCCTAATCCGGTTTCAGCGTAGCCATCAATACTCCCCCGATTCCCAGCCTTTTCCTTTACCCCAGATCTCACCCTACCCTCAGCCCTCGCTCGTCCCTCCTGCCCTGCTCTTACCCTGCCAGGACCAAGCGCTAATGTGCTGCCAGGCCCGGCAAGCAGGAGGAGGAAGAGTAGAAAGGCTGACTGGGAGGACTTTCTGGGCACTGCAGTCATCCTGGCACAGGCAGCGGGAAAGAGAACTAATCCTGAAGTTTGTCTCTTGAGTGAGTGAAGACCCCTGGTTGAGAGGATGGCAGAATAGGTTTATTTATAGTGGGCGGTGATTACATTTGCATAGGAAGGGGTAAGGGGAGGTGTCAAGAGTAGAAAAGAGAAGGGTTGGAGCTCACATTTTATGTTATTATGGATGCAGATCTACTTGCCATCACGAGCAGACTTGTTTGACAAAGCTCAGGGTGAACAAATTAAATTATTGGTCATTTGAGTGCTTTCGGGTTTTCTGCCATCTCGATTACCACAGCTTGATTCGAAGAACAGTCTGGCACTAGTGCAGTGAAACTCCTCCACCCTTTCCCACTCTAAATTTTCTTACAACCGGCACCTAACAACCCTGTCCTGCCCCAACCTCTTTGTTATTTACTCTCCTGTTTTGCACAACAATGCTGATGAGAGAAAATGTTGGATGTTCCCATGAATACTTAGTGCTATGACTATATCATTATCTTTCCTTCAGGAGGTAGGTAAAGGGGAAACAATGCAGACCAGTTTTCTGGGTCATTGCAGACCCTGAAGAGAGGAGGATATCTATCAGCAACTGTTTTCAGAATCAAGTAATTTTTTTCTTTAAAGATAAAATAAGTTGCGAAATACTTTTGCTTTAAAAAGAAATGATTTTCCTTGCCTTAAATTAAAGAAAACTGCTTCATAAAAAAATTTATGTTCATCTTAAATAAAAAATATTTTCTTTGTCATTATTTAGGGCTCTGGAACATTAATTCAAAAAATGTTTCCACTATTTTCTGATGTATTTCTGACCATTTAAAACCGTTAATTCAGAAAATACTCAATACTAAAAGTCACTGTAAGCTGTGACTCTAATCGGCTTCTCTTGTAGGTCTGTGTGTGTATGAACTTGTGCTTAGGTCAAAAACAAAATTGGTGTGGTCCTGCTGTGTTGCCATGGCCTGATTCCTGCTCAGACAAGCAGGTCACTTCCTTTCCGGGGGTGACACATTGTTGGGAGGGGGGAGGAGGAAGGCTTAGTCCCCCTTTATTCATATCAGTTATCCAGATTAATGAGATTTGACTGGACAATAGGAATTAACCAAGTGGGTACAGTGTCAAAGACAGGGGTGACAAACAAGTTCCCTACTGTACAGGCAGCCAACCTGCCGGAAGCTTCTTATTAAGGGGGGAGAAGAGTGATGGACGTGGATGGATGAGAGCTGAGGAGAGCAGAAGGGGGAAAATGTGCTCTCAAACCTGGGTCAGATTAAGGCCAAAAAATGCATACAACACAGTTAATTAACAACATGAATTTAACTAACCTAAAGGAAATGCGAGCATAAGCATGAATAGATCATAATTTTACAATGTTTACTTCTAGATAGTATTATTGATAATTGACTCCCATGAGCCGTTACTCTTTCCTATGTCATCTGGGAGAAGTCCATTGTTGTAATTCATTAAATTTGCCCCTGGGACAGGCTATACCACAAACAGCTCACTGGGGAGGCACGTAAAGAAACACCTTTGTGTGCATTTAATATAGCTGATTATATTGTCCCCAAAGAGTTGGTGTGTATAAACATGTAAGATTGAAAAGTGGAACAATTAGCACCAAATCATTAACAGCAGAGCAGTGCAATACAAAAATAATCATAGTCTGGGTTATTAAAACATCTGCATGACCCTCAGAGCTCATTACGAGGCCGTGTTTCACTAATACACATTCAAATCATGCTATTTTTAAGCATACACTGATCAAACCATGTCAAGTTTTCACCTTCACTCTTGAAGTCTTTGTTTGGCAGTTTGATGTCATCTGTTTAATCTGACAGATCAAGCCATCTTTGTAAACAGAGATCTTCTAATCCACTTAAAAGTCAACCACTCTCTCACTCACTCACTTTCTTAGGTGTGCGGTAAATGTGTATAGGTACAAAGTTTGGGAGTGGTATTTTTTAAACTTAAAAAAAATCAACTTTAACTAGTTGCATGGACTTAGGTTACAATGTAAGTAATGTGAAGCCACTTTTAAACAGACAAAGTTTAAGTTGGTGTAACTTTTGACTCTTCTGTTATCTATTCCTCATGATTTGCTTGTAAATGTGTGAATCACTACGCTCTGCTGTTAATCTGGTAACAAACTAAGATTGCCCACCACTCTTTTGCATGACTTTGATTAGTGTTTCAAACCCCTCTGTTTGATGAATTGCTTATTTTTTATCCTAGTTCTGATATTTGGGAGATTAAAAGCTTGCTTATTCCATGATGTTTGGGCCATTTCATTTCCTTAACTGCGTACCTGGCACGAAGTCTGTTTTTGATTTGTGGTTTTAAAAATCAGTGACTTGAATAAGATGACTTTGATTTCTTCCCCTCTCAGCAGACTCAATAACGTGATGGGAAAACATTTTTCAAAGCTTGGATGATTTATTTGATTATGTTCTTTAAAATGAATTAGTGGTTTAAGGTTTTTTATGTTTCCTAAAATTCACCTCTGTTGACTTTTTCATGTTCCTGTCAGAGATCCCTGGCTTCCTGTCAGAAGAGGAGTGTCGTGTGGTGGTACAGCTGGCTCAGCTCAAAGGTCTGATGGAGAGTGAGATGAAAGCGCCCAACCAGGGACAAGAGGAGTCAAACCAGCCACTACTTTCTCTAAGCACAGAGGAGGTCTTCAGTCTGTTGGACCTAAACCAGGACGGGCTGCTGCAGAAACAGGAGGTGACCAGAGAGAAAAACCTTGTATCTGTATGCCTCATAGCTGGGGGAGAAAACAGACTTTTAGAAGCAAAGCAAACTTAAGATGAACTTTGAGACCGTGTTTTACATTTTGATGACATAAAAAACATTTCTGGTCTGTCCTGTAGATTGTGAGTCACTCACGCTCTCGAGATGGAACTTGGTTAAACCCAGACACCTTGCGGCAGATACTAACCGGTCTGGAAGCCTGCCCAACAGGTTAGTCTCCCTGTACTTTGAGTGTGTCTGTACATCTATATGTAACTCCAGTTAAAATTATCTAAGAACTAAACCCTTCTAATGTAAACATTTTTTTTACTTGAGATCAGACCGAGATGAGCTTGTGAAATTCAGCATCATAAATAAGAAATCCGTCCTGTGTGTGTTAGTAGATGCGCAGTGGCTGTGTACTTGTCAGGGTAATTGGCTGACAGGTGGCTGTGATTGCGTGCAAGTCTTTGTTAGCGTACGGGCCGGAAGAGGAGTGACACCGTTGTGACCTGCTGCCATTGTGCCAGGCGTTGTACACATCCCAGTCCGGATGTGCTTCACCCTATCTCATTAAAAACTGATTATTCTCCAACCCCTTTTCCTAATTTTCCCCCCAGATCCGCTGTATTCTACGCTACCCTCTACCCCTCCTACCCCCTCCAAAAAAAAAGAATTCCCTCCTCCACTCTCTTTCGTCGACCAACCACCCCCTCCCACCTTGTGGCTGTCACCCCAGAGCTATTGTTGCTACTGGGGCGCGGTCTCTCAGGGGAACTGATGAGGGGCAGACATTTGTTCAGTTCAGAGAAACAGCATGGGATAGGATTGGAATCAATGGGGGAAAGACTGGAAGAAGTAAGAAAGAGGGGAGGCTGTTACAGTTTACTGACTATATTATCAGAGAGTTTCAGGATAAATGATCTGAAGTGGACTCCTGACACTGTAGGACTGATAGACTGGTTCAGTTGTCTCACAAGTATCCATATTTATAGTTATATGATTTTATATTTTGTGTAATTCCCTGTACTGAACCCTAGTTCCAAGCAACATAAAAGTAAAAAAAATCGTTCTTAATGTGTCTTATGCTTGTGTGCGGGTTTTTGCAGGGATGCTGACCTTAGAAGAGTTCAACCGTGTTTATGACGTGTCCCAACGACCAGGACAACAGCACAGAGTGAAGCTACGGAGTCAATTCAAACAGAGGAGCAAACATACCTGGCTTTACCAAGGCCAAGGGTCCCACCATGTGCTGCGCACTCTCAGGAACAGGTGTCTGGACCAGCACACACACTTAGTCAATCTCTCACAGTAGAAGTTGTATTTTCAGGGATTTTAATACACTTGTGTATCACTCTCTGGTGTTCCTTGCGCAGAGTAACCTGTCTGACACGTCTGCCCTCTGCTTTGGTTGAGCTGAGCGAGCCGCTGCAGGTGGTTCGCTATGAGCACGGAGACTTCAGTAATGCCCACCATGACAGCAGCCCTTCTCACTCAGAGACAACCTGTGCACACACACGACTGGCGGGAAACAAATCTGCTCTCACAGAGGTCCCTTGCAGGTTTGTGTAATTTTCATCTTTCTATTCAGACAACCTTTTGTTACTTAAACAGCTGCATACAATCTTTTTTACGACTGTGTCTAAGATTGAACTAATTTTTCAGTTTGTAAATTTCCGAGTTTATGTAACTGGACTGGATAAAAGATTATCTCTAAAATTTCTCCATATTGTTTTGATTTCTAACATTTATGTTGCTGATGCATCAATGAAATCTCTCTTTTTGTGTCTCAGGTACCTTACCATGTTATTCTACCTCAGCTCTGTAGAGGACGGTGGTGAGACCACCTTTCCTGTGGCAGATAACCGTACATATGAAGAGCAGGTGAGTGCCCTGCTTTCACTGCCCTTAGCTATGAAAATAGCAGACCCTTTTTTTTTTAATCTGCCACTGTAAAATGATGATAACTGTATATGACCTGAGTGCTGCTGATAACACGCAGACAGAGCGGACAAAAGACAAGGAATCTGACACTTAAGTAAACACAGTGTGCCAAAATAAATGATAAGACGTGAGTTGTTAAGAGTTTTTCATGTCCTAGGCTCTGGTCCAGGACGGCATTGATTTAACAGATACCCAGGAGACATGTGGCCGAGGGAATCTAAGAATAAAACCGACTGCTGGGACGGCCCTCCTCTGGTACAACCATCTCTCTGATGGTAGAGGTAAGATCAGAAGGCTTATAAACTACAGGTATATGTCCTTTACACAGAAATGTCAAGCCTGTAAATTGAATTTAACTTTTTCTATTTAAGAAAATGATGTAGTCCAAATCTCATGCCACTTAATACATGGAGCCCAAGGATTTCAAATGTGCCTTTTTAACTTCTCCTTGAAAATGTTCTAATTCAGGGGGGGAAAATGTTACATCTTTAATTTACACTCGGTGAAACTACAACTCCAGTGTTATGGGGACAGTCTACTTTAATAGTCAAAATCCATCTTATTTTAGTAAAGTCAAGAGTCAAACTGCTGTATCTGTTCAATTCAGTTTGTTGTGACTAACACTCATGTGTTGAAATGAAATGTCAATGTCACTTGATAGCTTAATGACAACATTTTTGAGACTTCCTAACAAAGACAGACCTTTTAGACCAAACAATCAAAGCTTCGCGCAAGAACTGGGTCTAGCTGTGTGTATGTGTGTGTCTTTTTTGCCCTAACTTTTGTTGTTGTTGTTGTTGTTGTTGTTGTTGTTGTTGTTGTTGTTAAACGACTCTCCGAATCTTCCCTAGGTTGGATGGGTGAACTGGATGAGTATTCCCTTCACGGCGACTGCCCCGTCAAACGTGGGGTCAAATGGGTGGCCAGCAGCTGGATAAATGTTGACCCCGATAGCCAGCAGCAGGCCCGTTACCAGAGACTAGTTGCACAGAGGCACCAAGCACAGCCGGGCATGGAGGAGCATTACCAACCTCTCCCACACAGCAACCTCCACCAGGACCTATAGCCTGGCCTTTTAAATGACAAGACCAGGTGACAACCCCTTTGTCTTTTATTTATGAAGTCACTCACGCCTGACAGACCTTCTCCCCATGTCAGATGTTGTAGTTGAATTCAGATTTGCACAACATAATCACACATCGTGGAATGTGTCTCTCATGCTTGGTCACCTCATGTAACCTCATAAGTCATTCAAAGGACAGTCTTAGTGATGGTAATATTTGCTTTTGCTGTCTGTCCTTCAGTTAATTTGTGACACATGAATAAATTGCGCCTTAAAGAATTCCACATATTCACTATATAACCACTGCTAGAGGTACATGCAGGTATAATGATGAAAGCTTGGGAGCTGGAGTCACATTTCAGAGATACATTTGCTTACCTGCCGTCCATTTAAATGAACTACATATCTGCCCTTGTGCACAACTGTCTCACTGTTTTTACAGAGCATAAATTAAGGGTTGTTTTTTAAGTACAAGCCATATCTCCGTCTTCATCTATGAATGTCAATGACTGTGTCTATTTTGTTTCCTGTGTTCTTTGTGAAATATTATTTCATAAGCTCTTTTCTGGACAGGATAAAAAGATTGCTTGTCTTGCTAGCTGTGGGAGGAAAGTCCCTTCAGGTATATTTCAGTGTTTGTGTTTCTTATCCTGACGACTTCGGAATATTTAATTCTCCTTGAGTATTTATTTCAATGTTATTTATCACCACTATTTATTGATTTAAGTTAAAAAAAAGAATATTTATTACAGCTTGTTGTTGCACTGAATCTGTTGCTGTGTTTTTTGGTGTTTGCTCTAATTTATTAAACATATAAAGATGTGTTCTTTTATTATAAATGTTGTCAGTGTGATCATTCACATAAACTTTTCAATTAAAAAAATAGCCACTAGGTGTCGCCCAACAACATTTAAGGCCCTTCATGTATGTATGCTATAGATGAGCTTGGCTTCAATTGTGGTAGCCTGTAATTGACCACTTCTCGATTAATCTTTCAACATTAGTTTAATTGGATCCAGTTTAAATTGAGACATGTGTAGATAAACAATACAGTCACAATTACAGCATACTTTTTTTTGGTGTGAGAGCATAAGTTCCCCATTAATGAAGAGATGAAGGTCAACTACAGAAAACTTTAGACACATACTTCTCAAGTAGCATTGATAAAAGCAATTTATGTTGGTAAATTTGTGGATTATGTACTATGGGGCACCTGAAGCTCCTCAATACAAATTAAATTAGTAACCCTATAATCTATCTTCACCTTCTAAAGAAAGCATTCCAGGGTCAGACAGTGCTTTTAGATATTTATCTGCGGCTACATGTGTGTTTTCAGGTTCTCGAGTAATCTTTCAACAGTAGTTTCTTTGGATCCTCTTTAACTTGGGACATGTGTAAGTAAACAATACAGTCACAAGTACAGCATACCAATGTGATTAAAATCAAAGGTTCATGTTTTGCAGAAGTAATGCTCTCCTTAAATAATGATCATCATTGGTTTAACCTACAAACATGGACAATTTTATACCCTCACATCTGCACCTGTATTGTGTTTGGTTCAGTTTAATGAAAGATATGGTGGCGGGGGTTATAAGGAGCCTGCTATTCAATAAGGATCTCTTTTTTTATGCAGTGAGAGCTTAAAGACAGAAAACTTTAGACACATACTTCTCAAACAGCATTGATAAAAGCAATTTATGTTGGTAAATTTGTGGATTATTTACCATAAGGCACCTGAATCTCCTCAATACATCCAAATTTAGTAAACCTATAATCTTTCTTCGCCCTCTAAAGAAAGCATTCCAGGGTCAGACAGCGCTTTCAGATATTTATCTGCAGCTACTTGTGCGTTTTCAGGTCAAGGACGTGTTCGTGCAGCAGCGTTATAAACCCATCCTTGTGACTCCTCGTTTTGACTGCTGCTGATGCTGTGCGCACCGCACTGTGGGCTGGCTTCAGCCAATCACGTCCGTTGGCGGCGGGAGGGGGCGGGGGGAAAGCAGTCATTCCCTTCTAACTGACCGTGGAGCAGTTCACATTCTTCGTCTGTCGAACCGCGGCATCACGTACAGGTTCATGCACCTCTGACTGGGCTGTTTTTTTGTTAATTTAAACCCAAACATCTTCACCTTAAAGCGCAGTATTATTTTCATCTAACTGTCATCCATGAGATTCTTCAGGCTTACCTTCAAGTGCTTCGTCGACTGCTTTTGAATCCTTGTCAACGGCTGAACTGACTGCGGCGCCTCGTTAACATTTTTCCATCTCTTGGCTGAGCTGAGGGGTTCCAACGTGTGATAATCATAAAAAACTGAGATTTTATTTATTTCAAGAGGGCGAAATAACACTCAGAATATCAAAGAGACAACTGGAGCACTGTATACTGTGGCTACATCTCTCCGTCTGCCTGCCTGAGCCCGCCGGGCACATTGAAAAAATCACTTGGGCAGCCCTTGGCTATACCAACAGCCAGCAGCTTTGCTCTTTTTTTGTAAAAAAAAAAAAAAAAAAAAACGATATTTTTGTGCCGCTACCCTTCAACATGTCACCTGAATTGGAAGAAACCAGCCAAGGTGAGTATGCACAATGCTTGCAGATGGCTCTTTATTGACCATTTGTTTCAGACACTAGCTTCAACATGAGCACATGCTGTTGAACCAGAGCATCCCTGACTCACTCACTCACTCACTCGCTGCCTTGACGTTATTCTTCAACCATCTTCACCTAACTTACCTCAGTTTCATTTTCAGAGCTGAATCAACTGCAAAGAAATCATGTTGTAGCTACAAATTGGTGTGGGATGTGTCATTCAAACTGGTGACACAGAAGACACAACAGTGATGTCAAGTTTTACGTCAGTATCATTAGCATTATACTCTTACATACTCTGTGGTTGGTCATGGCATGTAAGATTGAGTGAGTCATAGCCATGCTACCTGATGTGCAGGGGATATTTAGGGTTATTTTAAAGATATAGACACATTTATAGATTTTGTTTTTCAAAGATGTGATCTGTTTTGATCAACTTTCAATCATCCAATTCAGCATGCACCCATTCCTCACACACGAATAATCATAACACGCAGGTACCCCTTTTTTTTCCCTTTCACCTTCCTCACTCTTTTCCCCTCCACTGTTCACACACCCCCTCAAACTGCTCTGATCTGGATTCAGCTGCCTTTGCTTTGCATCCAGCACAGCACACACAGCAGCTGACAGATATGCAATGGTACAAATGGAGTGACACATAGCTTTTTTATTGTGCGTTTACTTGTATTCTGTGTAAGTAGGATAAAAGGAAACAAAAGCGTCTGTGAGGGTCATAGGAGCTTGAGATTTACCTCGGAGCGGTTGTGTGCTGTGTTGTACCGCAGTACACTAATCATCAGTCTCTCTGTGAGACGAGCAAAGGGAAGAACGGGGGAGGGCTTAGTGATGACAATAGAGCTGCAACGTGATTTTAGCCTTTCAGACATTAATGAAGCTCACCAATGCAATGATACAGCTGCTTTTAGCCTTGTTATGGCTCTGTGCAGGTTTTAATAATCAGCACAGGTTGGGCTGATGCTGTATTGAGATGAATGGAAACACACAGCCAGCCCCCCCTCCCTCCATTCAGTGCAAGTCTGGCTCAAGAGACATCAATCATTTTTCTCTTATGTTGACATGGAGAGTAAACTAAATATTGCCGAATCGATGCTAATTCTTGTTGTTCTTTGTCTTCCTATCGTCTAGCTATGTCTCATTTTTCTCATCTTTCTCGTCTCTCTATCCCGTCCAGGTGAAATCAGTCTCCCTCAATTAGAGGCCGGGGCCTTGTCCGAGGAGGAGAGCGGGTCGGCTCGCCCCCTGGTACCTGTGCCTGGAGCTGGCCCAGGGTGTGGTGGTGCGGGGGGAGGAGCTGGTCCGCCACAGACCCAAGACGGGGCTGTGTCTGGGACTGGAAACGGGGCTGTGGCAGTTCCAGCGGTGGAAAGAGAAACATGGACCAGACAGATGGATTTCATCATGTCCTGTGTGGGTTTTGCAGTCGGTTTGGGCAATGTGTGGCGGTTCCCTTACCTTTGCTACAAGAATGGAGGAGGTGAGCTTCAGAGGATGTAAAAAGATTGTAATTTGACTGCATGGGAAGCACCTTTGAAATCTCTTGGGTTCTAGTTCATATAGATCTTAACCAAAACATGCCCACAAAGTTTTAGTTTTAGTTCTTCCATGCATGAACTCGTCTTGGAAACTTCCATTTTGTGGTCTGGCCATGATAGTGTTGTTATCAGCCCCTAACACTGCATCCATAAACACTTTATAAGTCTGAAAATATTCATTTAAACTCCTACTTATTTTGGTATCTGAAGGTCACAGCTGTTTGGAGTCTGTTTGTGAGGAAGCTTGGTGTTTACTAAGCTCTTGTGATCTGAATGCTAAAGTGAATAATACAAACTCATTCTTAATTTTCAACACTTCTGAAATATTATGAAATTGAGAATCCATTTTCAAGTTGAGAGGGGTCATTTTTTGGTTAGGACCTGGTGCTATATGATTAAAAAATCGAACATTTGCTCTTGTTAAGTTAACAGTTCCCTGATTGGACAAGGGTTAAAGTCAGCATGGCATACTGACAGAGCGGTACCTGCGTGGTTGTGAGCACGTAGCTAGAGAGACCTGCCCACCTGATTGGCTTCACTTTATATTTGAGCTGCCCGCTGTTCCGCAACTGAACTCAGTGCAGTTGACCTACAATGTTTTAGCTGGCACTTGAGGCTGTTTGCAGTGCTGTAAAACTTCCCCTGCATCCTATTATTTCATGTCTGTCAGTTTGTCCTTAAGTAACCTGACCTGCTTCAGCTTTTGGCCTGGACTTTCTCTTATCTCTACCCTACCCACGATTTTTTATGACATGTTCCGTTGAAATGAAAATAAATATGAGGCTGTTTATGTGTGTGTGGGTGTGTGTGTATGAGTGTGTGTGTCTTTGTCCAGCCCTCCCTTTCTGTTGTGTGTGTGTGCATCTTGTGACTGATGGCTCCGATACCCACCTTCTGGTATCATATAACAATGGCCTGCCTCACACAGTCCACCCCCTGTGCTCCTGCCCAGCACTCATGCAGCATACAAAGGTGCTCTCTCCCACTCTCCTCCTGATAAGGAGGCATATGGATGTGTCACACAATAATTGTCCTGTGACTGTGCCTGTCCTTTCCTCCCTTCCACGTCTGCACAGCAACATTAGCCGTAGACCTTGATTTTCTCTCTCTCTGACTAACCCAGTGTACACGCTGTAAAGCAACAACACTGGTATCAGATGAGGGCTCGGGCTCCTCGTCAGCTTTGAGACAGTAATAGACGAATGTACTGTACTGTGAATGAATGCGCCGCAAATCTGGTTTCTCTATTTATTCCAAAGTCATCAAATAATCTTAATGTGTCTGGTCCACTCATGATTAGAAAGGATTAATATAAGCCTATTAAAGATGCTTTTTATTTCCATGATTCGGCCAAAATGTTTGGGGTATGTATGCACAAGCATTTTCTCCATTCATTCCATTCACGCCTCCCATTGCATCTCTCTTTTACTCCCTCTCTTTCTCTTAGCGTCTGCCTCTCTCTCTCTCTCTCTCTCTCTCACTCTACCACTCCTCTCTCTCTCTCTGTCAGACTCACGCTCACGAATGTTTCCTTATAAGGCTGTAGCCCTCTGCTCTCACAGAATGACATAAAGCTTGATTGACTGAATCAGACGCAAATTATCAATAGCCCTGTCTCAGAGGCGACCGGGTCAATACCTTGATATGTACTTTTGTAATCGCTGAGTCCCCTCAAACGCAACATTGTCCCAGTTTTTCCCTGCCTCCCGTGACTGTAATGTATCCACCTTTCCCTCCTTTCTTCTGAGCCTCTCTCTCTGCTCTGCGTCACAGCTGGTCATGTGACGCTCTCCCATTTGCGTAACGTGGCGCTATCAGTCAGTTATGTTATTATTTAAACAAAGCTGTTGGTGTCGGAATAAGTGACTGACATATCATAAGCCATCTTTTTCCTTTTTTTTGTGTGTCCACAGTAGCTTCTCCTACAGTTTGAGATTATTCAAGGAAACACAGAGCACTGATCAAATGCTCTTGGCGAAATCTCACAAGTCCTAGATGTCTTTATTAAGTCTAGTTACTCCTGTTGGGGTCTAGTTTCTTATTCCTGTCTCCATTTGATAGTCCTCCGTCTGCCTCCGCTCCCCTCGACTGCTCTGTTCAAGGACAATACTCGCCAAAACAGTCCAAACACTTGTGGAACAAGAGATAATGCAGTCATTTCCCACATACACTTTCAGTGGGTCTCTTATCTGTGGCCTTGTCTTTCCTCCTGCTTGGCTTTCGCTCTTTTTCCCCGTTGCTTCTTGTTGTGTCGAATGCTTGCTCAGGAAGCGCAATGCCAGTATTTGTGCAGTGAGTCCTTCAGAGCTTGATTAACATGACTTTGACCTCAGATGTTCTTTTTTTGAAGCGCTGTTTGTCCATTTTGCAATTACAGAACCGAGATGGACATAGCTACTGATTAACTTTGTTCAACTAATTACGCAATAAAAAAAAACATCATTATTAGCTTGATGTGATACAGATAAAATGTTAATCTCCTGATGTTATTACCTCTGTTATGAATCCTTCTTCACTTCATGTACCAGCCTCTATCATTGACTGTCTCTTCCCCCCTTAGACTTATCAAAAGGGGGTCTTTGTTTATTATTTTAAACAAAACTTATCTAACACACAAAAATTCAGCGTCTTTCTAAAATTATTTTCACATTATGTTAGAGATTGTGTTCATACTTAAAAACTAAATAAAATATTGATGCTATGTCATTTCATTTTATTCACACTCAAATGTCTGTTTTTGAGTTATATTCAATGTTTTAGAGCATTTCCAGAATAATATTATGCACTTCAAATATCATTTAATAGATGTGACCATGACAGGGATTTATATTAGGGCCTGACCGATTTATCAGCGAGCCAATTAAATCGGCCAATTTTAGCCCATTTGAGACTAATTGGTAATCGGCCAAAACTCGCAGATTTTCTCCGATATTTTCAGAAATAAAATGCGGAGAATAAGATTCGGTTTCACTTCGAAAAATGTTTCGCCATTTGAAAAGATCCCCCGACTTATCCTGTAGATGGCACAGCGACCTCATGACAATGTTCATCCACGAACTACCTCACAGCACAGCAGAGTGACGGCAGCTCAGGGATGCGCGGAGGAGAGTGGTCCGCCGCAACAGTAAATAAACCAGTTTGTGAAATACACAATAAGTCAAGTTTCAGTTCAACCCACTTCATGATGTTCCCCGCTGTGCTGGTCTGGGTCACGCCAAGTAAACGGTGAAGCACCATGTAATATGCAAGCTAAAGTTAGAGTTAGCCATCTGCTATTAGCCTTGCTACACTGTTAGCCGTGCCAGTATCGGTAGAATAAACAACAGTACACATTGCGTGATCGAGCTACTTCTCTTACTGAGGCAGCTGTGTGTCTCCAGATGAGGCCGGACCGAAAATGTGTAACGTGAGTTAAGACGCGAAGGCACCGATCGGTGGGATAGTTGAAAACGCTTTTCTGGTCCGAGTTTGATCAGTTGGTCTTCCTGTTGGCGTGAAGAGCAGTAGCCTATAGTATATCTACAGTATATAGTGTACTGTAGATATCTACAGTATATGTGATTTTAGAAATTCATAAAAAAAAAATTTAAATCAGTAATCGGATTTTTTTCCCCCCTAACAATCGGCATCGGCCCCAAAAAATCCATATCAGTCGGGCCCTAATTCATATGTTATTTTTGTTGCAGGGGTATTTCTCATCCCCTACCTGCTGATTGTGTTCATCGGTGGAATCCCGGTCTTCTTCTTGGAGATTGCACTGGGCCAGTTTATGAAGCAGGGAGGGGTCTCTGCCTGGAACATCGCACCCCTCTTCAAAGGTTACTACCACATGTTAAAATCCCTCTGAAGTAGGTCTATAACGCAGTGTGATTTCAACTTTATGTGTAAATCCTTTCTCTTTCCATCAGGTCTGGGCTTGGCCTCAATGGTGATAGTGTTCTTCTGTAACACCTACTACATCATGATTTTGGTGTGGGGCCTCTACTTTCTCTTCCACTCCTTTACCAACCCACTGCCCTGGGCCACCTGTGGACACCCCTGGAACACCCCCAACTGTACACAGGACTTCCGCCGCGCCTGCCACAACCGTAGTGCTACCCAGGCAGCTCTGCTGTCAACTGATGCCTCCTCCTCCAACCCCCTCGCTCCAACCACGTCCCCGTTGAACCTCTCCTCAGCCCAGCTTCTCCTCAATGGCAGCTGTATGGAGGTGGAAGGCATGCGCTCCCCAGTCATCGAGTTCTGGGAGTATGTCACACACTGCCTGAGTTTTTGTCATTTCACTTCATATACATGATGGATTTTTAGCCAGATTTAGTCTAGCAAGAAATTTACTCTCCCGCAAACTACAAGTTTATGAACTTGTTGAACTAAAATTTATAAAATATTTAATCCTGAAGTCTGTTACGATTCGTCTTTGCTAACTTTTTTCTTTGCTTGGAATTTTTTATTTATTTTTTTTAACTCTGATTGGTTATGTTATGTGTTGTTTTGTTAAACCCAGGTCCAATATCCCTCCACATTTTCCAAATCTTTCAAGTTTTTACATGCTCCTTAACTGAGGAGCAGATAATGGTGACAACTGCTCTGATATCCCACAGATTTGGACAGCCTGTATGATACCAGTATGGCTATCATGTAAGCACAATGATTATGGAAATGGAACAGTGTGTCTGGAGAGATTTTGAAAATCTAAATTTACATCTATAAAGATTTCCGTTGACTCATCTTCTGCCAAATGACTAATAAAATTTAACAAGGTACTGCATCGAGGCGCTGTGTACTTTGAGTAACTTTCTGACCTTTGTTCGGTCAGAAGCTGCTTTTATGTCACTGACACTTCACTTTTCTGGTATCCATCTTGCACTTGCAAAGCCTATAAATGCCTAATTTGGCATGCAAAGCTACAGTTACTTTTATTCTGTTGGAGTTATATATGAACCTTTACTGTGTGTCTTCAAAGTGTGCTTTTGGAAACCTCCCTTCTTTCCCCTCTTGTTTAATGCTGCATCTCTTCCTTCCTTCTAGACGTAAAGTACTTCGTCTCTCTGGCGGGCTGCACGAGCCTGGTGACATCAGCTATGAGATGGTGCTGTGTCTTATAGCTACTTGGGTCATTGTTTACTTCTGCATGTGGAAAGGAGTCAAATCCACCGGCAAGGTAAAGCATTTTCTGTCTGTACTGTTCATGATTTTCAATGTTGTATGTCGATTTGGGTTCATGGAGAGCAGATTAACAGTACTGGCTCGATGAATTTACTGTAAGTGAAGGTATTACTCTCTTTTGTCAGGGGTGATGGAGTATTTGCATGGCAGAGTTTCAAATCATTGCAGCATGTTGGCCCTTGGCCCCAGTGAGAAAATCATCGTCTAGACTGAAACACAAAAATAATCACACTTATTTATTATTTAAATGTCTGCTAATTTGTGTGGCTGCCTGATTTCTCAGGGAATTTATGTATATGAGCAGCTTAATGTTCTAATAAGGCTCTAATCTTCACTTGATCCGTAGATCCCTATTATGTTTTTCTCTACGTAAATCTTAGTTAGAGCGACTCCTCTTTAATAGTTTGTAAAGATGCCTTCTTTTTTGTAAATGTGTCCTGCCACATCACCGTATGAACGCATCTTTATTTGTGTTACTTGGGCATGTCTGTGTTTGCATACTTGTGTCTCCAGAGAAGCCAAAGCTCATAGTGCGAGGGAGAAAAAATAATGAAGGCGATTGAGCCAGCCAGCTGTAAGCCGATTAGTAGCTTTCCACCATGTAGATGTTTTAGAGCTGGAAGGGGCTTTTCTGCCAATGTTCACCCTAGATCAAGGCAAATATGTGCTTTCTCACTACTTTGCTCTCACCATACTGATTTAGCTTGGACTTGATGCTGTGATTAGGTAGCAGGGTGCAGTTTTCTCAGCATAACTTGACAAAGACTACCTTCTGAAAAGGTCTGCCAAAAACCCCTGCTATTGCAGGAGGTTTACAAATTGTCTGGCTTTCCATTTACAGGCTACCTTTTCTTCAAAGTAACATGACAGGGCCCATTACACATCTACTTCAGGAAGGACCTAATGGGCTTCTACTTAAGACTTGAGTATTTGCAAAGCAGGTAATTGCTCAATCAAAGTGATAAAAATATACTAAGGTGCAAATATATAAACACTCATAGATCATAGATGATGGACAATTTCATAAGCACTGAACTTTTCCAGCTAGCTTGTTAAATTCATCACATAATTACATATGTAATGTACTTGCGTGTATTTGTAGGTGTTAAAATGTTTTAAGGGTTTACTATGGAGTCTTTTTTTCACTCAATGCAAGCTATAGTGCACAGAATTCACAGCTCACCTCACCTCCCCCAAGTATACCTTACAAATTTGGTCCCAGAGAATCTACAAGTGTACTTCACAGCTCTCTTTTTTCATCTTTCTGTAGGTTGTGTACTTCACTGCTCTTTTCCCATACCTGGTTCTGGTCGTCCTTTTGGCCCATGGAGTCACTCTACCTGGAGCTTTGGATGGGATTGTTTACTACCTGAAACCGGACTGGTCTAAACTTGGAGAAGCCCAGGTATGACCATTGCATAACCCAACATCTGGCTGCCCCCCGAACGTTTGCCTCTTTCTGTGTAGCAACAAGAAAATATTGCATATTTGTCCATCAGTGTCGAGAAAACACAATTCAAAAAAGTGTAAAACATTATCCGGATTATTCCGTCTTTTACAGGTGTGGATTGATGCTGGCACTCAGATTTTTTTCTCTTATGCCATCGGACTGGGCGCTCTGACTGCGCTGGGCAGCTACAACCGCTTCCATAACAACTGTTACCAGTGAGATGACACACGACACACAGTACTTCACATCACACACTACTGTCACTGGAATAAGGCCAACATCAACACTAACACCGTCAGCCAGACTCTGTGTTCTGCCACATGTCACGGTAGAATATTAAAGAAACATTAAGTTTCTTTCACTGGGTAGAAACAAGCAGAAAGAGAGCAACTTCAGTTTGTTAAAGTCAAATTAAAGCTATGGTCTACAATCTGAAAACCAGTTTTGGCTGTTGAGACAGATTTAAAAAAAGCAGCCTGTTCCAAGATCCCGCCCCCCTGCCCGTGTCGCCTCCTAACAACACGCCCCCTCCGATAGAGCAAGAAGCCGGTCGGCAGAAAATATCAGTGGCAAAGCTAGCTTAAAAAATATCTCTCTTGGACCGGCGCGATCAAAACCATATATTAGCGGGGCGAAGCGGGTCTGGTGTCACCACTGCTAGCCAGTCAGAGCAGAGCCGATTGTGGGCGAGGCTTTACCTTTCTCGGTGTGTCTTCCCCAGCTCAGTTTACAATGCTAAAGATACGTGGCTAACTTATGCTAAAATCTATTGACAGAGCCTACCCGTTCCGACCAACAACGTTCAGTCATTAGCCGGAGTAGGCACAGACTAACCAGAGTTATTCAGCAGATCTCCCACTGTAGTAAACAAAGTAATTACCTGTTCAACGGAAATTCGGCTGTCTCAGCGGTTGGACGTTTCTCTGATGTAGACTCTCCGTTGGCGCCTGTATCGCTCATATTTCTTCCTTAACTTCAGGCTTTTCCTCGAAACTTCTACGTTTCCTTCCCTTCGATGTGGAGGGTAACAGAAGCGGCCTCCTGGTTTCGGTGTTTGTCTCCGACTCCATTGCGCTTCAGTAGCTGTGCAGCTAGCTAATCACATGTACGTGAGGGGGGTAGTGGGAGGAGGCGGACCATGGGCGGGACGGTGTGGACCAATCCAAACCGTCGTAACCCTGGCGGTTCAGATTGGTCGATTATTATGCCTTTTTGCAGCGGATATACTGAATGGATTTTTTTCGTTCTTTTCGATCTTTATATTGCGTATATCGGATCATAACGGCCTTATAAACAATGTTATTAATAAGTACCAAGCTTCCAAATGGTAGACCGTAGCTTTAAATACAAGAAGGTCCAAAACGCCTCAAATATTAAACACTAAGCCATTTCTTTTCCTGATGTAAGTAGGAGTAAATCAGCTGTCAGCGAGCACCAAAGTGAGTTCTTTATCATCCATTAGGCTTTATCTTAATCTCAAGCAGTCATTCCACTGTGCCTTCTTAAAGCTGAAGACATAAAAAGCAACAATAGCGGGTCAGAGATAGAAGCACAAGCCTGTGTCACACAGTGTGCGTATAACAACAGCTGGCCTCACATGTGCTGTTTTCTGTTGGATGCTTGGTGAGCTCGCATGCGTTTACCCCAAACAGGCAGATATGTAAACATAATAAGAACTTTACAAGGTAGCTCCGTGGATATAATTGTTTTCTAAACAGCAGCACTTGCATATTTGGAATGTCCATAATAGGAGGAGCTTCACAAATACCCCGCCATCCGACTTTTTCTCTGCCTTGACCTTAATTGGAAGTTAAAAGATGAGATCAGATTCTGAGGTATGTCAGCTCAGCTCTGTTTCTCACACACACACACACACTGTAAGCACAAGAATAGCTAGAGCTGTGTATATAAACTGCTCACGGATGCCGAGCTATGGTATATTTTCAAAGAACACAATTTCGGGGGTCATGTTCACTTGATTCCAGAACACATAGCTTAACTTTTCATGTCTTTTTTTAATTTCATGCTAGCTATGGAGCTGCAGGGTTCACAGTCTGTTTATTTGTCCGTCTAAGAGATTTAGGAGCGGAGTGAAAGTATAACACTCCCAATGCCTCCACAGAGGAAAAACAAAAGAGAAAGTGCCCTGTTATGCTAGCTTTCAACAAAAACTACATCTGCTTGTCTCAAATGAACACACGAGGAACTGCATTTTTGCGTTCTTCGTATGACAATGATCGATGCAGCTTTCAGTGGAATAATCCAGGTCTGGCAGTATTGAGCTCGGCCTGACAACATATATGACAAATGCATGTACAAAGACTTGTTGTGGCCTGCTGTGTATGCTCAGGCACTCTTGATAGCCATGATTATTAACATCCATAGGCACTCCTCACAGCACAGCTTCATTCAGACGAATAGAGCCTAATGACTGAGTGCGTCTTGCTTCTGGATACAGCTGGTGTTACAACAGACATCATTGTGCAGCTGTTGTTTAAACATTCTTCATATCAGAAAGGATTCTTGGCTGATGTTGACTTATCAGGATAAACAGGAGGTCATTTTTTTACCATGACCGCTGTATTACAAGGGCTGTGCTCATGCGTAAATGAGAATAAGATCCCCCTTATTAAGTATTAAAGCGTGTATCATTATTGTTGTACTTTTATTTATACATAGTGTGTAGTGCTGAGGGTTTTCTTTTACTCTTTCCCTCTCAGACCTTGAGACGGGCCTCCCATCAGCTATTTTCGTTGCTCTTTGTCTCTACCTGTCAACGCCAGAGACAACAACAGCTTTCAGAGAAATTGCTATTGATCCTAAATTCGCTATCCCAGCCCATCTCCTCTGTGGACCGAGTTTGTCTTGAGTGTCCTACATGAACCTCATATTACAGCACGTTCTAATGTACCTGAGTCTCACAGTTTAACTCTCTCTTTCTTCCTCTGTACAGGGATGCTTTCCTGCTGGCTCTCATAAACAGCGGAACAAGTTTCTTTGCAGGCTTTGTGGTTTTCTCTGTGCTGGGCTTCATGGCTGCAGAGCAAGGCGTGGACATCAGTAAGGTAGCTGAGAGTGGTAAGAATTACGGCAAGGCTGCATGAAAGCAAGTGCAGTAAGCTCAGAATCGACAGTAAGAGCTGAATTCCATGTATGGTTCATGGCTCTGACTCTGTTTCTCAACATGCAGGTCCTGGTCTGGCATTTATAGCCTACCCTAAGGCAGTGACCCTGATGCCTCTGGCGCCACTCTGGGCAGCACTTTTCTTCTTTATGTTGCTCATACTGGGCCTGGACAGCCAGGTAATTCTGATCCCTGTCACATTTGAGCTTGTTTTGTAGAGACACTTGCGAACAAAAACAAATCAGAAGCAGTATACGGAAGAATTTCCTGCTTCTATATCGTATCCAGTTTTAGCTTTAGTTTCCGAAGCAGCATTTTTGTTGTGTGTCTGTTTGAGCCGGAGCCTACATCCATTGTTTTACAGCCCAGGGTTTTTGTCAATGAGCTTCTGTCCGATTCACACAGAGAGCGTCTGTCTCCTCTCCAATCCATTCAGTTATTCTCACTTGTCATTCTCTCCCTCATTTCTTCTTCTCCTGTCTTTCTCCGTAGTGCTTACATTGTTGCTTTAATGAAAGCTGTGAAAATAGCTTTGTTCCTCTGGAGGTTTGTGTAAAAAGTCAAGCATGGGCTGGCTGAGGATAGGTGTCTGAATCTCGGCTTATATTCTCTCCTGCACAGACACACAAATATAAGTCTTGGAACTGTTTGAGAAGGAACTGTACACCACAGTACAGGATTCAGAAAGCTAAAACAAAGAGCCGAGCAGCTGATGCATGATCCTTAATGTTTCATTTTTAAGGATTTGGAAACATTTTCAGTTTCGATGTTATTCCCCAGGACAGATAAATGTTATGTTTTACCTTAAATTGTATTTGTGGGCATCAGAAATGTGCTTTTCTATCATTCATACTGAATTTTTCAGTTTGTAGGGGTGGAGGGTTTAATAACGGGAATCATGGATATGCTACCCCCCAAATCTGCCCTGGGCTCCCTGCGACGAGAGGTGGTAGCAGCCATCTGCTGCGTCATCTGCTTCCTCATCGACATGTCCATGGTCACCGAGGTACAGTGAGGACTTTCTTGACTTTTTCACTCATACTTATTCAAAAGTAACACAACCTATCACTATGAGGCCAGAGAAAATAATCAGAAAAATGCTGAAAAGTCTTTTTTAAATTGGATTGTTAGCCCCCATTCTGAAGAAGGCGTAAAAAAACGAATTTCCAGGGAGACACTTGGATGAAAGCCTAAAGAGTGGGGACGAGGCTGGAAAATAGGTCACACATTAAGTATTAACATTGTGGTCTTAATGCTGACTGCTTGCTCTGTTTGTTACAGGGAGGGATGTATGTCTTCCAGCTGTTTGACTACTACTCCGCCAGTGGCATCACTCTGCTGTGGCAGGCCTTCTGGGAGTGTGTTGTTATTGCATGGGTCTATGGTGAGAGAGCACCCAACTATCACAGCACATCCAACACAAACACCACCATTCAAAGCATAATCAAAGCGTCCCTCTGTCGTGTTTATCAGGCGCAGACCGTTTCATGGACGACGTGGCTCGTATGATCGGCTATCAGCCGCTCCCCTACATGAAGTGGTGCTGGTCCTACATCACGCCTTTTGTCTGTGTGGTGGGTGCAGCTCTGTGTGCTTTTCTTTGAGTTTTATCAACCATTTTACATAATACTGACCTCTATTGTGCACGCAGGGAGTGTTCCTGTTCCACGTAGTGAACTACAAGCCCCTTACCTACAACACAGTGTACACTTATCCCTTGTGGGGTGAAGCGCTTGGATGGGCACTGGCTCTGTCTTCAATGCTCTGTATCCCTGTTACCGTTCTGTACAAGCTACTGCGCTGCAAAGGATCTTTGCGGGAGGTCAGTGTGCTTAGGGGCAGGCATGCATGGTCATTCACTCTCTTTTATGAGTGTTTCTGTTTAGAGTCTGCAGAAATGTGTCTCCTTGGATACTGCCCAACCTTTCTTGCACGTTATTTATTTAGCTAATACCCTTGTCACTCATTAAAGAAAGCCCTTTCGAGCAGGTCGAAGCATGTCCTCTATTGACAGCTCTTATTTTTGCCCTTGTCTCCCTCCACACAGCGGTGGCAGCACCTTACCACACCAGTTTGGGGTAGACATCACCTGGAGTACCTCGCCCCTGAGAGCGAGGCCAAACTGCTGCCCCCTGCAGGCACCAAGAGCACGCTTCTCTTTGAAAGTGTCATCTGATGAGCTGAGCCCCACAGATTACAGAGCAAAGGTTGCCCCCTGACAGTTACACACACACACACATTTACACAAACTGACACACACGCTACACATGACACATGCATTCTACACAGGCCCGATAAGAGCAATGCCCAGATTTATTAAACTAAACTGCTAAGGAGAAGCCCTGGACAAATGGACCAAAGAATACATGGGAAAAGAACTGAATTACACATCCTCGACCATACAGTCATTGTCACACGCTGTTAAACCCTCTGCTCTGCTTTTCTGACTCTACCTCGCTGACTCCGCCCTCTCTCTCTCTGCTCCCTGCCTTTGTGCTGTCCTGTCCTGTCTCGTCCCGTGGGTGTTGTGTACCTGTGTAGCCGTGATATCTTACCTCTCTGTGCCCATTTGTCAGGGTTTTTAATGGCCTCATCCATCCAAACATGTCGTGTCCTGTTGTGAGCAGAAACTTAAAAAGATTCTAATGAAACTTTCTTCATGAAAGACCTCATATCTGCTGCTGATTTGCTATGGTCCGAGTGTGTCTGTTTGAACTTACACAATGTTTGTGCGTCTGTACCCATTGTGTGTGTGTGTGAATGTGTGAGTGTGAGCATGTGTCCTCGAGGGGATGTTTGTGTCGGACCATGGCGGTAGTGTCTTCATTTGTATGTGAAGTAGCCTTTCAGGCCATTGTTCCTGCCAACTGTATTCTCTCAATCAACTGTACAAAAACAACTTCCATTTGTAAAGAAAAATAGTGATACTGATAATCAAAAAGAGACAATGCATCACCACTTCCAGCTGTGTGTTATGAACTATCTTAAATATCCAGTGTATTGTAGGGTCTGTGAATCAGTGTTAATATTTGGAGGGGGTGATGATCAGTATTTCCACCTTAAAAGAAGGAGAAATTGTAGACTGAACTGTGCAAAAAGCAGGAGAGTGGGACGAGGGGAGGGGAAAGAGACTTGATGCCATGTCAGGAAAGAAGCAATAAATGACCTGATAAAGATGGACCCAGTGTGCATTTATGACTCTTTATTTACACTGTCCCATTAATACTTCATTTATAAACTCACATGAGATACGTACAAAAAAGCATCCTGGTTCAATCACATCAAAACTTGTGGCACCTCTACATGCACAGTAAAAAAATGAACACATCAGAAAGTCAAAGAAGTCATAGAAAACTAGCAACATAATGTGTCGGGCCAAACAAGTGTGAGCAATAAGCACTAAAGGAGATCTGTGTGTTCTGTAATCTACAACACTTGACATTGTTTGCATAAGAGTGGTTTGTCCACAGAGCCAATCATGTTAGGATAGCTGACACACATTTCAGTGCTTCCTGCAGGTTGATCATTCATTTACAGAAGGTGGCATCTGTTGTGGCAACCCTTGATATCAGAGTCACCTGACAAGCCATCCACATGATACTGTGATTGTAAAAGCATGTTTCAGTTATATAATCGCTTATTTAAATAGACCTTACTCGAATATCTTAAATCTTTCCTTTCGAATACATGACACACAAACAAATGATTGTTTTTGAAGTCCGGGGCAAATATCTTTGGAAAGTTGTTGAAAACACGTGGTATCAGAAAGGCACATGGCTGTTTTAGCCTCTGACAGTTATAATAGCATGGCATTGTATCTGGAAATAGAAGATGTCAGGAATCAGACATGCAGACACATATAAATACACCCACGATGCATTCAAAGCTGCTGCCTCTTTGGAATTCATCACAACATATATATTAAATTCAGCTTATTCTTATGGACAAATAAGGCAAATAAATGCTAACCTACTGGCAGGGGTAATGTAGAGGCCAATCAGCAACGAATATTTACACTTATTTAATTTGTTATGGAGGACAGACTATATAGATTGTAATGCTGACATAGACCTGTTCACACCTCTCACATGAGTTTCCCCTTACAGTCAACCTTTCTCTCACTCTCTCACACAGGCTATAAATACTAACTCCTATTAGTCCAGTGTTACATTCTCCCACTCTATCCCCCCCGCCCCTTCTCCATCTCTCTCACACACGCCACAGAGCAGAGAGCTGCAGTGACGTACTGCTGGCTATCTCATTAGACGATATCATAAAAAGCCCGTTACCACGACGACGACTCCCTGTATTTCCATGGCAACCAGCCGCCATGTCAAGGTGGTGCATTCTCCTCTGCTGAAGAGAGGAGGAGACAATGACGACCAACAGTGGGCAATGAAAACAGCCAGCAGCCTGAAGGCAGGATGGAGAGTGCTGGAGCAGTCTGACCCCTGCTGGTCACATCTTAGTGGTGCAGGGCACATTCTGGAAGAGAAGGAAGGATAAAGTGCTGAGGGGAAGGAACATTTCAGACAGATGACAAGTGATAAGTAGAGCTTTAAAAATGTAATTGATTTTCATGGGGATGAACTCACTAGAATAAAGTCTGTCTGCTCCAGTCTCTGAAGAATGTGAAGCACTGCATCGTGTACCGTGACAAACAGCCTGCTCTTCGGGATAGACTCTGAGAAGAAACCTGCCGTTTCCAGCTGCTCTATGATGCATGCTGAAATATGACAACACGGAAAAGCACACATGACAATAAGCACCTTCAAGAATGCACCAGATGGAGAACATTTCGTGATAAGAGGATAGAGATAAATAAAGTACTCATTATCTAAATCTCCAGTGCCTTGAGTCAGCACTAAGGACATTCACTTGTCTCTGTTTGGTCTGTTGACTCACCTTGGCAGCCTGCAAGATAGATGTCTATGTCAATCTCGCCAAAGTCCCTGAATATCTAAGAGAAACAGATACAACCTCATGGTTTATTTTGTCTTATTACTTTTAAAGATAAGCCTAACTCCCTCCTCCTTCCCCTGTCCTGTCTTATATAACATGCAAACATTTCTTGTTACACACATACATTTTTTAAGGTCTTCACAGTGACAGTGTCCACGAATCCAGTTGTAGAAATGTCCAAAATGATGCTGTGTGTGCGTAATGTGTGGACCTTTTCCATCTCCTCGTCTCCTTGAAGCGATACGGTGGTGATTGTTTTAACACAGCCTGTTTCTGAATCTGAGTCTGACATGTCATTCTGGAAAGCCAAGTTGACTTGGCCTTGACTCAGGCCATATGTTGAAGTCTGTTTGAGATTTAAGGCGACACCATTCCCTAAACTGTGTCCTCTTTGTCCTTCATAGACTTCATCTTTGTTCATCTCTGACTCCCTTGAGGTAAAAGTGCCATTGGAAAGTTGGCTGACTGTTTTTATCTGTTAAAAAGTTGGAAAAGCAAAATGAGTGACAAAGCATAAATCTGTTTTGGTATACTTTTAAATGTGTCACTTAGATTATCATACTTGACTCTTTGCTTCCTTTTTAGCTTTCTTTTTCGCTTTCTCCTGTTTGCGCTTCAGCTTGGCATCATGTTTTTTCTTCGCCATCAGCAGCTTTCCGATATCAATTCCACTCTGCATTATGATAAAACGAGGGAAGAGAAAGTGAGATGAGTGAGAGGGGTAATGAAAGCAATTACAGGGGCTGTAGACAGCGTACAGGGATTACAACTTGTAATCAAACACAAGCCAGCCAGCACATAAACACACATCCACTTTTATAGACACACACCTTTTCCTGCAGGGCTTCCAAGTACATCTCAGCATTTGTGTAGTAGATGGTTGTGGATGAACGGAAGATTTTAAGTCCTGGAATCTCTTTAGCCTGCAGGGACACACCATAAAGCAGAGCAGTTCTGAAAACCACACTTTGTTCTGCATTCATTTGCACTTTTTGCCCTCTAGTGTATTGTTTGACTTAATTGGGTTCTTCTACAACTAACGACCAAAGACGAACTTCTCAAACACGGTGTTCTTGTTATGGGTCAGTAGAGTCAAATTGAAAAAAAATAATAAATAAAAAAGGAAAAAAACTCATTTTCTCATTTGGCCTTATCAAATGATGTGGTAATGTGTGGCTGTAACCCCAGATATAAAACCTGAGAAGGATCATTTCACTCTTTCTTGATAAATTAGCTGCTGAACAGACGACCAACTGTGAAATCTGGCCAAGCTTTGATGAAAAACAAAGTGGTCGATTTCTGTTAGCAGCCTACTGACAACAGACAAGCACTCAAAGATTGTGTGAAAGCATTACATATGCTACCATTAGGGTAGCAAAGCTGTACACAAAAAGGTTTTTGCTCCGAGCTGTTATTTGAGCTGAAAATGTGCGTTTATGGTGCTGTTGTTGTTTTAAATTGTACCAGTATGACAACCAAACCGTGATATGAGTGTAAGTAACCTCCTGGTCAACAGTTACTTAATCTTGCAGATGACTGGATGCTGATGTTAGCTGTTGGTATATCATCTTTATCTTTTTATCAGCATAAAATTTGACCTGATGTCTTACAGCGTGTATGTTTCAGTCTCTGATCAGTCTGTAAGTGTAAGCATTTTAAAAGACAACAGAGTCAGTGGAAACTTTCTTCAAGATAATTATGAAAGGGGGCTTTAAGCTTACATGCTAATGTTAGCGTTCAAACATGCTCACATTAGTTCGTTTACATGCACAGTTAGATCAAGTTGTGTATTTTTATACCTGTCTGTTATTTGTTTACTACCCACACCCATGTTAGCATACTTTGTAGCATTTTACACCTAACACAGCCGAGGTTATGTATTTCACTTTTTTTTAGCTGAACGTAGAGTTCTATGGAAAAATTAGGCCCTCAGCAAAGTTTCACATTCATCCTGATGTAGATGTCTGTGGTGTTATATTCACAACTTAAATTCACAGACTCTCTGGTGGCCTTGACATGAGTATAGTACTTTGGGATTGGTCAAGACTCTTACCTCTTTGTAGGTTTCTGTGTCCAGGTAGAGGTCAGTGTCTGACACTCGGCCCAAGATTGAGTAGCGGGGTCTGAAATATATCAATTTTTATACAAAGAATTACCCTTTTTCAACTCTTTAATGTGAAATTCTGTAATATGAAACTCTATCTTCATGTTTGCCCACGCATCAATAGTTATTAACAAATTGTGTGAGCTTACAGTTGAGTTCTGAAGATGACAGTGAGCATGGAAAAGCCAATGGAGACTGCCAAACCCAGGTCCAGGTTAAGAAGGATGGTGCTCATGAATGTTACCAGCCACACCAGCTAGAGGGCAGCGACAACACTCAAAGTCAGTGGGTTCAAAGAGCTTCGAGGTTCACACGGTGTTTAACAGAGCAGACTGAGTCTCAAAGGAGAAATTAATCTTACCAAGTCAACCTTATTGGTCTTCCACAGCATGGGCACGTCCATGAACTGCTTGAACATTCCTTTCAAATTCACAAACACTATTGTAGATAAGACAGCCTGTAGAACATATACACACAGACACAGATGTATTAACAGTTCCTGCAGCCTTTACTGATACACCAACAAAGGAGGGTAAGGGTTACCTTAGGAAGATCTTCAAAGAGTGAACCTATTTTCAGAATTGTGATTAACACGATGACGGATGAGATTAATCCAGCAACCTGACAAGACAAATGTACATACACATTTATTGTGCTGTAAATGGTTTCAAGTTAAACATATGAAAGAAATGTTATCAGAGGTATTTCTGTTGTTTGTACTTGTGTTTTTCCCCCTGTGCTCTCCTGAACAAGGCTGCGAGACAAGGAGGAGGTCACAGAGTAACACTGAAAGAAGCCTCCGACAGTGTTACTGAGACCCAACGCAACCAGCTCCTAAGAGAAAAGAAACACAGAGGCAGACATTCAAGCTGAGAACTGGATTGTCTTTGATATTCATGCTGGCATTTGGAGCTATTAGTCCATCCTTTAGTCCAAGTATGGTATGTGTGCAGTCACTAACTTTGGGCCAATCAAAGAGCAAACTGTTCATTAACTTCCCTGCCACACTGAGGGCAGTGCCAGGCATATTTAAGGCACACTTGATTGCATAAAGCTGGTTGGGCATTAATGATTTAGCAGACCAGCTCTTAGTGGCTGTGAGTGCTTCCTGCCTGTCACTCTCCAGAGAGAATAATCTAAGTCACATGCTTCTGCGAGTGTGTGAATAAGTCTGCGTGCCATAGATAAGAATAAGGGATTACAAAGAACGTTGCTAAAGCTCTTTGCATGCATGTGACAAACAAACTGTTAAAGGTCCGTCTATGTGTGTGAAACTATTTTGAGGGCACATCTATGATTTTTTTTCTGTAGTGTCAAAATGTTCAGGCATTTGTATCAGGCTTACTGGCACCACAGCAACTGTACATCTAACTGTAGGGTGAATCCTGGCTGTCTTTGTAACATGATGCTACGCACTGAGAGACGTTTGGAAATGGACTTGTCTAATTACTGGATTTAATGCATCTTCCCCCACCTCTCTGAGAGGTTAAGACGATCGAAGTCTCTGTCTGTCTGTATTTATTATTAGATACATTCCAGACATTGACGCTGTAACCAATTTGTGGACAGGAACCTCTTTCTTAAATAATACAACTGTGCGTCACTGAGTGTGAAGACCTCATTTCTTGGATGGAAAATTGCAATTTGGGTATCAAAACAATAATCAAAGGATTGTCTTTATAACTAGAAAACTTTGACTTACAGAAATGCATAGTGTGGGTTTTGTATCTGTACAACATAAAATTCCTCCAGTGTCCCATTGCGATGACTGCAAACTTAATCTGAGATTGCAATAAATGGAATTATGACGCTAAACTGAGCACCCAAATACATACGTGGCTTACACTAAGTCAAGATTAATAAGTATCATAGGTCTGGGATCAAAATTTGTCATTTTAGCTGTAAGTCAGGGTGTCCAAGTATAACTCTCAGCTGTTTTTGAGTTTCATGATGTTTGCACTCATGAGCTTATCTGGTTTGTGTCTCTTCCTCACCTGGTTGCTATCCACCTTGTAGCCATGTTTGAGGGCAAATGTTTTGCCCAGGGAAATGTTGATGGCATAGCCCACAATGGCCACTGCAAAAGCATCGCCTATCACCTCAGAGAACAATGTGACATCTGGAGCACGAGGAGCTTTGAGGCTGGAGCAGGAGAAGACAAAAATTTTAGTTTTTTTTTTTTTTTTTAATCACCGTAACCTTGTGCAGCACAAACAGTCCTTCCACAAAAGTCATTCAGTCTTGATAGGCTATATTCATGTCACTATTTCACTAACTTTTCTCTCTCTCCCTCTCTGTCCTTTTTTGGTATTTTTAAACCAGATTTTTGAAACTTAAAAAAAGATTAAACTTGAAACCAGCATCTTTAACAGAAAATTTGAAATTTTTCACAAATATACAAAGCAACTTTTGCTGTACTCTTCTACTCTAGGTTTATTCAACCCTCTTTTATGCCTCTGGGGGAACTCTACTCGCTAATGGACTTTTCCATCCTAGAAGCTTTTAATGTGACAAAAGAACTTCAGAAACTCATTCACCCTGTTCCCCCTTTATTGTGAAGAGTCTTTTACGAGACAACAGCGCCACAAAACCAGGATGCATTTCAGAGCTGTGATATTGTACACAGTCTTGCCCTCGCAGATGTCCTGAATTTCCCTTTAACATTTCAAACACTGAAAGATTAACTTACCCACTTGGAATCTCTCCAACCACATCAATGCTGTATTTGTCTGGAAGTCCGCAGAAGTGGGTGATGATTGTTGCTGCTATAATCTGTTGGAAAAATAAGATGGGGGTTAATCATTATTTTCCCATTCAATCCTACTTTTGACAAGTGTAGAACAAAGTCACGTCCTTCAGTCCAGTATGATCACTGTGGGTCTGATGCCCCCTAGTGGACTATTAAGTAAACCTCATTCATATATGACAGGTGGTTCATGTCTGGATTTTTTGCTTGTGTTGTACTTTCTCTGAGATGTTGAGCGCTTTGGACAACAGAGTCTGCTAAATAAAATTGTAAAAGCTGCAACAAATTGTATATGTGAACTTGAAAAAAGACAGGAACCAGTAAAGTAAAGGACTCACCACTATGAGCTCTATAGGGATAGGCAGAGGCAGCTTCTGTCTGTAGCAGGCATTGACCTCTTTTACCACAATGAGAACAGCAAGCGCCACCAGGCTGACCACCAGCTCTGGCACTTTAGTTTCAGGGAGCAGTCGGCAAATATCCACCAGAGTCTAAGAAGAAGAAAATGGCATAAAAAGAGACAGAGTTAGAAATCAGGCTGAACAATAAATGGAAAAAGAAGGCTAAATAGTAAAAGTACATGTGTGAAAATACAGATAACATGATCTGAAGTCCATTTAAAGCTCCTTTGAGGAACTGTCTGTCTGTGTTGATTATGGGGCCCCCAGTGGATAAAGTGGTAATCCTTATATTGTTGCTGAATTTGTCCCATCAGTGTGAAAGCAGTGTTAGTTTGAAAAACTAAAAGTTATTGCATTGATGATTGCAGTGGAAGCTGTTTCCTCAGCCTACCTTACGCCTCACAGTAGTTACAGGCATTAAAATTACAGTATAGAAATTGTCAGTGCTATTGTTGATACATTGTAGGGATACACTACGACTTGTTTCAGCCCGTTTTCAAAACCCATTATAAAATCTTCACAGGAGCTTCAAATTCAATATTTAAGTACATAAGAATAAGACAAAAAGATGCAGCCCTCTGTCACTTTACGTAATTTTAAAAAGAGGATACAGCCAACAGCGGTTTATCTTAGCACAAGTCTTGATTCAGGTGTCAATAAATTGTTTTGTTTTGTGTAAATGTAAAAAAAAAATCCAATGATATCAGCGTCTCTAACACATCAATACCTCAATATAACTTAAGTGTTTTTCTTGTACAAACAGTGGGATTTTCATCTTTGAGAAAATTGTCTTTCCTAACCTTTTGTATGGCAACGAAGTCTTCTTTATGCATTTTCTTTGGCGGATAAAAAATTTAGCAGGTATTTTACCGTTAGACTGAACATGAAGAGCTGTTTTACGGTATATGCTAAGCTAATTAGCTTCATGTTGTTTTGGAGTGTCACCCCAAATAATAAATAATGATAAATTCAGGGAAATTAGTTGAGTGGGATGATTCTGTATTGTATAGTTGCTTTCCCTTTCCCTTACTTTCTGTCTTTCTCTTTCTAAAGCTTCTGTGTGAGGCAGGGAGAGGCTGACTCTGCTGCAGCAGCTGATTAGGCACACCTGGGGTCACTTCGTCAGCTGATTAGGCACACCTGGGGTCAATTAGTCAGCTGATTAGGCATACCTGGGGTCGCTTAGACAATCAAACTGTCTTAAAAGTCTGATCTGAACTCCACTTGACTGCCAGATTATACTATCTTGTATGGTACAGCTCTGTGTACCCAGTTCCTATAGTTTTTGAGAATTTTTTTTAACCTTGTAGATTCTTTTGGCTCACTTGTATTTCCTCTCTGCCCAGGACCTCCAGTTTGCTGATATTGCTGCAGCTTTGAAGATTTTTGCTCCAACCAGCCACATCCCTGCCTTCACTGCCTGCTTAATTTTTGTTTGAAATAAACTTCTGCTTGAAACATCCTCCATCAGTCAGTTAGCTAGTAAGTTTAGACTAAAAAAGGGAAAATGAGGTTGAAGCGATATCTCAAATCACTGCGAGCTTCCCCAAATTCATTTAAAACTTGCTTACCAATTATTATTTTTTGTCATTTAGTGTCAGAATCCATGTATACACTTTGTACAGCATAGCAGACTCACGTAAATAAGTGAGAGAGGACCACTGAAGCGATCTGGCTTTACTCCAAACAGGTACTTGAGCTGGGAGACGCATACATGACATGCTGATCCTGTGGTATAGCCCCGTACCAGAGGCTCAGACAGGTAGGTGACCACAAAACCAAACCTCACCACGCCCAACAATATCTTCGATTCGGGGGAAAAAAAAGGTTATCCAAAATTAGTACAGTATGACTTTTAATAATTGTTCAGAGTCATTGTATTCACAATGGAAACACACCTGAAAGATTCCTGCCAAGATGGTGAGGGCACATGCTATCTGTACTCTCTGCGTGTCGCGTGCATCAATGTCTACATTATCTGTCCCATTGGTGCTGTTAGCTACAAAGTTACCATCTGGGGCCAGCCTCTCTGTTACACTCCCAATCATGATGCTGATCACTGCGAATGTACCTGGACACACAAAACACATGCTAAACATGTCATGCACAGAAAGACAAATAAAGATGAGTTTATATATGATCTTTAAATTCTTAACTCACCTATGGAGATGTGTCTAGAAGTACCAAAAATGAAGTAGATCAGCACTGGATAGAGGGATGTATACAACCCAAAGACAGGGCGTAATGAAGCCAAAAGAGCATATGCCATGCCTGATAAGAAAAAGAAATGATAATGAAGTACACTTTCTTCCTTGTCAAGTAAATGTCGAGCAAAACAATTTACTCTTACATGTGTTTATCAGATTATTAGCTATATCTTGTAAAATCAATACAACAATTCAAGTTTGAAAATCTTCACTTTTTGATAATTTCAAAGTCAGGTGCAGTGATTTCTTTGAATCAGTCTTTTTGTGGCTGAAGCTGCAGTTCCTTCACCTGCCACTGGAGGCTGGTTCCAAGAACAAGGGCAAATCCCCTTAGATCCAATATGAAAATGTCAAACTTTACAGTTCAAGAATGATTACAGTTTTATACCCAAGGCCTCTTTGAAGCTTATATATGGGGTGTATTTTTTAAATCTAAATCACTGATTCAAATAGAGACCTAAAACTGCATGTACATTTTGTATTGACAGAATTAAGAAAATGAGTTATTTTTACATTAGTGCTACTAAGTGTCGCACATTGCTTTTCTTTTACTATACTGCTGTTAATCATCATAATTAGTGTTATTTTTGTAAATGTCTGTATGTTTGTCCCTTTCAATTTCACTTTACCCCACTTTGTTGACCCAACCTGTTACAGTATGTGACTTTACACCAATGAATCGGGCTCTACTGGAGGTTGCAAATGAAGGCATCCTTCTCCTGAATTCTCATTGAAGTTCATGTCATTTTGCTATGACTGGTAAGACTTCATATGCAAAGTTAAGCTATAAGCTGATTAAAAGGTAGCATTTTAGCTGATCAGTGTCAGAGTGGTATTGATATCATTTATTAATTGACAGATATTCAGAGCATTTCCCATCGATGTCAGATCATTAATTCCAAGCATCAAGTTTGCTTAGTTTGTTTGATCCATGTGGATATTTGGTGATCCCTCTACAGTGCACATTCATACCCTGTGGTAAATGCATGATGCCGACGCTGCAGCCAGAGATCACGTCCCCCAGGGCATTCTCTCTGAAGGAGTAGTGAGGCAGCCAGCTGAGAACAGGGACCCAACTCAACACTGTATGCTTCAGCCTGGGAGCTGAACACCTGCATGCCAAAAACACACATCATTCATATTGATGAGCAGCAATCTTCATCTATTTTCACTGAGTGTCTCACCAGAGACATTTTCTGTTTAAGTGTTCGCCAGTTTGTGGAATTACTAACAAATCCTGAAATGAGATGTGTGAATTGTAACAGCTGCTGCTGTTATTATCAGCTGGCCTTGCACAATAGTGACACACTGGATAACACCAGCACGTCAACGTGCTTCTGTTTACTTGTAATGAGAGATACAGCGTGGTACTGAACTGAATACTCCAATGTAAGATTGACTTATAAAGGAGTGTATGAGATATCTTTGTTGGCCTAGCATTATTTTACAGAGAACTCTTACAAGTTCTTATGTAAAATCATGAACTTTGCTCATCCTTTGTCGTTAAATAACTCTGTCAGCTTTTTTAAAGCATGACTGAGCTGCTCTGAGAGAGCCAAACAGTTAAACATCCACTCTCAAAATCTGCATGCGCACGCAAACTCATTCATGACTCATTCACTCATTCACAAGACACTCTTTTAAAGGTTGAGTGAGCAGATACAGCTACATACATACAAAGTTAAAATGAGACCAAGTACATTCAAATCCATATGCTTTCTTGGGGTCGGTCTGTAATACTGTTCATCTCAGTGTTCTTGTTTACAATTCTTTCTCTTCTGCGTTCTCCCTCTTTAATCTTACCTCATAACCTCCTTCATTTGTTCACCCAAGGTTGGTTTGGTGGACCACGTCCCTTTTTGTGCAACTTCATCCAAGCTTAACTCATCTAAAACCTTCCTTTGCACAAAATACTCCCCGGCTGAACCACCCTTATCCTCCATGTCCATGTTTGTTAGTCCAAACTCAACAGATTTCATCAAAGCTGCTGTCTGTTTTAACTTCGCTCTCCGTCTGCCGGTGAGGCTTTTTGAAAGAAGAGGACACTTACAGGTGCAACAACAACAGCCAATCACGTTGTAGTTAAAGTGTTAGCTCCTCACTCTTCGATACTGATTGACAGCGCTTGTCCTGGACTGTGGGAGTGACTGCTCCTTCCCTGTCCATATAAGTGAAAAATCCTCAGCTCATATGTCAACAAACACACTTAAGGTTAGTGTTTGTGTTTGTTGTGTGCGTGTGTGTTTCTTGATGTAGTCTGACAGTGATTAACTGCAGCTGAAGGTTCAAACTTAAAAAATATATATATGAAAGTTGAACAATCTGCCCTAGCTTGCCATGAGTGAGACAGTTATTTAATTCATATAAAATACAAAGAAGATGTGATCATGGCTGAGCTCAATGTAAAGATTAAAGATGGCTGTTTAAAAACAAGCAGTATGATGTGAGGTTTGTGTCTCATGAGCCAAACTGACATCTTATCTTTATGGCTGACAATCACCTTTCTTAGTCAGGAGATAGCATAAGTGTATTTTCACTGTAAACAGGACAGTCATAACATATTGTGCTACTTGTAATGTCCAGCACGTTTTATAGACAGTGATTATGGACAGGAGGCATAGATTGTCCATGTAGACCAAAAGTAACTGACCTCCTCTGAGGAATGGGGGGAGGAAGTCGATTTGTGTTTTGAAGCTGAATCCATGAGCCTTGGCAAAAGTGGCGAGAAAACGTTCCTCTAAGCTGGCCGAAACCTCAGGTAGAACAAGACTGGAGAAAAGTCATCTGCTGGGACAGTGGTGTAGATGTAGGCAGAGAGATCAAGGCAAACAACCAACGCAACAACAATAGATAAAACAGATATATGGCTACAATGACAGAAGTAAGAGTTATTCCAGTTCAAGCACAGAAGTAATGATGAGGTGAGAATCCGATAATTGAATAATTGAAGTCAACAGGTGTATGATTAGCATTAGCGGCTTCATTGTAGATAACACAAGGAAGACTGATAACATGAGGAGCTTATAGTGCCAGGTCCTTAGGCAGTCCAAGCCTCAAGCAGCATAGCCTGAGGCAGATTCAATCACAAAGGACTCTAACAGGTAGATGATCCCAAAAGAGAGAGTGGCTTGATACCTGAAGGCAGAAGAATAGTTGTGAACAGAAAGATCTGAAAGTATCTGAAAACAAGAGGTGGAATAAGCTTGTCAACACCAATTTAAACTCAAGACCAGTGTGTGTATCTGATTCTGTATCCAAACTGTATATTTAAAGGAAACCGAATTTGCCTCAAAACTTGATTTAAAAAAAAAAAAAAAAAAAAAAGCGTTTTCTTTTCATGCTTTTCATCAGTCCCCTTTTGATAAGACTCCTTGCCTATAAACTGCAAGGAGTTTATGTTGAGCGTGTTAATGTATAACAGAGTCTTTGTTGAAAAGACTTTCCTTATTGATTGAACTTTATCTGGTTATTCAGTATATGTGAAAATAAGCAGTATACGCTCAAATGTTAAGAGGTCAAACAGGATAAATGTTTGAGACAAGTAGGTCAATGTGGGATAAACTGATAACAGCAAAGTTAACTTGTTAAGAGTCATGATCCAATACAACTAATATATTTTTACACAAAATGACTTAAAATAAAAGCCTAACAGAGTCGGTAAACTGGAAAGATGCTGAATATTTAAAAAAAAAAAGACATATGCTGCTTGTGAGCTGCCATTAAGGGGGAAAAGGTTATCTGCAGAAGCAAAAGTTTTCCACAAACTGTTCAAGTTTTTGTTTCACCGTGCAAAATTACAAAACAATTTATGTGCAACGCCAAGCAGGGCATAATCAGAATATCATTCATATCTTAAATTTAACATGTCTCAAGATTAAAGGCTATGACAAAAATGAAAAAATCAATGTCAGGGAATGGTGGTGTCAATTAAAGTTAAAGTTTATTTTTTTTTAGCCCTAAATGAAGTGTGAATCATTTGTCCAAAGAGGCAGGAAAGTTACATAGAGTAACAAAAAGGATCATCTGTGTCCTTTCTGTTGTCATTTCTGAGATTGTTGTTGTTGGGTTTTTTTAGGTATCACTGGAAAAAAAACGCACATTATGTGCGAGGAAAAAATGAATCCGGGAAAACATGTCACTGACTTGAATGACTAACAGCAATAGATGAGCGTTAAACTTTTTTCACACATTAACCCCAGCTCCATCACACACGCATGTGAATGTGTACTGTTCCAACATTTTGATGACCAAGCTCAGCGGAGGGAATGAGTAGTCTACTCAGAACATCCTACACATATACTCATTCACGTTTCTTCACACTAAATCAAAAAAGGGTCATGTGCCATGTGCTGATTATTTTACAACTATACCAAAGTGCCTCCTCCCTGACTCATCCGTTAGCTCCTTAATATACATTTTTGAGTGTCTTAGCTTAATTGTTAAAAAGTAATTATTACATAGATATGATAAATGAGATTAACACTCTTGGTGGTGCCACTATTTGTTAATCACTTGTGTATCCTCTCATGACTCTTATTTCCCACAAAGTAACACATAACTGATTCTTTATATATTCTTGGTGCCTGATGTGCTCTTGCCCATGATATGCTTTGGCAGTGGAAATTTGCTAACACTTGTGCATAACTCATAAAAACGTTTCCTTCCTTGGCATTTGGATAAATTGTCTAATCACGTCAGAAATCCATATGTTTATCTTCCTGCTCGGTAAATATTCTCTCAATGTATGCACCACTTGCTTCTCTTTAACATATTTTAAAATAATGGCCATGTCTCAGAGCAAGTTCCACGTCAAACAACCGATTTGTTCAGTTGTATATATTGAGTGTTATCACTTGGCACGCAGCTGAAGGAAAAAGGAGGGGTGGAATGTCAAACATCAGGTTTATTATTACTTGAACGTGACATAGTTTTGGTTGCTGATAAAATAAACCTTTTTAGTCCTGTAATACCTGAAACTGCAAATTATGGACAGAAAATACAGATTTTTTTGGAGCCAATATGTTTATTTCACTTACTACTGAAAACAAAAGAAATCAAAACATCCTTAAAGTTGAACAAACATATATATATATATATATATATATATATATATATATATATATATATCATTTGATATATTACATGTTTCTGAAAACTGATCAACCACATTTTTAGAGGACATTTTTATCATTTATTGGACTATATTCAGGTGGGTTTTTTTGTAATTTGTTGATCATATTGATTTCATAAAAGTTTCATAAAAGTTGATTATCATAAAATTATGTATCAAATATAATACAAAAGGCATTAAAAGGTTAAGATGTGGAGGATTCTTAGCAGGGTTGACACGTTGAATGTGAGAAACTCCTGTCACTTTTTTTCTTTTTGGTCTCTTAATCTTGTCTTGTTTTTAGTTGTTTTTTTCCTCAAATGAAAGTTGAAGCTGAAACAAATTTTTTTTAATCTATATTTTTAAAATGCTAAAATGAATGAACAGGTAAGAAAAAACATTGTTTACCTGCTATTGATTTTCCATTAATTCTATATGAGCCTTTCACCCCCAGGAGCCCGTATCTTGCATTAACTCTTATCAATAGGTAAATACTGAGATAAATCATTTAACTGCGAGGATGAAAAGGTGAGGTACTTGATAACCTGTCGAGGGTTATACATTTCCACATTGCCAGGAGGGGGAAGCTGTTTTTTTCCTGACCTATTTTTAAAGAATATGCATTATTTTATATGACAGCTATAAAAGACTATAGTAATAAAAAAAAGCTTGGTTATGAGCTATAAAGCAGGCATACATTTTTTTATAAAGCTCTTAAAGCAGGTTTTGATTGTAATCTTTCAGACATAAGATTAGATTTTACGATGTTGACCTTTTTAGTTTAGCATATTGACATACTAACATAACCTAACAAGGACATACTAAGCAAAAAAACAAAAGATGTTGTCTCAGAATTATTCCAATTAAGAATCTAATGTGTCCTTATCTAGATTTTGACCTAAAGGGGGCCCAAAATGAAAAGTGAGGGGTCCATTATTTTTGCAACTCATCCTGGGGTATACCTAAGTATCTGCATATTTGTGATTATCAGTTTTGGGCACTGAGATAAGGACTGAGATAGTTCTGGAAAAATTGCGACAAACTAACTAAATACCATGTTCTGGAAATGATGATCTTCCACAATATATATTAAACTTGAAATAAAAAGTTATAAACCCAAGAAAAAAGCTAAAGAAAAGAAACTAATACATAAACTCTTTGGCCTGCCTTATCACATTTCACATATCACATTTCTGCCTGTACTTTGAAGCTCATTTGAAAGCTTTAAAATACCATAAAAGGTGCATTTATGAGGTCTGGTACTAACAAAACTATCCATTAAATAAAACAGCTGGGACTTTTTGCCCACTCTTGGACAAATGTCCTGCGGCAGTGCCGGGATCAGAGTAGACAGACACATGTCAGCACATGTGGAAACCGTCTTATGTAGAAAGATCCTGACCAGCAGTCACTGATTAATCTACTTTGCCTGTAAACTGTCCGGATCACATTGTTTTTGCCCACACTGTTGTGTAATATAGTATGTTCAACTGTGCGTGGAGATGTTAGAAAACTATTAGCCTGAAATAACACAGTACCAAGATTTAGATCACCTCCAATAACCTGTCTAAGAGGGTACACACACTTCCACCTCTGATATAAACTTCAGATAAACAACTATGTGCTTTAGTTTTGTTAATTCCCCTGAAATCTCTGCCGTCTGTGATAGTGTCCAAACACTGATAAAATGTACCTTATGTGTAGGTGTGTGTGAGTGTTTTTAAGCCAAAGTACGAGGAGCTGCATTGTCACAAACTGCAGCGACAACAATATAACCATAAAATATGAACTGCATTTTCTAGAGTAGTTACATTAAAGCAATAAACAAATGAAACACAAATGTGTCGAGATATTGTAAAGATAAAGATGTGTTACTGAAAAAAATCAGAGGTGTTTGGTGGATTTTAGTGGACATGTGATATCCTACAATGTGCTTGTAGGGGAACTCTGCATTGCTCGATCAATGGAGCACTACGATATAAGAGAAAATACAAAATATTCTTGCAGATTGCCTCTGTGACTGACTGCATTTGTAGATTGTAAATATTAATGCATGTGAAAAAGAAAACAACAATTCTCTGTTGTGGCTGTTTGAGGTGGGGCTGGTTTAAACTGGGTCACATATTTACATAGGTTAGCTTAGTATCTTTCCACTCATACCCCCTCCAAAGGTTACTTTGATAAATGTAATGCCTCATGAGGTGATTAATGGGGGAGTAGAGGGGAAAAGTGGTTGAAATTAAAGCCTTGGACTGATTTTTTTTTTACATAAAGGGTCAGGGTAAAATGGTGGATTTTATTGATATGCCATGATAGAGTATTTTCCCACACAAGTCTACAAGCTGTATAAAAAAATAAGTAGGCCTTAACGCTTTTAGAAACCCGAACAGCCCCACTTGCACATGCTGGTCTATTTTAAGCCCTTTCACCAGTGAGCATGCTAATGTTGCACAGTGTCACATGCAGCAAATAACACACAACACAAGACAGACCTGCAAGCAAACAAAAGTACAACCAAAAACCCTGCAGAGTATTTTGAGTGATCTACGCTGACATTAGCTCAATCCAGAATCTTCTGAACCCTGGCCCTGGGCAGCTTCATTAAACTGGTATGACAGCTGTCTGTTTTTCTGCATGTGCTACACTGACTTCTGCTAATATGCTACTGCTGAGCTCACAATGCATGTTATCCTGCATTGAGGTTAACTCTGTTTATGTTTGTCACACCAACTGACAGAGTGATTCAGTCACCATAAGAGTGTGGTTGATTAACTTAAAAGGAGAGGGAACCACTTCATAAACAGAGCAACACAAAAAGAAGTCAGGCCTTTGCAACAGGGGCGTGTTTAGAGGGGTGACCAAGGTGCCAAGGTCCCTATTAAAGGCTGCTGGCCATCCAAATCATTCAAGGTTTATAAGTGGCTTTTTGCTTTGTTAGAGGCAAGACTTAAGCGGGGTACACACATAAAGATAATCAGGCTGTTTTTATCCTGATTTTCCCCCTACCTACAAAGGACGACAATCAGAAGATTATTTTATGTCTTCTAAGATTATCCTTTAAGATTGTCCTGCGGTCTGAAGTGTATTATGAATGTATTTGTCCCGATAATTGGGTCCGAAACGGGTCAGGGCTGACAATCGTAAATATTAAACCTGTTCAACATTTACGACCAAAAATCCGACAACTCCTGAGTCATGACTCAAGAATTGTTACGTGAAACGGAATGTAGCCAATCAAGAAGCGATACGTTGAACTGTTCTTCACTTGATGACTTTATTTGTATTACTAGGATTATCACACCAGCCATCAGCTTAATTTGAGAACAATTCACCTCTAGCTTGCTCAGTAGACTATAAAGTCCACGTTCACGCTGTCTCCAGGATTTTTTCCACAGTCTTTTCTTTTTCAGTATGAGATTTTTCTGTCAAAAATACTCCCAAAACCACCATCATTCCCTCAATCTTGTGTGTCCTTTTCCATCACGTTTTATCACGCGAGATTTCTGTCTTGGAGGACTAGATTCTAGATCAGTGATGGAACAGAATCATTTTGTGTGTGGTGTGTACCCGCTTTAGAGATTGACTATTTGAACTCTGTTTTAACAGGCTGCAAGTGGCTTTCTTTTTTTGCAGAACTTTATATTGTACAAAAATGTTTCACACTTCCTAAAATGGGTTTTGGACAGTTCAGTTTTGTGCAGGAGTTCCCTTAACCTATATGAAAACTTAAAATCGTGACATTTTGGATGTCCATTTTCTTGTAAGTGCTTAAAGATTGAAGTCACACAGATGAGTAATGTTTAACTTAAGGCCATATAGAGGCCTTCAATTCAATAATCCAGACATTTAGTGCAGTCAGAGAGCACGCCATATCATAAAAAAAGGTGATGAATCAAAGAGCTCCTGACCTGTTTTATTTCACTGGCATAAGAGCTTCTGGAAAAAGGATGTGTCATGAAACAAGGCAGAGAAAGGAGGACACATCAGCAAGACAACGAATTAGTTTGTCCAACAGACAGGGTTTATTAAAACACATGCAGAGGTTGGTACACAAAAAGGCAGCCAGATCAGGCAGAGGCATCCAAAAACGTGAGGCAAAAAGGCAAGGTCCGAAAAGGCCAGCAAAGGTAAACAATGGCTAGACCAGTAGTTCTCAAATCCAGTCCTAGAGCCCCCCCTGCATGTTTTGGATGTTTCCCTGCTCCAACACACCTGATTCAAATGATCAGCTCGTTATCAAGCTCTGAAATGGCTTAATAACGAGCTGATCATTTGAATCAGGTGTGTTGGAGCAGGGAAACATACAAAACATGCAGGACAGTGGGCCTCGAGGACCGGACTTGAGAACCACTGGGCTAAACAATGACTGTGAAATGACTGTGACTGTACAACGAACAAGCGACGAGACAGTGAGACACACAAGGTTAAATACAAGAGGTAATGAGAGTGATGGGAAACAGGTGGGGAGACACAGTCAGGTAGCAGGTGTGACGAGGCGGGGTCAGGGCAGACCAGACAGAAACAAATCTGGAAGACCGTGACAAGGGTTAGTGAACTACAAAATAAAACAGGAAATGCATGACATGAACAAAACATAAATGTGCAAAAATAAAGCAAACTTAACCAATAAATTAACAGAAGTAAAGGAAACTAAGCAGATGTGACAGAATGTCCCATTGTTATGACAAAAAAAATTGACAAAAAAGAGAAAAATGTTCTCCACACAAGGATCCTGTCCACTGAATTGCACAAAATAATGATTAATTTGAGACTTACATGCATTTTAATCTGGCAACTCTCTCAATATACGAGTTATGCAAAAACCATAAAGAATTTAGCTGCAAGCTAAATGAGAGTATGATAAACCAGTTCATTAACCTCATCTCTTCAAATCTAGGTTTTTGCATGTTTAAAAAACCTAACATTTAAACACTATGTAATCTGCGCTTTAGCTAAAAAAGAGACCCAAACCCTTAATTTATTTTCTCTTTGTCTGTATGTGTGTGTATGGCACAGCCTTTCGTGTTAGTTTTTTGGTCTATGCTGACTTAAATTAAACAGACATCCAGAGCAGAGATCCATGGAGGCTCCTGTGCTGGCAGAGCATGGCTCACTTCTGCTTCGACAGCTGGAGAGGATGAGGGCGAACGAGGAGCTGACTGATGTGGTGCTGCTGGCAGAGGGGATTCCCTTCCATTGCCACAAGGTGGTGTTGTCTGCTTTCAGTCCTTACTTTGAGGTACACACAACAACTGAAATGTCTTATGCTGAAACAGTAAAATAATACAGATGATGCAACTTGAGTGATGCCACTCTGAATTCTCCAGGCGATGTTTACATGTGGTCTGAGGGAGACCCGGGGAGGAGAGGTGCCTCTCAGAGACACACCTGCGCAGAGTCTGAGGCTGCTGCTTGACTACATGTACCGGGCTGAACTTCCACTGACCAACGACAACATCCAGGGAGTGGCTGCTGCTGCCTTCCTGCTGCATGTAGATGGAGCCTTCAGGTGAGGACAGGGACTAGTAATTCAGTGCTTTTCCATTAACTTATGGCGGAAGCTAATAGCAACAGAGGCATCGTCTCACTTGAAATCTTGTTTTTAACCCCCTCCAATCAGTGCAGTAGGAATTTGTCCCTGTAACACACAATAGAAAAGTGGTGATTTACACTTCATCACTATCTTGTCACTGTTTTAGGTTGTGTCAGAGCCACATGGAGGCCAGCATGGACCCCTCCAACTGTGTGGGTCTGTATCACTGGGCCAGAAATCTGGGGGCCACCAGTCTGGCAAACTGTGCCTTGAGATTCCTCTGCCAACACTTTGCACAGGCAAGAATTACCCGTTTGAAATACACTTTCAGTCATAGACACAAAATTTTTTACCTGGACATAAAATAGTTATGAAGTCAGTTTGATTATCAATAAAAAATACCCCATATGGACCCTTTTAAGGCCATGTTATTAAAAAGTACACAAGGACCAAACAGCAATGTTAACAGCAATATGGTAGATGCATGACACTTCACCAGGGCTTTTCAGCTACTTGTACCTGCCAGTAGGTGGCAGAAGTCCCTTTTTTCTTAAATGTCCACAGCGAAGGAAAAAGTCATGGTGCTCTAAAAACACACTGGCTAGTTTTCACTCGGCCTTTCCTACCATCTTGTAAATGTTTTGTTTTTCTTTAATTCACCTCCCCTCCTCTACCCCGCTGTCTCCAGGTCTGTGTAGAAGAGGAAGTGCTTGAGCTGGATGCCCAGAGTCTTGGTGATCTGCTGGGTTCAGATGACCTCAACATATCACAGGAGCAGGTTGTGCTGGAGCTGGTGTTAAGGTGGGTGGAGAGGAGAAGGGGGGACTCACAGAGTGAAGCTCAAGCCGTGGAGCTTCTCAGGCGGGTCAGGTTGGAGCTTGTGGACCCCGGGTTCCTACGAAAAGCCAGGAGGAGAAACCCGGTGAGAAGGAAAGACTGAAAAAGCAGTGGTATTTTAAAGTTAAGGTTCATCATGCGTCATTACCAAGCACATATTTGATCAACTAAATCTCACAGGTATTGCTACGGGATGCTGAGTGCTTTGGGATGATTGACGCCGCTCTTCAGACTTCAGGACTCTGTGAAACTTCTGCTCCACCTCGACCAGCTCTTCGTTATGGCATGGAGACCACCGATTTGCTGCTGTGCCTGGGTGGGATAAATAAAGAAGGAACACCTGCTCGCCGTGGAGGACGTGCCGACCTCAGTTTTTGTTTCGCCCCTGGTGGTCGCAAGACTTATTACATTCCCTCTCCACTAAGGGGCTGTGGGGGTGCGGGCCAGATCACAGCAGGGGCAGTGGCACGAGACAGCAACATTGTGGTGGCTATAGAGGCAGAAAATAAACACAGAGTGAAGAGGATTGATATGTACAGGTGTTTATGTTTGCTTTTATACTATCATGTCATGCTTTTCATGTACCGCCTTCAACACCAGGTCTCAAGTATGTTCTTCTGTTCCAGGTATGATCATTCAGAGGAGAACAGCTGGGTAGAGCTGTGCTCTGCGGCATACAGGGACATGTACGCTCTAGGCCTGCTGGGTGATTCCCTCTATATGATTGGGGGACAGATGAAAATGCATAATCACTACATCATCACGAACAGTGTGGAGAGATGGTCGCTGAAAAGGGGAGGCAGCTGGCTCAGCTTCGCCCCTCTGCCTCTGCCCTTAGCCTGCCACTGTGTTGTCAGCCTGACGGATTACCTGTATGTGCTGGGGGGCTGGACTCCACAGGTACATGAACACAAAGAAAGTCTTTGACATTAACTATAAATGAAAACGAAAAACGAATTTCAACACTTCTAACTAATTTCTTGTCTTGTCCTTCTATCTTTATCCCACTCTGTCCTCCACCCTCAGCACCAGCCAGATGATGAGCCTGACAAGCTTAGCAACCGTGTGTTTCAGTTTGACCCCGGCAGCGACAGGTGGACAGAGTGTGCCAGGATGACGTACTCAAGGTACCGCTGTGGCACAGCTGTCCTCAATGGAGAAATCTACATACTGGGTGATTCTGCAAGACAGGCTGCGGCAGTATCCTTGAGTATTTGTGCTGTACGTTAAAGAAAAGTGCCACGTTGTTTATGTTTGTTTTTTTTTGTTGTTTTTTTCAGGTGGTATAGGGTGTGATGGAGAGGACAGAGGACAATCACGTCGCTGTCTGAGCTCCGTGGAGATCTATAACCCAGGGACAGAGACATGGAGAGCGGGACCTACTCTTCCTACACCTTTACTCTCCCTCCGAACCAATGCCTCTAATTTAGGAGCTGTGGAGGGAAAGCTCTACCTCTGTGGATACTATAAGGGAGCTGGTGAGTGATTGTTTTTCTGTGATGATCTTTAGCTGATCAGTATGCCTACTACCCGCAAAATTCCTTCAACAAGTTCACAGTGAATAGGCCTGGAACCGCTTGAGTCAGACAGCGCACACTCAATGATGTGGCAGTATCTTGAAAATTTAATTCTGGAAAGCCATAACTTGCATTCTTTCTCCCGTGACTGCAGGCCGTCATGAGATCATCACCAAGGAGATTTTAGAGTTGGACCCTGCAGACAATGTGTGGACAGTGGTGGAAAGACGAGCAGCCATGCATGATAGCTATGACGTCTGTCTCGTGGCTAACCTCAATCCTCGAGACCTCTTTACACCCTGATTCACATCCTCCTGACTTGAAGCAACAATGCCAGGAGGCTGGATGTGCGGGAAGTGAGCGTCTGCCTCATGCTGTTCAATCTAAGCCTCATTTGACTCCCAGACTTCACATGTAGTATCAGAAAAGGTCAATTTGCAGCTGAAATGACAAGTCTGGTTTGTCAGCTGTGATCATGTCACTACTTAATAAGATGATACTCTGTGGTTTTTTTTCCAAAGTTGAACCACATTTTTCCAACAGACTCATTCATACATATGATGCCCTTGTGTGCAGTACAGATGCCATTGCTATTTCCCACGTGTATTGATTCTTTACTTTGAAAAAGTGCTATAGTTTCATGTAGTCTGATTCTTTTGGTGATACCTTAAAAAAAGTACCCTGATTCCATGTGATCTGATTACTTTAAGACAAAGGATCTTAATAACATGACATTTCATTTCAAAGAAATATATAGGAGAGTGGGGTAAGTTGAGCCACCCCCTGTTGCTTGGAAATGGTAAAAGAAACTGATCATGTGACCAAATATTTAGGAGATGGGCATCAATTTAATGAGTCTGTGAAGGTTAGAAGCTCATCGGTGAAAGGGTTAGACATTTATTTTTAAAAAAAATACATTTTTCACTCTTGAAAGTGAATTTATTCTGTCATAAGTTTTATTAGAATTGTGTTCAGACCAAAAAAGATCATTTTAAAAGTCCACCATCTTAGCTTAGAGGACTAATAAAGTCAGAATCGTAGTTCTGGTCAACTTACCCCATACACGGGGTAAGTTGACCATAGGAGACCACTTTTTTTCGGCATGCTATATTATCAAGACAGTTATGTTTACACTCATGCTGTTGGTTTGCAGGGATGCACAACATCATGAAATATGTGAAGATACACTAGTTAGAGACAAAACTATGATTGCCTTGATGTAGTCATCCAAAAAATGAAAAATGGCTCATCTTACCCAACTCTCCCCTACATTGATTACAAGTATAATTTTAATTCCTTCTAAAAAAAATGATTTTAAGATTATAATCTGACTACTTTTGGCAAAATGCTCTGTTTACATGTAATCTGATTGGTTTGAAACAGGTACTCCAACTGATTACTTTTGGTAAAGTAGTCTGACTGCATGTGGTATGACTATTTTTTCTGAATAACTAGAAAAGTTCTCTTTCTCATGAATTTCTCTTCTGATAGGATCATTTGGAATTCTATTTAGGGACTTGTTTTTGGTTTCTTGTGAATCAGATAGGCATATTTCAGCACAGTTATCACTTTTTCTTAAAGTACTACTAAGCTTTAAAACATGACAAACCCTATATAGTGTGCCTGAGTCGTCGTCTTGTTATCCTGTGGTTACTATTTGTGTGGTCATATTGAAGTGGAGCAGGCTATTATATTAAGTTTACTTTGTGGTCCATAAATCTAAACCCTTTCATGTGAACTATCTGTTTTATTTCCACGAGGACTTAAATGCATTTCACCTCGCAGTCTAAACAACTGTGCTCACTCTCTCTGCCTTCAAAGTCCTTTCTCTCTCCGAGATTCTTCAAAGTGTTCTCAAGGATTTATTTTTCCGGAGCTCACCGCATGGAGAAGTATGTCAACAAACATGTCATGACTGAAGTGGTAAAAGTGGGCAAAGGTTGGACCCGCATGACATTCCGTGCATGCCTGTATCCTCAACTCTCCGGTCAAAAACGTGTTCACGGAAGAAGAAGAAAAAAAAAACCGAAATGATCCCAAATGAGTGTGTATGTTGCCATGAGAGCCGGGTTTGGAATGAGGAGGCTCCACCCCTCCATCCCTCCGGAGCATGTGGTTCCCATCGCTCCTGTTGCTGTGTTTTTAGGAGTGTGAGGGAGGACAACTTCGGTCCAAATGGATCGATTGCTCATTTTCAGCCATTAGAGTAGTCTTTTGTAATCTCTATGGGCGACATTTTTGTCTCTCGCTGCTTTCATTAAACTCACAAGTGTCGGTGAAGTCTGCTCCTGACAGGTGCGCAGAGAGGATGGGCAGACGAGAGGCGGACAGCAGAGGCGCAATGAACACAAGCGACCACTCCGAGCTCGGTTGTCTGCAGGAGGCGGCATCTAGCGACCATCAGGCCGGTGATGAGTCTCCGATTCTGAGCGAAGGAGAAAACAAACCGGGCATGGAGACGGCGGTCCGTCCGGTGGCGCAGACTGTCGCAGCTGAGCCGATGGAAGTGAAGAAGCACCAGCATAAGCACAACTTAAAACACCGCTACGAGGTGATGGAGACTCTGGGGAAAGGCACATACGGCAAAGTGAAGAAGGCGGTGGAGAAGACAAGTCTGAGGATGGTGAGTGTTGACACGGTGCAGAAATGTAACACAGGATTTGTGCTTTAGGGGTGCTTAAAGCAGCTGCAGTTGTATAGGCTTATTGAGATATCACTGGAGCAGAATATCAGTGTCTAAACTTAAGAATTGAAGTCTTCTCTGTTTAGATTTCCCTTCCAGTCTGAACCAGTGTCTCTACTTTATGAACAGATTGTGATTTATAGTTTCATAATTGTCTTTATGGTGATATTATAGTTGCTGCACATAATGTATGGAGTATTAAATTATCCTGCAACTATCACCAGTGTTTAACTTGCAGGATAAAATGTGTTGTCCACTCCTGCTGACTCCCTAAAAGCTTTATAGAGATGCTGCTGTCTCTCGTGGTTATTAAGTATTTATGCAGAGGAGGAGTCCAGCTTGTTCCTGTGTGTTCATGTTTGTGTGTCTGAGCTCATGGGGCTGATGCTGAGCACAGTTCTTGCTTCCTGTGCTGCCAGGCTGAGATTCCTTTAGTCTGACTCACTCAGCACTCGAACAAGGGGATAAAATTACAACAATAGGTCCCTTTCCAATAGGAGTTGAACCTTCCCACACACACTAATGCTCACACACATACGCAGATATACTGTTTCTGTTCACCTTTACATGCTAAATTCCCAGGCTTTAATATTGAGGCTTTAATCCATGGCTCTGACCAGCACAAAGAGACAGATTCCTCTTTAGCCTAGAATTCCCCCTCTGTTTTTAAGTAAACAAACACACTATAATAAGGATAATCTGTGAGCCAATCAAATCGGGGATGTTGGATTGGCAGAATTTCTCTGTGAGAGAACAACAGACGGATGGGAGATTGATGGAAGAATATACAGAGCGGTGGAGAATATCTAGGTAATGTAATGTGTATAAAGGATGTGGAGGTACGCAGGGTGAATGGGTTTGATTGGTCAAGAGGGAAATGCTAAATTCTTTGAGCTAGTAGCCAGCACATACCGAGGATTCTTTGAAACAAAACCGACATTATTTTTGGAAACAAGAGCAGGGGGCTGTTGTTTGAGTGCGAGAAGGAGACTGTTTTAGAGCACAGAGGAGGAGGAGGAAGAGGTCTGAGTAATGTAGAGAATGAAATCGAGGGGAAAAATGTGTCATAAATGTGTCTCAGAGGTTGCCTAAGTTGGTAAAGTTCGAAAAATGTAACACTACCACGTTCTAATGTTTACGAAAGGTTATTAAACTTCTTGAAGAGAAAATCACTTGTCAGATTTTTGACATTAACTAATTTATCTGCCAAGGAAAGTGAAACTATTGGTTAACTTATTAGCATGAAGAATGGACATAGCTTTCCAAATCTGGCTCCAAAGTGTAAGGTCTTTCACAGATATGATGATTAAATGTAAGGCTAAATTTCACCCAGAAATCTGCTAGTGTCCCAAAACACAAAATGACCACAACTTTCAAGTCACATGTCCTATAATGGTTATAATGGTTATAAATGAGTAGTCATCTTTGAAAATACTTTTATATATAGCACTTTAATGAGGGTCATAGTTTTCGAAAGGGACAGTGTGTGCGTGTGTTGCTGCATCTTGAGGTCAGGGGTCGATTTGGCAAGAAGCCTGTGTAATCCTGCTGTTAAATCGTTCACAGATGCTGCAGGGATCTTTACTGATGCTCCAGCTCTTGGGATTTGTGTTTTAGTGTTTGTGTGTCTGTGTGTGCGCCACAGTTTGTATGTGAGAATAACAGGACAGGAAGTAAGTGAGCAGCCACCCCAAAGCCCCATCGTGACTCAGATAAAGCCCAAGTCTGTAGTTCAATCATGATTTGTTTATCGGGGAACTGACACTGATGCAACAAGTTTGCACCTTTCTGTGCATACTGGTCATTTTAAAACACGTGCTGTCTCCTAATAAATGCATGAAGCAAGTAAGTTTTCTGTTAGCTACAAGCATTCAGTAACAGCTTGGAGATTTTGGCCAAAATTGCACAAGCAGCACATTATTAGGATGAACAATGAACCGTTGTTGGTTAGGAGGAAGCCCTCAAGATCATGCTTGGAGATGACGCAAAATGCAGCACATTTGTTTTCACTACAGTGAGGTCAGACACATATATCCGCTCTCCCACTGCGCATTTATACCTCTTTAAAATGTTTTCAGTGGAAACAGCTTCCGCAAACGTTGCCTCTGGTTTTCCCAGCAGCTCATTTCAATCTCTGCCCTTCTTTTCTTTCCTCCTTCCAGAGCTAGCAAGTATTTGGGTCAGAAAACATTCATGAGCATGCAAGCGTACACATGTTAATAGCTACGAGAGCTTGGACATGCGCCACTCATCAGACAGCCACTGAGTACGTGTGGCTTAATCTCTGACCCAGCACCGAGTTTTAGTGCTAAATCAGTCTGCAGATGTGAGACAGGTCCTTACACATCATCACAAACCCTGAAAATTGAATATTCTGTTTCACTGATAGCGTCACGCTGGTTATAAAAGGTTAAGGTCAGCGTAGAAAGTTCCCTGGAGTGTGCTTGAATTGTGTTGCATAACCTTTGTGGTTGATGGAGCGTGTGAATTGTGTCCTCTAATGTCTCGTAGACGTTTTTTTTCCAGCAGCTGAGAATTCTGGAGTTATGACCCAGTAAAGAGGAACGCTCATCCTCGGGGTTATTGTAAAGGTTGACACAATAACACAGGGATATGATGGTCAGTGCTATGTTAAGCTTTATTAGTACATTACACAACACCTCTCAGTGGTTTGTTGTCCCATTTTGAGGTCTTTGTATTCCTAAATAGGACACTATGATGTCTTTGTTGCTATGCCCTGTCTTGTCCTTGTTTGGTGCCACATTTTGGTGGCAGTAACTCTATCCAAAGAGGTTTATGGGCTCCTGTTGTGTCGTCTGTTTCGGTGTGTGCGTGCGTTGGTTGTATGGGGGTTACCTTGGGGTACAGTGAGGGCCTGGGATTAATGAAGCAGAGTGTGAACAGTGCAGCTGTCAACCTTCTGCCTCTGAGTGAGCTCGGATCACTGCAGACCTGCTCTCAACACCCTGCCCTTAAAACCCACATAATCACCACTAATACCCACAGATTTAATTTGTGTATATAAATATGTGTGTATATGGTGTGCTTGTATAATTGTATCAACAGTACTATTCCTTTGTTTTCATACATGCCGGCACAAGTAACACAGTTAAGTGTGCATGTATCAGTGTCTTAACTGATACTGATTACTGTAAAATGAAAGCAGGGTTAGATTTTTTGTTATCTTTCATAGAAAAATTGTAAAAACATTTCTTTTTCTCAGAAAAATTTATGCTTATTTCAAGATTAACATCAGCAACATGTTTAAAAACAGCTGTGACAGGGACATGTTTACAATTGCGCTGCACCAGCTCTTCTTTAAAACTTTAAAACTTTAAAATAGAAGTTTGTGAACTAGTTTCTCAGGTTTGGGAAGTGAAAAGTTGTCCCATTCTTGCCTGATAGAAGATTTCACTGCTCAACACTCCAGGGTTAGGCTCTGTAGTTTTTTTTGATTCATGATGCTCCAAATATTTTCAACAGGAAGGCGAGTTTAGCACCAGGACCCTTCTACTACAGAGCCACGCTGTTGTAATATGCGCACAACGTAATACGTGTCCTCTCTTTCAGGTGGCAATTAAGTCAATCCGCAAGGAGCGCATCACAGATCAGCTGGATAGAGTTCACATCCAGAGAGAGATTGAGATCACCTCCTCACTCAGACACCCCAACATCATACGCTTCCACGAGGGTAAGTCTGCAAACACAACACACAGACACACACATATCAGACTAGGAGCAGTGTAAAAATCTTAAATTCTGATAAGCGAATTGATAAAGTAACAAGTATAAAATGAAAGTAGGTGTCATGTATTGGATATTCTGTGACAATCTGAATAGTGTTACCAGTATTCTGCTTTTTGACAAACAAATTTATATTAACAGAGCAAAAAAATGATATTTTGGATGTTTTATGGACAGAAGTAGGAGCATATCTGTGGTTTCTCTTCATAGGATTGGTTTTTAATCAATAAAGAAATAAAGAACTATCAGCCTCATCAGTTTGATAAGAATGAGACATGCAGTGCATACAGTGTGAGCAGATTTTAACATAATACTTCATAATTGGGACACAGGGAACAATCAGTTCTGCTCATTTTAACTCACATTTCTGAACCGCAAAGTTTCATGTCATAAACTTTAATCAGGCAGGGATCTTTCTGACAGTGTGCATGACTTTTGGTTTGTGGATGGAAACTAAACATTCACCCAAGGGATAGAAGTCAACAAACTCTATGAATCTGATATATACCGTACATTTATCCAGCCTTATACTCCCTCAACTTCCAGAATCTCTTGTAACCATGCAGCAAAGATTTGAGGCTACTACTGCAGTAACCTTTCTGCATAATGCTGTTGTGAAAATGCGCACTTTCTGTCCTGTGCAGTGTTTGAGAGTCGGGATAAAATTGTGATCGTGATGGAGTACGCCAGAAGAGGAGAGCTTTACGACTACATCCAGGAGAGAAGACGACTGCCAGAAACAGAAGCCAGAGGCATCTTCAGACAGATCACATCTGCTGTCCACTACTGCCACAAGGTCTGCAAACACACACGTACACACATAGACGTATTCATGCTGCAGATAAACAAATACTGTCTGCCAGTACACCACTGGAATGCAGTATGAGTTTTGGAACAACATGCAGCACGTGCTAAATTACATGCAGCGGTATTTAACTGTGCACAAGCAAATACAGTACCACCTAATCCACTAAATCCTAATCAGGAAATCCTTCAGGAAAACTTGACTTAAATTTTCAGATCTCTCTGGGTTAAGAGCGCATTATCCCCTCAATGTTTTTTACAGTCACACACTGACACATTTCACAAACATGCTGCCTCAATAAGCTTCCTTCCTGCCTACAAATTACAGTAAAGCTCCAGCAAAGAAAGAAATTCTTTGTTTTTATGGTCGGGTTTACATCAAGTCAGCAGCAGTGTCAAGATCTGGGATTTATCCAGGAAACGCTTTAATTCTTGGAGTGCCATTCAGTCAAATAGTGGGAAAAAGAAATGTTCTTGTTTTCATATCGCTCGTGTTTTGGCAAGTGTGCTTCTTCATTAATCACAGGCATTGTATCGGGAGACTGTCATCCAGCTCCTGAGCTCCTGATGCTTAATTCATGCTCCTCATGCCCTCAAATATTGTCCCAAAATAGACATGAATGTTCCAGCATGAATGAATTATTGACTATGCCTCTGAGGTATGCAGGGCACATGGATGGCTTACCGAGGCTTTATAAGAAGAATAATACACAGTCATCTGCTGCCTCTTTTTTTTTTACTGCTTTTTCCAGAAAGGACATTAGAAGTAGCAAGACTAACAACCTGGTTAACCACATGCATTTCTTTCCTCTGTTCCCCTCTTTTGCAGTACCTCTGCACATGCGCATGCATGGGACAAACATTTTAAACATCATGGGTTGTTTCCTTCACTTAAAGTACCGTGAAGATCCTTCAGTTGTAAAAAGAAAGGGTTCAACTTTGCCTCATTTGAGTTTGAAAAAACTGGCAACAGCTCAGTCTCCTGGGGGGGGCCAAAGTTATCCACAGGGGTATTGTCTAGTTTTATGATTTGCTTCCTTACTCGTGTCACAGGAACGCATACCAGCGATCTTCCAACTCTTTCCTCCTCTCAAAACCTCCAGCTGTCGACACTCTGTGGTCCCTCACTGGCCTCCAGGTGCTTAATGCCACCGGGAGATCAAATCGCATCTCATCAGATGAATTAACCCAAACAAAACACTTCCTCATGCCTGTGGATGATTAAGCAAACTGAGAGCCTTTCTCAAGGCGTCAGACACATGGCCCCGCGACACGAGGCTGGAGTGGAATGTTAATGGTTTTGAATACACTGTAAAAATGAAAAAGGCGCTTGGTTGGTGTTGTACACTTCAGAGCCCTCAGTTTAATTTTGCACATTAAGAGAGAGTATTTGACTGTTAAGATGAAGAGTAGCAGCGCAGGACCTTATGTGTTTTTTGCTGTCTTGCAGAATGGTATAGCGCATCGAGATCTCAAGCTGGAGAACATCTTGTTGGATCAAGATTTGAATGTTAAGGTAAGTCCTTAAACCGAGACACTATCTGTACTGTAATAATTCATCAAATTTATTATAATGAATCAACCAAATATCCTTTGTTTTGGATCATAAAGGCAGACAGAACAATGACAAACGGTCCGATACATTTACGGTGTCAGCTTTTTAAACTGCAGCTTTAGTCAGCAAGGATTGGAGCTTCATTTAGAGCAGCTGGCAACAGATTTCCATACCCTGTCCAAGATCAACAGCACATTCAAAATATACATTAAACAGAACACCCTCTGTCTACCCACAGTGTTTTAATGTGTTGTTAAGGCATGCACACTGACCCAGCACAAACATACTTCCAAGTCTTATAAAAATATCCAGGGATCTTTTATTTTTCCGTATTTGGGTTTTCCTCTCCTTATATGGGAGCTGTGCTCAGCCAAAGGAGGAATTCAGGGAATCCAGTGGCAATCGTGCCAATCACAGGGTTTTAATTTAAGTCAGCTCAGTCTGCCCATCGAGAAAAAAAAAAACACCATTTGTAAACCTCTCAGCAGCTCCTTATTCACTGCTAACCTTAGACCCACCATGGCAGCCCCTCCGAGGACCTGCAGCAGGAAGTGACAGAGCCCTTTTGCAATGCATGTGGCTGTTTTGTCCACACAATAGCTGTTTCCAAGTATGTGAAGAATGCAGGTTAAAGCATTCGTTGGTGAAACACTTAAAGGCATAGATTACACTTTAACAAATACCTATACTGTATCAAAACCTTGAATACTTGTTATTGTAGGTAGAGGTGAGGGAAATCTGCTGCACAGAAAGTGTCTTGTGTCGGATTTAGAATGTAGAGTTATATGTTTTGAGTTAGTGATTATGTTACACCTGAATAGTTCGCCATGACACAAGTGTCCCCTGGTGTGATCCGTCTTATCCACAAAGCCACAGAGACAAACACATTTTATCTTTTTGCTTAGGTACAGCCAGCGATCAGAGACCTTTTTTTCGTTGTAGGTTGAATCATCATTATATTACTCACTATGAATCTTTGCCATGTACATACAACTACACTGAACAAAAATATAAACACAGCACTTTTGTTTTTGCTCCCATTTTTTATGAGCTAAACTCCCATTTTAAACTCCGAGCTAAATTGGAATTGACCTGCAGTGTGAACATAGCTTATGGCACACCTGTGCAATAATCATGCTGTCTAATCAGCATCTTGATATGCCACACCTGTGCAATAATCATGCTGTCTAATCAGCATCTTGATATGCCACACCTGTGAGGTGGATGGATTATCTCAGCAAAGGAGAAGTGTTCATAAACACAGATTTAGACAAATTTGACGACAGTATTTGAGAGAAATAGGTCTTTTGTGTACACAGGGAAAGTCTTAGATCTTTGAGCTCAGCTCATGAAGAATGGGAGCAAAAACAAAGTTTTATGTTTTACACTCGCCTGAGAGTCTAGGGTCCACTCTGACTTAATGCAGACCTTTTCTTCTTTCTGCATAGACATTCCTCTCTTCATCCAAATGCTGTGTTTTGTAAAATGAGAGTGTCTGAAAGAGTTAGATAGATGTCTGAAAAGCACATTAAAAGAAAATATCAGAGCTTTGATGTTCTGATATTGTCTTGGATTCATGTTTGAAATATAGTATGTACTTTGTAGATGTTGCTTTAAGAATCTGGCCCAGTAACCAGATGGAAAAAGCATAAAACTACTCAAAAAAGGACCTTATGAATTGTATTAAGTAAAGATGGCAGGCCATGCAGCAAAAAACAATTATTAACAAGTTTCTTTACCTCAAAGAAATTAAGAAAATACCTTCAGTAAATTTAAAAGTAGTGGTTTTAAAATCTAATCGAAAAACATAAAGGTACACCAAACAGTTACTCAATTACGACAGCATGAGTACATGTAATTTCTTACTTTGACTCCTGAGTATCAGTAGAAAATAAAAAAGGTAAACCAATCACCCAGGGATCGAGGGATCAATAGGAAGTAGCGCAGAAATAGTTTGTGATCGAAGATTGTATCAGATCATTGGTCAGCTTAACAGGGGGGCCTTTTGAATGTCAAATCTCATAAACCAAACACCATAAAGACCAAGCTCCTCTTTTGTAGTTGTACCCAGTTTCACTTTCACCTCACATGACTTTCTTACAAGACTCTCAACAGGTAGTCCGGAAACTCAGAAACAGTCCATTTCAGTCCATGAGATCTGGCTTCTCACAGCGGTCCATGTAATCCCCAGGCACGTGTACGAGGCTCGTTTGTATGTTTGGAATAAAGAGCGCGTCTAATACAAGCATCCAGCACTGAGGAATGTCTGAAATGTGCACAGAATCATAAAAGGGAATTTACACAGCAGGATGTACACACACAAACACACAGTAGTTTGTTGAATTTAAAGCTGAATAAACAGCTCTCATGCTCAGTCGAGATGTTATTATGATTATTGCTGCTGCGTAAATAACACGAACTCATGCATACACTGTGTCTCTGTCTATCTGTGGGGTCTCTGTTCCTGTTAACCTCAGCTCCACGGAAATAAAGCTGTCACTTTGAGTATTTTTAACACCGGAGGAGCTGATAGTGGGCTGGCGCTCATGTTAATAATCTCTTCAGATAGAGAGGAGCCTCGGTATGTCTGCGTATGGCTCTCACAGCTCTTGAGTGAGTGATTGTTCCATTACGTGTGTAAGCAGCCTGATGTTTTTGGCCCTCTTCTCTCCCCTCACTCACACTTCCATTGGCAAAAGCTCAGTGTGCCTACTTTAAAAGGAACTGCTTTGGGTTTTATTGCCACATGGGTGAGAGTTTGCTGTACAAACTCATAGAAATGGAATCTGGATGGGGATGCAGTGTTTACAGTTTGGTGTATTATCCTGTGGAGTGATTGGTCCAGTTTGTTTGTTTTTTACATATTTTTCAAGAACTGATTATATTAATTTTGGTTCTGTCGTTATTTGTTATAAAACACTATTATCACTTCTTTGTTTGTCCACTTTTGTGGCACTTACGACACCTTAGATTGATCACACTGTGTACTTAGTGTGCAGTGTTTGACAGGACCTCTTCCTAGAGTCCACAGACTCTATTTACTGCTGAGGGGGTGCATTGACGGAACAAAAACAAAAGGCTGGACAGTGCTGTAAAACTGAGTGGTGGTATAGCTTAGAAACCAGTACGCAGTATTACATGACAGATTCCCGTCCACAAAAATATGCACTTTGACCTTGGGGAGTGGAGAGGTGTAGAACGCCGTGACCGCTGACTTAAAAAAACAATCAAATACTTTGTTGAAGCTTCTCAATCATGGAAGTCACAGTCTGAATTCTGGTTCTTTGTTGCGTTTGCTTCCAAAAGTGACACATTAGTAACAGTATTACTTCTTAGCATTGCCACCATTAAGACAATGGGCTCTATTTTCGTTAGCGCCGGTGAGGCGGCGGAGGGCGGCGAGCCCCGCGCAGTTGTATTTTCGTCTGGCGGAGCCCGGCGTAAGGCGAGTTTGGTATTTTCGTGGACTGAGTCGCAGGGAGGCGAGCCGAGATCCGCCAAGCTGGGCGTGGTGGCGTGGCAGGGGGAGGTGTTGACAGAATCAGCTGGCGCAGTGACATTTTCGTGCTCGCCACCGGCGTGTAACGTGCGCTGAAAGCTCGCCGATTCAAACCTGGTCAGCTTTCAGCGCAAGGCGGAACGCAGCTGGTCTAGTAGTATTTTGGTAGACCGGCGGCGTATCGACATACGTCACTGATGCCTCACCGGCAGGTTTCCACAGTGTCAGGCACATTTCAGTGCACTAAATAATCATCAACAACTATTAATCTGAGTCAGCACATACATTTAGATCTATATCGATATATTCTGATCTATATCTGATCTGATGAGCGCGTTTGGCACGCGTTTGGCACGCGTTTGGGCACACAACCTGACCGAATCAATACAGCTGAAACTGCATCAAATTAAATTAAATATCTAGTAAATAAACACACGATGAAGTTAACAAGATATGTAATGTGTCTCCCTCCTTTTCTTTCTTCCTCTTATTTCTCGCACAGCTCGACCTGGACACGTCTCCGTGTCCTCTGTCTGTCTTGCTGCAGCTGCTGCGGCTGAACAGATGATTTGTTTCAGTGCTCAGATGCGTTATCTACTTTAAGCCGACATACGGATATTATAATATTCAGTTTTGTGGGCCACATTTATTTTATATGCCAACATCTATGAAAGAAAGAGCCAGGCCACGGAGCGCGATGCGTCATTTACGCACAGATGGTTCCGATTTTAATGCCATTTTTGGAGTTTATGTTGTGATCTGTGCGCTAAACCCACCTTTGTCACGTGAGGTTTGAATATGAGCAACTTTATGTGAGTGTCTTTTTTGTGGAAAAGGGTGTTTGTCTTACCAGTGGGTCCAACATTACGCACACCAAATCTATCTGTGCTCAGATGAGAGAGTGTGGAGGACACTTGTTGAGCAGCTGCCCTCTGTCACCATTGTGTGGCATAACTGTCTTCAGACATCTCTTGATCTCTTTGACTACTTCATGAAAATAGTAATACGCCTCGCCAGTGGCGGATTTAAAGGCAAGGAGAGGAGCTTATGTGATTGGTGAAAACAGGTCTCGGCTGTGTTAAACCCCCTATACGCCCTCTCTCCTCCCCGTCTACGACTTATGCTGCCGGGAGGAGCTGAGTTAGGGAGGGGGGATACTTACGCCGGGCTGCGCGGCTCACCAAAATACCAAAATGTGCTTGGGAACCTTGTCAGCGCGGCGGATCTGATTGACGCTGTGCTTGCGGCACGTCTTCGGCGAGGCACCAAAATAGAGCCCAATATGTCTTTCATTGGTTGTCTGCTATTACAAATTTTAGGGTATTTGTCAAACAATGACAGTTTTCTATTGTCCCCCTCTCTTTTCTATCCTCATTGCTGTACCGGTCTGGTACCATAACCAATTTTGTCAAACGCTTGTTCATAGTGGATTATTTCATGTTTCATGTCATGTTTCAAACTTGGTACTTAAAAAAAGAGAAAAATAATTCTGATCAAAATATCCCTTTTCTTCTCTTTTTCTCTACAGCTGGCAGACTTCGGCCTCTCCAATCATTTCCAAAAGGGCAACCTGCTGCAGACATACTGTGGGAGTCCACTCTATGCTGCCCCAGAGATAGTGAAAGGTCTGCCATACCAGGGGCCAGAGGTGGGTCGACACACCCAGCCACTAGAGGAAAATGTTCAACACATGGTGTATGCGTTATCAAGTTACATAAGGGCTGTGTTAAAACTGTAAAGCTCTTTTGATGCACTGTTACATAATGTGTATTGTGCAGCTTGCCTAAAACAGTAAGATGGGTACATTGATTATTTACATTGAAGTGTCTCATTTGTCCTTGTATTTGCTGCAACAGAACCTCAGCAAAAATTATTTAAATTAAGTAGACGACATCTGAAGTTTATGCCTTATGTCGCCTGAGAAAATGTGAATAATGTGCTAAGAGGTGTATGTTTTTTCTTTGCTAGGTGGATTGCTGGGCGCTGGGTGTGTTGCTGTATGCTCTGGTGTACAGCAGCATGCCATTCGATGGGGCCAGTCACGCCACACTCACAAAACAAATCAGCCAAGGGCGCTACAGAAGACCCAACCCCCCCTCAGGTACACTTTGACATTTTTCATAAATATCATAAATGTTTAACAAGCATGTTTTTTTGTAGTTTTATGACCAAGTTTTGGTTGGTTTGAGTGTTGTGAATAACTGACGACTCTGGTCCCTCCAGACGCCTGTGCTCTTATCGACTGGTTGCTGACGGTGCGTGTGGACGAGAGGGCTACAATAGAGGACGTGGCTAATCACTGGTGGGTGAACTGGGGTTTTCAGGAGAGTGTGTGTGACTGCCCCTCATCTTCACACCAAGAATGCCCCTCCCCTCTGCTGGCTCGCTACATCGACTGGCAGAATCGTGTCACAGTCGCCACCAGCAGTATGACCGCTGACCAAGGGTGCATCACCTCAGACTCTCTCCTGTCCTCTCCTCACCCTTTTTACTTCAGCTTGCCTCTGAAGAGCGATCGTGGAGTGGGTGGAGGGAGAGTACGCAGTGCCATGTCAAATGTGAGGAAGTCACGCAAGGAGAATGTGATCCCCCAGACTGCACTTGGAGCTTGTGGAGGTGTTTGCGCCACATCTGCCTCCTCCATAACCGTTTCCTCCACTTCGAGTATTGAAAGAAAGAAACCCAAAGGTATTCTCAAACCTCAGAGGAGTTTTGACTCTGTCTTTCACAGTCCTCCCAATGAGAACTCTCCGGCCCAGCCTTGTAATGCTCCTCAGCCTTACCGGACACAAACACTGCCGCATATACAAGCCGAGGTCCTGTCCACGAGTCTGCCACCTGTCTCATCGTTCAGTCAGCCTTCATCGAAAATGCCCAAGAAGGGGATACTCAAGAACTTTTGTAGTGGGGAGTCAGTTTATGTCTCGTCTTCAGAGAGAGGGCTGACTGGAGCTGAAGGTGAAGAGACAGAAGTGGGTGATTTGTGCTCAGACAAACAGAGTGCTCACCTCCCAGCGGTAGAAGACAGCCCCACTATGCGCACAGAGGCAGTAAGAAGGCGGAAAGGCATCCTGAAACGCAACGGCAAATTTTCTCGCAGTCTTGATCTCCCCGATGGTCGTCATTCATCTCCCTCTCCAGTTCCCGCGATATTCCCCGAAGCCCTGCAGCAGCTCCTCCAAGCTACAGGGGGCGCCGATGGCCGTCGCAGCCGCCCTTCCAGTGTGGTCAGCGAGGACAGCCTCTTCTCCTCGGACTCTTTCGACTTACTAGACCTCAGCGCCCAATCACGGCGCAGGGTCTTCTCACGAGGTATGCAGCACAGCGCTTGTAGCTCTGAGGAGGACCTGGAGCAGCTGAGGACGGACAGGATCGGCAGAGACACAGAAAGACAGAGAGACAGAAGAAAATGCTAACACGATGAATGATGGACACAACCAAAAAGAGTCTAGTAGGCAGTGACAGACATTATGAAAAGACTCCCAGAACACTCTGGACAGGTTTTGACAGAAGGTTTCATCTTGTATGTGTTTATATGTGTGTAGTATTCAGGCAACTTAAAGCACTGTCTTCTGGAAAATGTGTTTATATTTAAAGAATATTCACCCGATGCATTCGTAGCTAAGATTGCCTCCTGAATCAGAAAGAGATAGAAGGCCATCGTTGATACCCCAACAGGATCCAGCATCTGAAGAACTGCAGAAACAAGACCTAGACTTTTCCCTTGGGTTTTTTGAAGGTTTTACAGCTGGTTTGCACAGAAGAGTCTGGAAAAATCTGTGTCTGGATGCTGTTTACTAGTTTTGATGATGAGTGAAAACCTTGTGTCAGTGTATATATGGAGACAATAAGCACAAGTGACTTTCATGACCTTTTGCACATTCAAAACCATAGAGGAATTCATTTAAGATGACAAAAATCAATGAAGTGGTATATAAGTCCAAATTGTACTTAATGTTGTTGCACCCTCGTCTTCAGTAGAGGTTAATCTCAGTTGGAATGGAGAGGTGATAATCCTTTTGTGCTGAGATTCACAATAGTAGTAGAAAGCACACCTTCACATTTTCTTTTGCAGATTATCTCTTGAATTCTGTCAAAATTTGCACCAAGTTCAAATGGAAAAATCTAACTTGAATGCTCTAATGTGGGGATAGAATGTCACTTCTTGGTGACATTCAACTTTGTCAATGCTAACTCTTCCCATAAAGGCATAAAAAAAAGGTTACTATGATTTACTACATTGAGTTTCAACACATTTGCAGGTGACCACTGGAGGAGGAGGAAGATGGAATTTACACCAAGTGGTCTTCTTATTTGTTCACTAACTTCATAATTGTCCACGACATTATAATGTGCGTTTAACAATCTTTAAATGTTCATATCCTGCCTTCACTCGCTGAATAGGAGGGAAAAGTAAAGCAGTACACCCTTTATGTAGTCTATTTGTACTCCACTGTAATCAGCTGTACATACTGTACTCATCAACAAACACGAGGTGAACAGCAGATGGATCACTGCGCTCATTATGTCACAAACAATGCTGCTGTTGATATTTGTTATACACAAGAGATGTGTGGGATTTTTAATCCTTAATTTTCATACTGTGACAAACTGTTAATACTGTCGATTTTGTTTTAAGGATTTTTTGTGAGTGAGTGTGTGCAGGGGATAAATAAATTATGTAAAACAGAATGCATTCTTTGTTTTTTCTTGTTAGAAAACAAGGCCAGCGAGGAAACAAATCCACACTCAAAAAGAATAAATAATTCTGATGATTTTTCAACTACGGTGATAACTTTTTTTTTTTTTTTGCCCAAAATGTTACTTTAAAAGTCACAAAAATTGACAAATTCGCTCTTCAAGTTGAAACTTTAATCTTGTGATCCCAACACAAACGCAGCTAACTGTGGGCACGTTTCAGACATTTATTAGTGATTAGTTTCTAAACAATCGCAAACTTATAATCTCCTCACTAATAATCATCTTAGGGGCCCTAGATTTATCTGAAAACTTTGGTAAGTGATCTGAAAACCCTCGCTTGGGTAAAAATCCCTGCTTCACAGTAAATTTGTAAATATTAAGAAAGTAACTCTGTCTTCCTTTTGCCTCCTCATGCCATAAGTAATTAGTTAATTTTTGATTTGGACGTTAAGTCCTGGACTGTGCGCTCATAATGCTCAACTCGTCATGGTCTCCTTCACTGCAAATCTCATTGACACTGAGGCAAACGCTTGGCTTTAACAGTCAGAGGAGGATCACAGCAGGATAACAGCAGCTTTAAGTCCTGTGCGGGCCTCCTGTCAGTCACACTGCTATTTTACCAACCTGGCACAGACCCACAGGCCAAACACTCTGTAAAGATTCAGAGGTATTCCAAACATCTGCTACACTTACTAATGCAAACCAAAGGAAGGGGTTCATAGTTTGGTCTTGCAGGCCTGGAGGCTTTTCCTTCTGGGCCCTTCACGTGTGGATAAAAAGTACTACTAAGTGGACAAAGCAGCTCAACTTTCCTGGGTTTTTAGGCTGATTACTGGGGCTCAGGCAGGTGGCAAACAGGGGTATTATGTTGAGGAAATCTTTTACCCGCATACTGTGAGTCCTGGAATTTTTCTGTTTGCTTGCATCACTGTCAGCATCAAAAAGACGAACATTACTTATTTTTTTAGTTGAAACTGATGCAGAAAAACACAAAATGATGTGACATGTCATACACATAAATTCAATAATACTTAACATTTAGTCTTTAAGTACAGTATGATCAGTTGTCATGATGTGGTCTGTTAATTTAGTTTTTCCCTGGTTTTGTTATCTGAGTGTATTTTCTTTCTTTGTGTTTGACCCTGTTTCCCTCATGTTCCCAGTGTTATTCTTTATATCAGGTCTGAGTGTTTCCTGTTTTATTTTGTAGTAGTTGATTCCTTGTGTTTCTAGTCTGGTTTTACCTCCCTAGTTTCCCCTCCTCTGTTAATTAAGCACCCATAAGTTTCACCTGTGTCTCGTTTGCCTCACCTGTTGCTCGTTTCCCAGTGTGTGTATATAGTCCCTGTCTGCCCCTCTGTCCTTGTTGGTTCATTATATGTCTGTGTGCGTATGCTTGTGTCCCCAGTAGCGCCATGTGATTTTTGCCCCAGTGATGTTTGTGGATTTTTCTCTTTTTGTTGCTTTTTTTCATTTAGTTCCTTTTAATTAATTTGGGTCTTGTTCTTTGTTTAACCCTGCACATTATGACATCAGTTCAATTTTGTTATGTTTTATTAAAGTCCTTAACAAAAAAAATTATCTCAGTAGAGATGAAAATTTATCAATATTGATACCAACTGTCACATCATCTTGATAATGCCAAAAAAGCATACCCTTAAAAATGTCTGATAACAAGTGGAACAAAGCGATAAGTGTCTGCACAGATAGCATCTTAAACCTCTAACTGCACCCTTGCAACCAAAAATAACCTGCTCACAAGACAAAAGCAGACAATGATTTGAACAGCGCTGTGATGTCCTAATTTTAGATAAGACTTGAGGAGAACATGTATTTATAGTTTAATCTTTAACCTACAAATTTATACCATGCAGCATTCACCAAACACAAGAGTACAACAGATGTCCCCTGATTAGACTTGGGCAGGAGTACGTCTGGATGTCCATTATCCTTACAAAGCTGTTTTTTCATTACAGAATAGGGAAATCTTTTCCGTAATGAAGGGGAGGCTGATCATTTTCTTTTCTACTATTTTGATTTAAACCCCAATTTAGCAAATTACTTATTTGAAAATTTTCTGTATCAGAGAGAACATTACTAAAGTTTGCTCCAGCACATTCATCCAAGTAGACTGAGCAACACTGACATCTTGTGGTAAATGAAGTACTGCAAAGCAGGTGGCTACTCAAGCACCCTATTGTGTTGCTTCTCACAGAGGTGACTCACGTTGACTTGTGGTTTCTGGTACACAGGCTGAATCAACACAAGAGGAGGTGACATTCTGAACCATCATGTCTTTTTCATAAGTTCAGTCAGTTTCAACAATATTTTGAGGGTGCTGTTATATTGCTGCCGTTTACATATTTCTTTAGGGCAGTTTCATATTTTGTATTATTAATGAAATACCCTGAGGCAGGTATTGTCTTATTATCTGACCTATTCTTAATCTCCCTATTTGATTTGTACAAGGTGTTCAAAGGTCAAAGTTGTATCATGGGGGGGTTGACCTGTCTCCACCAAGAGGTAATATAAGGGGCGGAGATGACTTAAGCCGCACCTACGCCATGTTGCCGGCGAGGCACGAAAATATAGCCCAAGATGTTCCTCGTCTCACAGGGGGAAATTCCAAGTTTACAGCAGGATAGTACAGACACCAAGCAGCTGAGTTGTGTTGTCTCAGCTGTTCTCTTGAAGATAACAGCTTTTTGAACAGGCTCAGTTTCGACAATAAGTTGTTCAGCAGGCAGAGGATCCTCAAAGATGTTTTTCTGGTTTGACATCTAAGTAAAAACATTATGATCAAAACGAAAGCTGGTTCTACAGTCATTAATCCGGTTTGATGTTGGGTAAAATAACAGCACCTTAAAACATTAAAGCTCGTGGTTTGGATCTCGTTCAGGAACAAGACTCTCTCCATGTGTAGTTTTGTATGTTTCTGAGTGCATGTGTGGGCTTCCACTGCAGAGAAAACAGACTAAAATCAATACTGATGCCTCTTTACTATTGTCAAAGGCAAACACAGCCAACAGCAACATGTCTGATAATTTCACAGTTTTAAATTCTAATGCCTGAAACCGCTGTGAAGGGGTAGTCATCAGACCATGTCACTGACAACAAGCTAGAAATTCAGCCTTTTAAACAACAGTTGACACTGAAAATTTTCCTGGTGAGTGGTAGATTTTGTTGTGAAAAGACATCAGGGAAAGGTTTTTGACTGACAACACAACAATCAGATGTTCAGGACAAAAGATTAGTGGTGACTGAAGGTCATCTGGAAATCTATCTATCTTATAATGCATTAGAATCAATATCTTTTCAAAAATCTTTATCTAAAATATTTCCCTTTGCACTAAAAAAATTTTTTAAAAATGATAATAAACTTTATATCTATGGATAGGTATGAAGTTGTTGACAAGATGTGATGTTTTAAAAGTAAGAAATTATGAATGTAAAATGTTTTTACTGCTCTTTCATTTGACCGTCCATTTTTTGCCACAAGGTGAACAAATGCTAATTGTCATGTGTTCACAGAGCTCACAGGCCATCAGACAGCTCTATGCAACACATCTAAAGAAGCAAATTTAACTGTCAGAGGTCAACATTAAATATAAAAAAAGACAGATGGCAGACCTCTCAGTGGAGTCTGAGATTAAAAGGAGGACACTTTGAAAATTAAATCTTGAAATAAAAAAACTTGAGCGTGAGCTGAGTTATGCACACTGTATGCTGACTGTAACACAAACAATGTATTTATCATTATTCTCCTTTCCTCCCCAGCTACAAAGGGATGAACAATAAATAAAAGTTGACATGAGATTTTGGTGTCTGCTTGTTTAATGTCTGCACAGTTAGGGCTACCATAGATATGAGATATGCCAGTAAATCAGACTGTGGAATTGCCATAGGCCATCCTACCTAAGTGCTATGATTGGTTGGAAGTCACAGGCTAATGATCAACTGTATTATTAAGACTAGAAGAAATGCACATAATGTACCTGAAATGCAATGATGAAAGGTGCTGATGGTTTACTTGCTTTGATTCATCCTTATTCAATAAAGGAACATCATGCTACTCTTTGTGTATTTTTTTTATACATAGATTAAAAATTGCAAAATTATTTATCTAAAATGATTGCAATTAATGATCACAAATGTTTAAATAATGACGGCGGGTGTAGTTAAATGTGATAACAATGTGTAGTGGGCAGTGGCATGAATGTTAGTGTCCATTTGTGATGACTGCTGACTGAGATAAGGGATAAGATTTAACAGATCCTGGAACTTAGCCTGGTCTGGAGCAGGCTAGCTCCACAGAATAAGTCTCCATGGTAACTTATGTCATAACATATCCCACTTTCCCCTTTCATACTTTTTTGCAACCGGATCATGGATAATTTGATCCAGGATCACCAAAATATCACGGCTTAATCTCTTATCCTACTTTTATGCAACAAGCCCCACATGAGAACCATTGTCAATGAAACTCAAACTACCTGAATCTTTCTCTATATTTGGTGTTACTTCCTGAGATTTATTCATTTATTTATGAGGCAGTCTGTGGTATGCCACAAATATTCAATCAAATTTATTATTGTTCTTGTCAGGGAGAAAGGATTGGCATCACATGCTTTTCTGAGACATTGCTCAGGGTCTTTTACAACAAGTTGGATGACCTGGATGGATACATTACCATCAAAAGAAATCTTGACCAGTGGTGGAATGATTTCCTACAGCAAGAGGTAACAATAATTTCTCATTTGTAAAATGTATTGTGGATACTGTTAGGGGCTGTCTGGGTAGCTGATCTACTGCATCAAAACAGCTTTTTTTTTTTTACACTGTGAGCATTATGATTGGGACATGAGGTGGAGTGATGGCATATGTTACATTTTGTCTGACCTCTGACATAAAAAAAATCCAGCAACTAAATGATCACTGGTTGGAATTAAGTTGGGTCAATGACTGTTTCTAATGGTTGTTATTCTTAAGCTATATGTTGAGTGAGTAACAGAGGTGGGAATTGTGGAGTAAGCAAGTCATCGCCATGCCATGTATTTGTTCTGCTCTGTTACTGAACCAGCTGCTTCCAATGAGCAGCCAGGAAGGTGAGCTCATTAGTGAAGGCATGGCGATGACTTGCTGACTCCATAATTCCCAACTCTGCTGAGTAATAATGTTTGCAGAAGAAACTATTGACTGTTACTACTTGTTGTAATTCTTAAACTGTATGTTGACTGGCTAATAATTTTTGCAGAAGAAACTGTTTTCTTGAGTTAGAGGTGGTGTCTGCCATTGTTTAAGAGCAAAGGACCAAAAATTTGAAATGATGGATTCACTTTCATTTTAGTTTTAAAACACCTTGATGTGGAGCATCTTTTCTTTTGTTTATCTCTCACCTCCATTACCATGCTCTGCATTCTTTGGTATTGACACACTTGTCTGTCTTGATTCACACACAGGGTAAAGGCACAGCGACAGGACTCTGGGGAATCAAACCAGATAAATGTACCTGAAGTTTTGGAAGATGAGAATCAAACAAGGTTGAAACAAGGACAGAACATTTTAAAACCAAACCCTTTAGAGCCCAGGATGTAGCTGGGGTTAAAGTGAAAATTTTTCAAAGGATTTTCTTAAAAAAAACCTCCCGAGTTATTCTGGTGCAATTAAACCCTTCATTGAAGTGGTACTGTGAGTCACTCTGTCATATGTCTTGTTTTAACTCTAGCTTTAACATCTATTCGTGAGATAACTCAATACAAAATGACAGAGAAAAAACAAAACATTAAATTTAACATTTAAGCAAACAGTAAATGCCAGTACCAGTTACAGTAATGTAATGATGATGTAAGGCAGGGTTCTGAGAAAATGGACTGGTTATACAGAAAATACAATAATGTTTGTTTCTGAGTGCATGTGTGTGCTTTCACTTCAGAGAAAACAGACTAAAATCAAAACTGATGCCTCTTTACAGCTGTCAAAAGAGGCGTTGACTTCTCTTAAATCTGGTTAATAATTAAAACAGGTGTGTCCTCTTAAATGCTTCACATGTTGAATGACTGTAGAAACTTCTTTTAAATTACTACTGTTCAGTTTCAGCTTTATGCTTGGCTATGATAAGGCTAATCTTATGTTTGCACCTGTTGGAAAAAGCACGGCTGTGTATACCACAATCATCGTCCAGTGATGATCAAAAACAAAATACATTCATTTGAGTACTGTACTTCAGTAAATTGTATTTGTACATTACCTGAGTGTTATCTATAGCATTATAGTTGGACAGGTGTGCCCAGATTTATTACATGACATGATTGTTTGTTGTAAAAGCTATTTGTCAACTTCAAAAGTGTTGTCTGGAAAAATTTATATGAGCCTGTGTCCTGGGACCAGATAAGAAACCTTTCCCGTGAGAAATGTGTGAGTTTCACACATAGGGTTGTCTTGATGCTACAGATTGGTGGTATCACCTTTGTCCTTAGGGGGCGCCAAGATCAATACAAACTAAAAGCTCCTCACAGCAGCTTTAATAAAGATAAAAATAGGGGTTTAATCATGTATGAGTAAATGTTTGGAATTCATCTGTTTTGTCAACTGGACATGAGTTAAAAGGTAAAAGAGCAATGTAAAACAATAATACAAATGGCATCTTTATAAATATTGAAATCTATGTTGAAGGCTGTGTTTATCATTTCAGTTCCAGTGAGTGCACCTCCATTGTCTGGCATTAGGTTGTTTTTTTTGTAAGATGTCACAGGCTGACGGTTAAATAAGATTAAGGTTATAATTATGATTTCATTTCAGAGCATTCAAGAGGCATTCAATTCTCCTTAATCTGAGTTTAATAGATCAGGTGTGTCATGTTAAATGCTTTTTGATTGTTTGTTGTAAAAGCTGTTTGTCAACTTCAACAGTGCTGTTAGTTCTCTCATACGTGTTTTTCAAGAATCCAATATATTAAAGGACAGATCCATTGTATTAGTAACCTGTAGTGTTTTGTTTCTATGCTACCTCTCAGATTATTCAATAATATTATAACCACTTAATGGTTAACAATGCTATATAAATAATTCAAATACAGTATAAACTAAACATTTCTAAACTATTTCTGTGACTTAGACTTAGGTTATAATTTTATATTCAATAGTTTTAGCTCTTAAAAGTTAATGAAACAGTCTGAAAAGCTGTTGGTCTAAAGCAGGGGTCGGCAACCTTAAACACTCAAAGAGCCACTTGGACCAGTTTCCCACAGAAAAGAAAACACAGGGAGCCACAAAACCTCTTTGACATCTAAAATGAAGATAACATTGCATGTATCTTTTTTTTACCTTTATACAAAGTATATAAAAAACTGTAGCGAGTTGCATTTATGAAATAAATGAACTATTTCGGCGAGTGTCTGTCTTCTTCTGTAGTTAAACCGTAAGATATCAAAATCCACCCGGATACAGCAATGCTGCTTTTTGATTGGCTGTTCAGTAGATATACTTTATTTGATTGGCTTGTGCGTGGCACGCAGCATCTGAATTCTCGGAGAAACTCAGTTGATTTCCCCCTGTTCCGTAGTTGAAGAAGTGCAACTTGGTGGACATCACCGTGTTCATTTAAATGCGTGAGAAATACAATGTGTGGTGTGTGAGCGTGTGAACGAGTGGGAATGCGTGTGTCATACGCTGAATGCGTGAGACTTGAGAGCCCTGTGCTCACGCATCATCGATGTACTCCCGAGCCATGCAAAACGGTCTTTGCAAATGTTGCACTGAACGCCTTCCTTTTCAGTCTTGGTGAAGTTTTCCCACACCACTGATGTTTTAGGTCGGGATTTGGGTTGGGTTGTGTCCATGTTTTTCTCAGCCGCTGCCTCGGCCATGGCTGTTTCTTTTCTGTGCGTCCTGCTGATGTTTACACGCCGGTGTCCATGGACATATATAAAGACCCGACGAATCGATTACAGAATTTGTTGGCAACGGATTTTTTCGTCACGACGAATCTACTTAATCGATTCGTTGTTGCAGCCTTAATAGTTTATTTAATGTTACAAGAGCATTATAATCTTTGAATTTAGAATTACAAAATAATAATAAAATAAAATAAAATGCAATTAAGTATTTATTATTTATTTTCCAAATCCATTGGGAGCTGCAGCTTAGGGAAGAAAGAGCCGCATGCGGCTCCAGAGCCGCGGGTTGCCGACCCCTGGTCTAAAGAAACTAAAGCATGAAGGATTTATTTTGTCAGAGTGATAACTTGGCTTCTGTAGCACATAGAAAAACAGGACAGGGCTCATTTTTAACACAAACGTCATGATGAGACAGATTAGTACATTACTGAAAGCACAAACGTCATCATCACTCATGACTATTCTTTCTTCAAAGAATGCAGTTTTTATCAGTACATGGTTGAGCAGGGTTTTACGATGGTGGTCTGGAGGCCAGCATCCTACTCCTCAGACCTTTCCTCAGGTTCGCTGTGTGTCACACACTTTAAGACAGTAAATCTCAAATGGGAGACCTAGGTTTAGGCCTGAATGATTATTTAGATGGTCAGTGATGGTGTCAGTTTGAAAGGTAATAAAAACTCTGTCACTGTTCTTTGAATTGACCATTAGAGAAGAGCCAGAGGTTTGGGTCAACCTCTAGTTGGGTCAGTGGTGTGACCTGAAGGTCCAAACAAGTCTGAAAAGATTTATATGAGCCTGTGTCCTGGGACCAGATAAGGAACCTTTTCCATGAGGAATGTGTGAGTTTCATACACAATTTGGTATTTTGGTGAGCGGTAAGTATCCCCCTTCCCTAACTCAGCTCCTCCCAGTGGTGTAAGTCATAGGGAGGGAGGAGAGAGAGTGTGGAGTGGGTTTAACACAGCCAAGACCTGTATTGACCAATAACATCAGCTCCTCTCCTCGCCTTTAAATCCGCCACTGGCGAGGCATATTACAATTTTCGTGAAGTACACGAAGACATCAAGAGATGTCTGAAGACAGCAACAGGTTGAGTGTCCAAACGCGTGCCAAATGCACTCATCAGATCAGATATAGATCAGAATATATCTATATAGATCTAAATGTATGTGCTGACTCAGATTATTAGTTGTTGTTGATTATTTATTGCACTGAAATGTGCCTGACACTGTGGAAACCTGCCAGTGAGGCATCGGTGACATATGCTGATATGAAGAGATATGAAGGGACAACATTATTTATAGTTCAAACAGAAATTGGAGCAGTATCAGGGCAGTAACCAGTTGGATAGGTGTGATAGAGAGTAGGTGTTTTAAAACACTGGGCGTGATCTGGTCTGGTGATCTTGGTCTGCCTTGATCAGCTGTTTAAATAACATCCACCAGCTGCCACATCAGTATCAGAGACTTAAACTCAATGTAGATGCGACATCTGAAGAAAACATTGATTCATTTGAACTGTTAGCAACAGGGAATGAAGCAAATGTGCAGGTACCTGTAAAAAAGCAAGACTTGCTGGACTGGAGAAAAAGGTAAGGATTCTGGTTGGCTTGATTAATTGATGGTATATGTATTTTTTGTTTAATCAGTGGGCAAAGGCATGTTAGGGCTTTATTTGATTTTCTGTCTATACATCATCGTACATTTCATATCGTTATGCTACATGACTTTTAATAACCACTCTCTCTTTTACTAAGAACAAGTCCAATAATAACTAAGTGGTAAGAGTGAAGAAAAATGGCCAGTGGGTAAGTGTGTCTTTCCTTGTTAAACCAGCCTGAAAAGAAGTCGCACTTGTTCATACTTAGTCTCCCTTGAACCCTCCAGTTTACGATTTTTGTCATTGTTTCCTAATTTCCACAGGCAGAACACAGAAGGAGGAAAGGTAATATATGTGCATCACTCTCATCATTTTCATGTTTTCTGGTGTAATACGAGAAACAAATGAGAAAATACAGAGAATGATTGACTGCTGTTAACACTCGAGCAAATAGATGTCAGCACTCGAAGAAACAAACTTGTTTAGCTCTAGACTTAGTCATTAACCTGTTTATGAACAACGGCCATCAGGTGACAAACCACAGACCATCTGTTGTACAACAAACACACTTCCACAAAGCCCAGACTGTGTTTGTGTACCATCAAATATTGAGTCCATTGTTGGTATTTTCATCTGAAAGCTGACTCAAGAAGCCCCCAGAGCTGCTGCAGCTGATTTTACAGCTCTTTTTTTTTATATTGATGCTTACTGTGTTTGCTCTCTGCCAGGTGTTCAATGATCCTATCCATGGGCACATAGAGCTGCATCCACTTCTTGTTGAAATCATTGACACACCTCAGTTCCAGAGGCTGCGACACATAAAGCAGCTTGGAGGTGTCTACTCGGTTTACCCTGGAGCATCTCACAACCGCTTTGAACACTCCATCGGGTATGTCAGCATTCTGAAATGTCTGATGGTTGTATACTTAATTGTTGGGGGTCTTTTTTCACTGTTGTGTGTGGTGTTGAAAGGGTGGCGCACTTGGCAGGAGAGCTTGCTGAGAGTCTTCGCAAAAAAAACCCAGAGCTCCTCACTCCGAGGGACGTCCTCTGTGTGCAGATTGCTGGACTCTGTCATGACCTGGGTAAGTCATACACTCCTCTGTAAGTCCTGGGCCTAAAAAAGACTGATTTGACAATGACAGTATCCAGAAACTGAAAAAAAAGCCATTGCAATGGATTTTTCATTTTAAATACTCAACAGGAAAGGAAAGTACTGAACCATTAGATCTTACTGGGAGAACGTTAATGTAAAACATGCCTAAGTGGAAAGAAAGAATAAAATAGGGGGTATGATTTGAGCCAAACTTTTGGAATAATGAGATGAAATTAACCCTGTAGTCGTCTTTTTTAAAACTGCCACACACTTTTAGTCAATCAACTGTTGATAGGACAGTTGTAGTTGTTTGGTTACTCTGGTTGAAGCACTATGGAGACATTAAAAAGATTTCACATGAAAGTATTGAGAAATTATGATGTAATCACTACTACACAATAAGAAATACAATCAAATGTACATAGAGGAGTAAGAGCCTAATATTAGGACCACCCCTTTCAACTTAAACAAGCCTAATAGAATATCTATGAAAACAACTGACTGATATCTAACATACACAGACTGGTTCTAACCACAGACTGTAAATAGAATGGATGTTATCTGCCTCCTCGCTGGGCGAAGCCTCTACGGGAACAGCACCACCTGGTGACTGGATGCAGGTCATAAATCCCTCCTCCACCAGCAAAATTAATTAGCTGTGGACAAACTTTGAACATTAATTACACAGCATATAAAATGTTCTCCCCCCTAGTTGCAATGTTGACATGTAGTTACTGTAAGACTGGTTTGTCCACTTTTTTCTGTCCAGCTCCATTTTTAAAAGTTAGTAGGGGGTTCATGTTTTCTATGACTGACGCTTGATGCAGCCTGAAGGCGTATGAAGATTGACGAGATCATCCAGGGAATACGCTGTTTAAGCAGAGCGTCATCACAGCGACTCTCCCGCCAAACGCTACAGCACAAATGCCAGTTTCAGGAGAGGGAGAAAATCCCAGGAATACCAAGAGCAAATTGGCCTCAAATTCATACAAGGGGAGATGCATACTATACACAGTCTATAGTTCTAACCAAGGCCATTACTTTTCCTACTTAAGTTTTTTTTGGTTTGAAGAAATGATGATGCACATTAATCGGACTCAGTTATGTCCCCTGATCTGATACACCACTGATCACACACTCCTACACTCTTCCTAAACTTCATACACAGTCAGGCACTACTCCTCATGCAGAGCCTGCACACACTCTGCAGACACACAAACACAGTCCCGGTTTGCAACATTCAATCCTAATTGCATTGACTGGGCAGCAAACTTTTATGTCTAACATAAACCTACTTCCGCCACTTCAAAGGTGGCAAAATGTGCTGATGTTTTTTTATACCACTTTTCTGCTGGATTCAACAAATTACAGTATCTACCACCTTCCTTCTTACACAACCTACAAATGAACTCATGATGGGAATAAATCCACTTTCTCAGCATTCAAAACCCCTCTTGAGGAAGACATTTAATATAAATACATATATGCAAGAAACATACAGTCCCCTCTTCACTTATTGTTTATCACACTAGGAAACTTAATGACAATAATAATAATATATTTTATTTATAAGCGCGTTTCAGAACATTCAAGGACACTTCACAGAGTAAAGTAACATGAACACGAGTAACATGAACTCATAAACTGCCTATGATGCAATGCTTTTCACAAAAGTTACTGAGTTCTGCTGCATATTACAATTGATATCTCAGGGTGTGTAATCATTGACAATCATAGTTGGGTCACAAAGTGAGATTCTGTGACCATCCTCTGGCAAGGATGTTTTGACGATTGATTTGACCTCTATGGACCCTTTAGAAAAGATTTAGCCCCCAGGTCCCTCGCAAAAATCCCGGCATTTTTTGCTAGACAGCCAAATTCAAGATGGCGGCCGGCGCCATCTCTAAAAATTAACTTTTGATCTGGATGACCTAGAATCATGTATGAAGGCACTTTTCCATACAAGTCAAGCATGAGGATTCCAAATCTGACATAGTTTTAATCATACAACTTTGTTTTGACCGCGATATTCAAGATTGCTGCCATCTAGTACTGTGATTCTCAACCTTCAGGACTTGACCCCCCAAAACAATCATATTTGAACTGGGTAAACCCCAATTTGTTTGACTCTGTTCCACATATAGATATTGTGAAAATAGCCGATCTACAAGCCCGTAACACATGGGGCTCTATTTCGTGCCTCGCTGGAGACGTGCTGCAGGCGCAGCGTAAGTCAGGTCCGCCGCGCCAACAAGGCGTTCCCAAGCACAATTTGGAATTTTGGTGAGCGACGCAGCCCAGCGTAAGTATCCCCCCTCCTTAACTCAGCTCCTCCCAGCGGCAAAAGTCGTAGCGAGGGAGGAGAGAGGGCGTGGAGTGGGTTTAACACAGCTGAGACCTGTTTTCACCAATCACATAGGCTCCTCTCCTTGCCTTTAAATCCGCCACTGGCGAGGCGTATTACTATTTTCGTGAAGTAGTCAAAGAGATCAAGAGATGTCTGAAGACAGCAATGCCACATGATGGTGACAGAGGGCAGCTCCTCAACAAGTGCCACTGTAAGCGCTGCATTTGGCGTCCTCCACACTCTCTCATGTGAGCACAGACGGATTTGGTGTGTGTAATGTTGGACCCACTGGTAAGACAAACACCCTTTTCCACTAATAAAGACACTCACATAAAGTTGCTCATATTCAAACCTCACGTGACAAAGGTGGGTTGAGCGCACAGATCACAACATAAACTCCAAAAATGGCATTAAAATTGGAACCATCTGTGCGTAAATGACACATCGCGCTCTGTGGCCTGGCTCTTTCTTTCATAGATGTTGGCATATAAAATAAATTTGCCTCACAAAACTGAATATTATAATATCCGTATGTCGGCTTGAAGTAAATAACTCATCTGAGCACTGAAACAAATCATCTGTTCAGCTGCAGCAGGACAGAGAGAGGACACAGACACATGTCTAGGTCGAGCTGCGCGAGAAATAAGAGGAAGAGGAAGAAAGAAAAGGAGGGAGACAAATTAAATATCTTGTTAACTTCATCATGTGTGTTTATTTACTAGATATTTAATTTAATTTAATGCGGTTTCAGCTGTGTTGATTCGATCCGGTTGTGTGTCCAAATGCGTGCCAAACGCGCTCATCAGATCAGATATAGATCAGAATATATCGATAATAGATCTAAATGTATGTGCTGACTCAGATTAATAGTTATTGATGATTATTTATTGCACTGAAATGTGCCTGACACCGTGGAAACCTGCCGGTGAGGCATCGGTGATGTATGCCGATACGCCGCTGGTCTACCAAAATACCACTAGACCAGCTGCGCTCCGCCTGCGCTGAAAGCTGGCCAGGTTTGAATCGGCGAGCTTTCAGTGCACTTTACACGCCATTGGCGAGCACGAAAATGTCCATGATAATACCAAACTGGCTGTACGCCGGGCTCCGCCAGACGAAAATACAACTGTGCGGGGTCCGCCACCCTCCACCCTCCTGTCCCTTCATGTCAGGGCATGTTAGCACATGCTGCTTGTTTAGTGCTGCTGCTTTCCTAAATGTTGCCTCAGTCATTCTTTTGAGCCCACAGTTAGAGGAGCTACACATTTGATCTGTAAAGACAGTGTGCATGCAGAATACATGGCTGCTTGAATATGGAAGAAAATAATATACCAACCAGGACAGACAGACAGTCATGTATTCTCCAGTGTGGTAGTCTGTGTAATGAAGCCACATATACCATTAAGTCGACCCAAAGATGATCCCTGACATGAAGGGACAGCCAATCAAATTGCCTGAGTTAAGTACTGCTGCTGACATGAATCAAGCATACTGGATAGTTTGAGTGCAATATTCACTGGCCTTTATGTTGTTGTTAAGTTAAGTTTTCTCTGTACTTGATCATTGGTTGGTGGCGTACCCCCAGATGACAGTGAAATTATAATGTTAGGACTTGTAAGATCCTCAAAGAAAAAGATCATCACTGCATCCAAAGTAATCAACAAACAATGCTAAACCATTGGCCAAATTGTCAAATGATATAAGAAAAAGGCAAAAATTGTGAATATAGCCAATCTACAAGCTCACACGCCTCACAATACAAGGTGTTACGGGTTTGTAGAGCGGCTATTTTCACAATATCTATATGTGGAACAGAGTCAAACAAATTGGGGGTTACCCATTTCAAATATGATTGTTTTGGGGGGGGTCAAGTCCTGAAAAGGTTGAGAATTACAGTACTAGATGGCAGCCATCTTGAATATCGCGGTCAAAACAAAGTTGTATGATTAAAACTATGTCAGATTTGGAATCCGCATGCTTGACTTGTATGGAAAAGTGCCTTCATACATGATTCTAGGTCATCCAGATCAAAAGTTAATTTTTAGAGATGGCGCCGGCCGCCATCTTGAATTTGGCTGTCTAGCAAAAAATGCTGGGATTTTTGCGAGGGACCTGGGGGCTAAATCTTTTCTAAAGGGTCCATAGAGGTCAAATCAATCGTCAAAACATCCTTGCCAGAGGATGGTCACAGAATCTCACTTTGTGACCCAACTATCAGGTTGTTTTTTAATCACTGCTTTCACATTCATTCATTTCTCTTTGTGAAGGTCATGGGCCCCTCTCCCATCTGTTTGATGGAATTTTCCTCCCCAAAGTAGCGGAGCAAAAGACAGGAGAAGAAGCAGAAAAGCTGAGGAAATGGAAGGTAAGAAATAATCATGTCAGCTGTGCACACAAATGGTTTGAACCTCTCTATCTTTTCTATTACCAAGTAAACTCATTTGCACGTAACAGTCTGGCAAACATGAGCAACATGACGAGCAATAACAGCCTGTGTGTCTTTTTTTGTTTGTTATAGCAAATAAAAACATTTCCTGTTCATGTAGGGAGTCATTCTTTCTTACTCTATTTCTTATACTTATATTTCAACTCATCTGTGTGTCTCCTAGCATGAAAAGGGCTCGTGTGACATGTTTGACTACCTGGTGGACACAAATAACCTTGAACCAAAGATGATCAAGTATGGACTGGTGCCAAAAGAGGACATAACATTCATAAAGGAAATGTTTTTTGGACCTCTGGAGACTGACACAAATGATGGCGAGACGGTCAGTTCAGCTCCTGTGAGTTGAGTTAAATCAGTCAGTGTTCTTATTGTGACAGCAATGCCATTAATGCCGCTATTATTTCACATCTCTTTAGTGGAAATACAAGGGCAGAGGAAGAGACAAGTCCTTCCTCTATGAAATTGTGTCCAACAAAAGCAGTGGCGTTGATGTGGACAAATTCGACTACTTTGCCAGGTACGGTTTTGATAAACAACTGCAGTCCAGAAATTCACTTTTTAATGCTGAAAAAACTGAACACCTATTATTTTCTTCCCCCTGAACAATCACAGTCTTATTTGGATTATAATATGCAGCACTCCTCAGAATACTTAGTTTAACTTAAACCCATTTCTCTCCTCAGGGACAGTTACCATCTGGGAATTCAGAACAATTTTGATCACCGTCGCTTCATTAAGTTTGCCAAAGTGTGCAAGGTGACAGAGGACGGAGAGGAAAAGATGCACATCTGCATTCGAGACAAGGTCCTGGTGAAATATCTCCTGCTTTATATTAAATAACAATTTGATTTTATCTAAAGTTGTAGTTTAACTCTCACCTCAACAGGAGGCCGACAACATGTATGACATGTTCTACACAAGACACTGCCTCCACAGACGAGCCTACCAACACAAAGTCAACAAAATCATCGAACACAAGTAAACGTCACAAGATGTTGTTATTTATTTATTAATTAATTTTTTTTTCTTTAAGATGAATCTACTGACTTATTGTGGAATAAATAAAAGTATTAAAAAAAAGATGTTGGGACCCAAAGAATATTGTATTATTTTTCTTATGGTGCAGATTATTTTGATTGTTTCATTCATTTTTTCATAAGTAACAATAGGTTTGGTATAATCATCCAGGATGGCTGAGGCTTTGGTAAAAGCAGACGATCACATCAAGATTGAAGGTTCACGAAAGAGAAAGTACACTCCCTCTACAGCCATAAAGGACATGGAGGCCTACACAAAGCTCACAGGTGTGTAGATTCAAATGTGCACCGTTAGCTCATGCTTCAATAGTTTTTTATCAACAAACAGGTTAAATGAATTATATGTGAAAGTAATTTCTCTTTGTATAAAATGTTGTTGTTGGTGATGGAGGCTGAAAAAACTTTTTTCTGAATGGTGACTTTGGTGGTTGACCAAGTATTTGCTTGAAATTCTCCAACATAAAGATGTGAAATTTAGAGCTGTGTGTAATAGTACCAAAATGGAAATCTTTGGCACTCGCTGTCTCCACAAACAAACTTTATAAATTGACATAAATGGAAACAGATTTTTTTTTTGTTATGTGGACATCATAACATCACAATGACCTGAAGATGAACATACTGCATTTAGCACATCAAGACTTCTCTCTGTCCATCTTTTAGACCATGTGTTCGAACAAATAATCAACTATTCCTCTGATGAACTTTCTGGGGCGAGGACGATTCTGCAGGACATCGTCTCTCGAAAACTGCCCAAGTTTGTGGGTGAGACAAGGCCACAAAACTCCATCAAGGATCAGGAGGTAAGACTTGTTGTGATATGACCTAATTCACTGTCCTTCGAAAATCTAATTTTGCAGTAAATAAAACAAATGCACATTATATTTTCAGATGTGTGTTTTTTTTCTATCATCTTGTGGGATGTGATTTTGGAAATCAATCTCTCTAAACAGTCATTGTTCCTCAAATTATGATCTCGATTTAACAACATGAGCAGGTTAGAATAAAGTAGGAAAAACAAACAAAGAGTATACTGTAGGTCTTGATTTGTCAGCTTGATGTGGAGCTACTCTCAGTCAACATAGAAGTGATCTTCAACCTTTTTCTACCTAGTTTTCACTTTTTTTGCTCATTCTCTAGAAGCTGATATCTGATTGGAAAAATTACCTGGCTCAACAGCTCGATCCATGGACACCAGAGGACTTTAAAGTTTTGGTGAGATTAGATAGTTTCCTCACCTCACTTTGTGTAAAAAGGAAAAAAAAGGAGTCAAGATGTTACAGAAACTATTTGAGTTTTATGATCATCTCTCTCTCTCTCTCTCTCTCTCTCTCTCTCTCTCTCTCTCTCTCTCTCTCTTTCTTTTTAGGTTGTTAAGATGAACTATGGCATGAAAGACAGGGACCCTGTTAAACACATGTATTTCTACAGCAAGTTGGAGCCCAATGTGGCAAAGAAGATCCCCACAGACCAGGTGAGAACCATGTCAATGAAACTCAAACTACCTGAATCTTTCTCTATGTTCGGTGTTACTTCCTGAGATTTATCTATTTATTTATGAGGCAGTCTGTGGTATGCCACAAATATTCAATCAAATTTATTATCGTTCTTGTCAGGGAGAAAGGATTCGCACCACATGCTTTTCTGAGACATTGCTCATGGTCTATTACAACAAGTTGGATGACCTGGATGGATACAAAACCGCCAAAGATAATCTTGACCAGTGGTGGAATGATTTCCTACAGCAAAAGGTAACAATAATTTCTCATTTGTAAAATGTATTGTGGATACTGTTAGGGGCTGTCTGGGTAGCTGATCTGCTGCATTAAAACAGCTGTTTTTTTTTCACTGTGAGCATTATGATGGGGACATGAGGTGGAGTGATGGAAGACGTTAAATTTTGTCTGACCTCTGACAGAAACAATCCAGCAACTAAATGATCACTGATTGGTATTAAGTTGGGTCAATGACTGTTTCTAATGGTTGTTATTCTTAAGCTATATGTTGACTGACTAATAATGTTTGCAGAAGAAACTGTTTTCTTGAGTTAGAGGTGGTGTCTACCATCGTTTAAGACCAAAAGACCAAAACTTTGAAATTTTGAATTCACTTTGATTTTAGCTTTAAAACACCTTGATGTGGAGCATCTTTTCTTTTGTTTATCTCTCACCTCTGCTTTCTTCAGAACTGACACACTTATCTGTCTTGATTCACACACAGGGTGAAGGCACAGCAGCACAGCAGCAGGACTCTGGGGAATCAAACCAGATAAATGTACCTGAAGATGTGGAACATGAAAATCAAAAGTGAAAGAAAGAAGAAAAAACTCTGTTATTCACTGGTTAACGGGTTATGATATTCTTCTACTTCATCAAGTAAGCACAGTGTGGTATAGACACACTTTTTCTCTCTAAAGTAAAATGGCTTTCTAGTAGGAATAAGGATAGATTATTTTATGTTTTCATTTAATTATTATTTTATGTATGTTGTTTGGGTTAAAGTGAACATTTTTAATAAATTAATCCATTGTGAAATTACTGTGGGTCGTGTTTGTGCATTCTTAGATGTTCTGTGTGTGTTTCTTATGGTTGGGTATGCTTGATATCTCTTACATCATATATAATGGATTTTTAAGGATTTAAAAAATTGTGGAGAGTTTTGTTTTTTTATCTTAGTGGACATTTATTAAAATTAATACAGATATAACTATGTAGTGATTTGAATTAATAATACATGTCTGAAGATTGTTCAGATTATTCATTGACATTGTAACCACCTAATGGTTAAAAATACAAAATAAATGATTTAAATGTAAACTGAATATTTCCAAACTATTTCTGTTATTTTGAGTAAGGTTAGGACTCATACTCAATAAAATTAACTCTTCTGAAAAGCTGTTGGTTTAAAGAAACTAAGGAAAAGAGTATTTATTTTGTCAGAGTGATAGCTTGGCTTCTGGAGCACATAGAAAAACAGGACACAGCTCATTTTAACACAAATGTCATGATTAGATCGATTAGTACATTGCTGAATGCATAAGACGTCATTATCAGTCATTTGTATTCTTTCTCCAAAGGAATGCTGTTTTTATCAGTACATGCTCAAGCAGGGTTTTACGACGGTGGTCTAGAGGCCAGCGTCCAGCTCCTCAGACCTTCCCGTGGATTCTGTGTGTTCACACACTTCAAGACAGTAAATCTCAAATGGGAGACCTGGGTTGAGGCCTTAATGATTATTTAGATGGTCAGTGATGGAGTCAGTTTGAAAGGTAATAAAAACTCTGTCTCTGTTCTCGGTGGGTCAATCTCCGGTTGGGTCAGTTGGGTAACCTGAAAGTACAAACAAGTCTTGAAAGATTTATATTATCCTGTGCTGGGACCACATAAGGAACCTTTCCTGCAAGGAATGTGAGCGTTTCACACATAGGGTTGTCTTGATGCTACAACTAAATGAGCATTTATTGTGGTTCTTTTGCTTTGACAAACTCTATCTTTTGAAAGAGCTGAAATACACATTATTTTTTCGCTGTCATTATACTGTACTGGTCCACTGGGTTTCTTTGGTGCAGCTACCAGTTCAAAAGTTGTCAAAAGAGTTGACTAATAGTAGGCTATGATTGTAGACGATACACTATATCTTGATATAGAACATCTATTGAGGGAAATCCATCAAAAGTTATGGTTGGAATCAATGTTTCACATGGGGACAACATAATTTGAGGTGCTCCGCCTCATGTTTGCCATGAAGAAAGTGTGGAACATGTGTTTGTCTTGTTAAATGGTGCACTTTGGAGCTCATGGGGGTAAAGCAAGACAGTTTGACATTCACCAGAATTAACTTTTTCAAGTCCAGTCCTTTAGGCCCACTGTCTTGCATGTTTTGGATGTTTCCCTGCTCCAACACACCTGATTCAAATGATCAGCTCGTTATTAAGCCATTACAGAGCTTGATAACGAGCTGATCATTTGAATCAGGTGTGCTGGAGCAGGGAAACATGCAAAACATGCAGGACAGTGGGCCTCCAGGACTGGACTTGAGAACCACTGAATTAGTCTATCTATGTGCAGCACCTCGATGGCTTTAAAGTACAAATAAGGACAGATTATTTTATGAACAGACACTTTGCAAGTACAGTAGAGCCTGTTATGTTGTCGGGTTGAAGTGTAAGTTTCACCAAACAATACCAACAAAAAATGCAAAGAATATACTTGCAATAACATGGCTTTTGATTAAATGAGCCTAGTTCTCTAGTTCCTCACTCCTCACTTATAGGTTAGTTTAGATGTATCATGCAGGAGCCCCTGATTACTTTTTTCAAGCCCATTTGCTCCTTTTGTTTTCAGTTTCCACTGAGGCTGGGGTGTAAAAAGGGGGGATGTGGTGTTCACACATTTCAACTCGACCAACACTGATGGACTCGTCAAGCTAAAATCTTCACTTCAAATGTGGATAACCTACAAAACATGGACAATTCACGCGCTGTAAGCCCCTACTTCTCGTTCTGGGAGGTCATGTGATTAAAACTGTCTGACCGCAGCTTTCTGTACTTGTAAAATACGGATAAGATTTCGAAATTGTCGCCGTATGTATCCGGGGTTTTTGACTACAGCCACGAGCCTCAGTCGCCCCATTACTGCTATGTTTGACCCACCTTGCTTTCGCGCTCATCCACATACGAGCGAGTTGTGTCAAGCTTAACAATACTGTGAGTAATATACCGGAAATCAGTTGTTTTATCTGGAAAATAAATCCTAAAAACGTACTATCCCATTTCAAAGGATTACTGCGAACTTACCTTTGAATTCATTTGTTTAAAAAATTTAAGATGTGGATGAATTTTGTATCTACTGAATATTAACACATATTTTCCACACATCCACATAATTGTTTCTAGACCTATTCAGCGTTTCTGTGCAGATCACAGCATTAGAATTGAATGTTTATTATTTTTAGGCCACTAAACTTGAATGAAACCTAATAATTGACATAATGGAAAAAAAATCAATCACATGGTTTGGCTCAAACTAAGATAAAAACACACAATATGGACCACAATGGAAGCACAGCAAACAGCTTATTCAAGGTAAGTGGGCATTCACCCATACATTTTCTTTTACTCTGTTTTCTATGATATTTTAGTCCGTAATCATGTTAGCACATGTACAAACCATATACTCTATATAGAATGGACAGCGTCTACCTCCTCGCTGGGTGGAGCCCCTCCAAGAACAGCACACCCTGGTGAAGGGCTGCAGTATGGGTCATCCAGAGGTTACTTTTTTTAGGCCAGGGTCTTCATATATTCCCACTGTGTTGTTGCAAATTAACCTTGTTGTTGTTGTTGTTGTTGTTGTTGTTGTTGTTGTTGTTGTTGTTGTTGTTGTTGTTGTTGTTGTGCTGCCCCAGTTTCATTTGACAAATATAGAGCTTTTATTCTGAAGGAAGAAACCGGATATTGTTTACATTGAGGTTTGACTTGACGTACCCAGAATGGAAACAAAACCCGGGTCCTCTCTCGCCACACTACTCTAGAGTCTTCTGTGCTGATCTGCCATACCAGCCGTCCCAGGCGACTTGTAAATCGTTAAAGACTCTTGTTTCCCGGGTCTCTTCTTGACTAATTTACTCATTGTGCTGCCTGTTTGAGTTATCAACATGGAGAACCGGAAACGACCACTTGAGGCGGCTTCGTCCCCCGATGACAGCTTCCAAACGCCGCAGAAGAGAGTGTCAGGAGTCCGGCAGCAGGACACGGACTACACTCTGTGGGGAGTGGAAGAAACCTGCCGCTACCTACGAAGAGAAGGTCTCCGTGAATGGGAAGATACATTTAAAGGTCGGTTTACTGTCTCGGTCGGTTTTGTATATTTACTTTTGTATTTGCTGATCTTAATACAGCCTCTCAGGTGAGTTTCCACCTGTCTGTGAGCTGAGATATTTGCCTGTTGACATTAAACGTGTTTTTGTGTTATCCAGCACAAAAAATCACAGGTATTGGTCTGAGGTACCTTACTGATGCTGACCTGGAGAAGATTGGCGTTCAGTAAGTGTGGCCTATTTAAACTCATATATTGCCTAAAAAGGACAGAACCACGTTGTCCTACTGAAATGCTCCATTCACTGACTATTTGAGGTTTCACAAAATATTAATATCTTGTTCTCAAGGTGTCTTGGGGACCGGCTGAAGATACTCCATAGTCTCAGGAAGCTGTGGCAGATAGTAGCCGAGCCAAACAAGGTATGTCAGCAATTGAACCTCTCAAGGCTTTAAAGATAGGAAGACATAACAGAGTCCCTACACACAGGCTTGTTGTATGAGTTACAAGGATGACATAAAGAACAGGGTTAAAGTGAGGTTAAGTGGAGGGGACTTTTTCTCATGAGCCATGTGTGAAATAAGGGGTGGGGGTTACTTGTGTTTCAGGTTGACTGAAACTTAAACCAAGCTGGAAGGCCTCAGATTGGCAACAGACTATCAAGGCCTCTTTTGCACAGACATCCTGTTTGATTAAGAATTTAATTTCCAATGTCAAAGCTTTACAATAGAAATCACAATATTGGGGCTTCAGTTGAAAAATGTATTCAAATGTGGTGTTTTCATTGTCAATCAATCAATTAATAAAATTTTATTTATATAGCCCCAATTCACAACAGTCATCATCCCAAGACGCTTTTCAAAGAAAAAGAGCAGGTCTAGACCACGCTCGTTGTTTGATGAATTACCAAGACCCAACCTAAGATGGGATTTGGCCCATTTCATCTAACATGAGTGACAGTGGCAAGGAAAAACTTCCTTTTAACAGGCAGAAACCTTGGGTAGGACCAGACTCATGCTAGACAGCCACCAAGCTGCTGCTGGGTTGGGGAGGAATACAGAGTGATAGAGAGAGAAAGAGAGAGAACAAGATAGAGAGAGGGAGAATAGTTAAGGGAGAGGAAGGGAGAGAGAGACAGGGGATAGTAGCAACATTAAAACAACAGCAACAACAACAGCTCATTGTCGTCATGTCTTCTGCCAGGTGTTTAATGATCCCATCCATGGGCACGTGGAGTTGCACCCTCTTCTAATCAAAATCATCGACACTCCTCAGTTCCAGAGATTACGCAACCTCAAGCAGCTTGGAGGTACCTACTTGGTTTTCCCTGGAGCATCTCACAACCGTTTTGAGCACTCGATTGGGTATGTGTTCAGTGAGATACAGTGGTTGTTAAAAAGGGCGTGTCATGATACATGGTTTTAAAAAAAATAGTTAAGTGTCACATGCAGTGTTTTATTATCAATAAAATGTTTATCTTTCATTAGCTGAGTGCTCTATGCTCAACTCTGGATAAGTAAACCTGTGTAGATAAGGAAAGCTGGAGATGAAATATGTTTTTACCGAAGAAGTGAATTACTGCAAAACAACATATTTTTCAGTTGAGGGATCTCTAGGTCATCTGGTTTGGTTTGAGATGCCATGACTTCCTTCTCCAAGGAAAAGTCTGTGCTGCATTTGCTGTTTGGGTAAAAATGGAAACAGCGGTCAGTGTGTCTGGGCTTGGTTGGGCTATCTCTAAACAAAGCTGCTAGTGTGACTAGTTAGAGAAAGAGTCCTTTAAACTGTGGCATATTTTGGCCGCCTGGAGCTTTATAAAGTGAATCACAATCATGCGGAAGTCCAACAGACTTCAACTCTTTATCAATCTGACTCAAAACCCATCGCATATCTCAACCATCTTGACTCTCTTCTGGGAAATTTAAGTAATGAGTTGTTTCCTTGTGTGCTGTATAGGGTAGGTTATTTGGCCGGCCGACTTGTTCAAGCTCTGAATGACAGGCAGCCAGAGCTCCTCATCTCTCGCAGAGACATCCTTTGTGTGCAGATTGCTGGGCTCTGCCATGATCTGGGTGAGTAACGTGCTCATCAAGTTAGTCATGTTTGGGGCAACTCAGAGCCACAGGGTTTGGGAGAAAAGCTGTGAATCAAAGTGAAACTATTTTAGTTCTAAGTTTTGTTTTCCAGAGAACAATCACACTTAAGTAGCTCAGTGCAAAACTCTCTCACGTCACGTCTAGTAATTTTTTTTTAATGCAACACCTCCCACCCTTTCCACCAATCCCAGGACATGGACCGTTTTCCCATATGTTTGATGGGATGTTCATTCCCAGAGCGCGCCCAGGTATTACCTGGAAGGTAAGAACATGTGTGATCTACATTTCCTCTGTCTGTGCCATGAAAAAAAAGTGAAAATACTACTCAACATAATAATAAAGAGTATGAGAGTCAGTCAGCAAAGCACAAAAATCCAAATTAATGAATTCCTCAAAGCTCCTGTGGAGAATTTTAACCGGTTATATAAACAAGTTGAAATTAGTTATAATGTGCGATTATGCCAAAGCCAAGTAGTTTCAGTGATTTATCGGAAAATGTGAAGACGCAGCTAAACAACTTATGATTCACCACTTCAACATGCTGACACAGCTGCAGAGTTACCATTGTTTATTCCCCTTTCTGTTTCTAATTTGGTATAAAACTCCAGTCCTCTTCTGCACTGACTAGATGGATGTAGTATTACCTCCTCATCCTCATTCTTGCTCTTCTTTTAATTGACGAAGTAGAGTTGTAAAAGCCCCGTCTGCTCTTTCTTATCTACATAATCTGTTTACAGGCACTGCAAATCATCAGTGTCAGTGAACTGATAACAACAGGGAGAACATGCTTTTTATGTCAGTTATGACCTTAGACTTGACATCTGGTAACCATTTGTGATAAGACAAGTAATCAGCTGTGTGTCATGCCACGTTTGAGCGATAAACTCTTTCTTCTCGAGTCTTAAGCTTTCATTTTCAGACCCGAATATTCCCATTCCCATATTTGCCAAACGTGGTTGTTTCTATTGCAGCATGAGACCGCCTCTCTGGATATGTTTGACTACCTGGTGAGAGACAACAAGCTGGAGCCAGTGATGGAGCAGCATGGCCTTGTGCTGCCTGAAGACTTGGACTTTATAAAGGAACAGATTGCGGGACCACAGAACCTTGATGCAGCTAAAGGCCAGAAGGTATTTGATTGCTCTGTTAGAGTGAAACAAGGTTGTTAGTGACCTGCTATGGTGGCCTACATGGAACCACCTTGGAAGTAATCAAAACATGGTTTGGTTTGGTAGTAAAAGATATTTTAGAGGCAGTATAAAATAGGGCCCAACCGATTTATCAGCGAGCCAATTAAATCTGCCAATTTTAGCCCATTTGAGACTAATCGGTAATTGGCCAAAACTCGCCGATTTTTGCTGATATTTTCAGAAATAAAATTCGGAGAATAAGATTAGGTTTCATTCCGAAAATGTTCTGCCATTTGAAAAGTTCCCCGACTTATCCTGTAGATGGCGCAGCGACCTCATGACAATCCTTATCTACTAACTGCCTGTTTCCCAATGTGCTGGTCTCAGTCACGTCAAGAAAACGGTGAAGCACCATGTAATATGCAAGCTAAAGTTAGAGTTAACCATCTGCTATTAGCCTTGCTACCTTGTTAGCCGTGCCAGTAACAATAGAATAGACAACAGTACACGTTACGTGATCGAGTTACTTCTCTTAATGAGGCAGCTGCATGTCTCCAGTCCATGTCGGTTAGGCCCAAGTAAACAAGGCTCTAAAAGGTGGTAAATTCAACTCTAGGATTCCTGTATAAAACCTGTCAGCTAATTCTGATTGTCTTGTCAGTGGCCGTATAAAGGTCGTCCAAAGGACAAGTCCTTCCTCTATGAAATCGTGGCCAACAAAAGAAACGGCATAGATGTGGACAAGTGGGACTACTTTGCCAGGTAGGTGTTTGTTAAACATCTGTTTAGCTGTAGTTTTTTTCTGTTTTTGTACATTTCTTAAATCTGTCTCTCATCAGGGACTGCTACCACCTGGGAATTAAGAACAATTTCGACCACCGCCGCTTCATGAAGTTTGCCAGAGTTTGTGATGTGGATGGTCAAAAGCAAATTTGCACAAGAGACAAGGTACTGATGTTACTAAAGATTATTTTCGATTAACTTTTTGAGTGGTTTTTTATACTAACATACAAATATTTCTTCAAACAGGAAGTGGGCAATCTGTATGACATGTTTCACACCAGGAACTGTCTCCACAGAAGAGCCTATCAGCACAAAGTGGGCAACATCATAGAGACTATGTGAGTCAGCTATTTATCCGGAATAGTTTGTTGTCATGTTTGCTGCACAGTTTGAAAAACTTCTTTATCATTTTTTTCTCTTTATTAATTTAGGGTCACTGAGGCCTTTTTAAAAGCAGACAAGCACATCCAGGTGGAAGGCTCCGGAGGGAAGAAGTTCACTCTTTCCACAGCCATTGATGACATGGAGGCTTACATGAAGCTCACAGGTGTGTGTTTCATGTTTGAAGTCCAGATATGGGACTGGGCTGTCTGGGAGCTTTTGGCCGAAGTACGGTGAGCCAAAAGGGAAATTAAACACATGTAGATTTGTCTCCAAATCATATTGAGGTTAAGGTGTGGATGCAGACAGGCCTGTTTTAATAACAGGTTTGTGTAGCCAGTGTCATTCAGATACAGTCTGATACAAGAGCTCAGCAAGGATTTTTCCTTAATTAAAGGTTATATTGTCAGGTTATTTAGCTATCTGAATTAAAGGATCAAAGTCTGTATTTGTGTTGGGTCATTTTTTAATGATCGATGCCCTGCCCACACCAAATGAGAGCAGAGGTGAAAGGAGGCCATTCAAGTTTGATGAAAAAATAAATAGAAATTTTAAAATAGTTGGATTTTATGTAAAACATAACCTTTTATTATCTATAACATGGAGCTAGCTGTTGAATAAATACAGAAAGTAGTGATTTAAAGCACAAACTTATTCTGAACATGCTTTGAACCCACTTCAGTTAGTGACAATAGATGAAACTCATCTTAAAATAAGATGTTTTGCTTTTTTGTTTTACACTTTTAACCCAACACTAAAGTGGGCTTGGTATTTTTTACTATTCTACCTATAATGGAAGTAATCTAAAAAGAAAATTCCATCTGAAAAGAGTTTTAAAGATAGAGCCTTTATAGTTACTACTACACTGAAAGGAATCAATTCAGTTAATGATTTAGTGACTAAGGCATCTCATGTTTGTTTGTCAAACTTTCTGTTTGATTTGTAGATCATGTGTTTGAGCAAATACTCTACTCTCCCTCTCCGGAGCTGGACGAAGCGAGGCAGATTCTGCGTAACATCGTGTATCGACGCCTCTACAAGTGTCTGGGGCAAACCCAGGCTGAGACACCCATGAAAGTCAACCAGGTGTGTGTTTGCATTCTCCTTGTTGTGTGATAAAACACAGCTGCTTGTCTTTTTATTGTCTATTCTCAGCACACTGCAAGTGTGTGCAAGGATAAAATTTGAGCTGAGATATTGATGCTGCAACATTGAGGTTAAACCAATGAGTCAAATGATCCTGTAATGCAATGTCAAATATTTCATGTCTGTTTACCCCTTTACTTGCTGCTCTTCTTCCTCCAAAAGGAGACAATTCAGAACTGGAAAGCTGATTTAGCAAAGCCCGTTCTCCAAAACAGCCCCCAGGATGTCCATCTCGATCCCGAGGACTTTATAGTTAAGGTGAGTTTTTTATTCTTCTTATTTTTAATATCATATGTTCTGAGCCTTGACCTCTGTGTTCTTCTGTACTTAAAGATGTTCCTCTTCTCTTAAGGTCATAAACATGGACTATGGGATGAAAGAGAAGAACCCCATCAATAATGTCCGATTCTATTGCAAGGATGATCCTACCAAAGCTATCCAGATTCGCAAAAACCAGGTCAGATCTGCAGCGAGAACAACAGTATACACTTCGTTATCGCTGTGCATGAGAAGACTTTTCCTTTTAGGCCTTCTCTGCTTGTTACATTGAAGTTGTTTGCCAAAGCCCCAATTGTATCTGTATCCCTCATGGTAAACTACGCTGCCCTCTTTTTCTCAGGTGTCGAAACTGCTCCCTGAGCAGTTTGCCGAGCAGCTCATCAGGGTCTACTGCAAGAAGACCGATGAAAAGAGTCTGGAGGCGGCCAAGAAGCAGTTTGTCCAGTGGTGCATGGAAGAGAACTTCTCAAAGCCTCAGGTAATATTTATCTGCTGGAATATCAGAAATGATTTAGGCTCTTAAGTCTCATTTCAGATTTTACTGGGTAGGTTTTCCCTCATTACTAAGTATTACTACCATATACTAAGACCAAAAAAACTACCATCATTTTAGGGTTGGGTTATGAGTCAGGAAAAGCGATGTACTGCCACGAGTTGCTCTGATGATGTTTTTGTATGCTGTGTAAACTCTACACTCCCCTTGTAAACACCAATGCCTGTTGCTTTTATGTACACACAGAATGGTGACATAATCGCCCCTGAACTGACTCCTCTGAAAGAGAGCTGGTCAAACGACAATGAAAAAGACGATGGAGAGGGACGCAGCATCTGGGAGGTACACAACGCCAGCACAAGTGGAAAAAAAGGACGCAAAAATCTAAACTTCTAATAGGCGAAGGAGAGCTCACAACCCTCTGTACACATTTTGTAGACGAAAGATTGTAATGAAAGTGTCGACTCATGGTTACATTTTTCTACAGGGCGAGTGTGTTGAAGTACACATCAAGTATTAATGCCATAAATTCTAATCAAGACTGTGTTGGTGCTCTAGAAAACGCAATCAGGAAAAAAAGATTTCTAAATGTATATTCAGGGCTTTTACTCAGGGTCTTTTACACATACGTCAGTTTTAGTGTCACAACTCGGCCATGACGAACGACGGTAGGAGCCAGCCGAGCCAAAAGTAAATAAGTAGTAAATAAAGTGATAAACAGTTATTAAGTATGAGGTGTGTAGAGTCTGTAAGATCAGTGGTTTGCTTGTGCGTTTGTAAGAAGTGCACTAGCATAAGAGCTAAATGAGCAATACAGGGACACTGGCATGGCGTGGAGAGCAATAGAGAGAGAGAACCGGGGTCACCACAAGCTCCTCATATATCAGTTCATCTTTTTGATCTTGTTTTCATTTTCTATCTTTCTGTTTTAAGCTGAATGTAAGTTATTTTATGTCATGTGCAATTCACAAACATTCAATGTTATATTTGCACTACAAACTGTAAATCATGATCTATGTGTACTCTCAATATCAGCACGGTCTATATCAGGGAAGGGTATTTTTACAGCTATTGTGTTTCGAAACGTTTTATTTAATTTTTTAAGGGACAGTGAAAAAAAGTTCGATTTCAAAACTCATTTTCCATCAGCAGTTTCTGAGATTGAACATGAGCGTTTGTTTTTACATTTGGAGTTAACTAAAGTTTGATTTGATCTTACATTTACCTCGACGTATTTCCCAAAGCTCTTTATTTTTTATTCTTACAGGGTGTTACTTAGCTTCATTGTGTTTTTGCTCAGTTGAATGGTTGAATCTACATTATATTTTGGATACCAAATATTTTCTGTCAACCAAATTTTACTATCAGTGTCAGCAGATTTGCCTTGTTGTGGTTGTTTTGTTTTGCTTTGTGTAAAAAAAAGAAAAATATGTATATTTTTACGAGAGTGTTAAGGGATTTCTACCTAAGTGTTTGTGGGGATCCTGTAAATAGTTAAACTATTTAAAGGACTTGAAAATAAAAACGTTATCCCTTTACTTGTGTTGTCTTGGGGTTATGTTTTTTTTTTAAGTAGCAGAAAGTAATTTGGGTCTTTCCAACAGAGAAAAAACCTAATGCTTCCCCTTTGTTTCCTTGACGTCGTCATCAAAAAAATGACTTAATCATCCTTGAAAACAAATAGAGTATGAATAAAAAATTTCCCATCGAAGGTGGTCCAGCCTCCTAACGCTGAGCGCTTGTCCCTGATTGGCCAGGGCTTCTGCCTCACACCAATCAGCGATGCGCGTTGGCGGTTTCCTGGGGACCCACGAATCGCTCAACTGCACTCACACATTCGTGCCTTAAACTCATAACAGACTAAGGACCTGGATTAATCTCTAGATGTCTTAGCGGCTTACCGACAGAAACAATCTTTGGTAGGTGTTTTTTTTTTAGTAGCAGAAAGTAATTCAAGTATTTCAATAGAAAAAAAACACCCAATGCTTCCCCTCTGACAGGCCCCTCCCCTTTTACACTGGTACAGCTAAGTTACCAGTATCAATGTCGAGAGTCGGTCCATTGTGTTATAATATTTTACTCAGTAAATGGCACAGGAAGCCAGTAATCACCACTACACCTGATAGAGAGATAACAGATAGATAGAGGAACAGGTTTTTTAAATAAGGTTGTTGAGACATTGAATCCTGTGACAGAACAGATGTTTGTTGGATTGAGAGTCTAATAGACATTCAATGAGGTAAGGGAGTAATTTAATGAATGAAAGTGCATTTTACTGTTAAAAACAGACACCCTAAATACAGCCAAACAAAAGTGCTTTTGTACAACACGGTAAAAACTATACAAACCTGATACAAGCTTGAATAAAATGTACAAAATAGTATTGCTTTTGTTACTCTGTTTTGTTATACATTTTTCCTGGATTTTGTCATAAAAAAATAATGACTTAATCATACTTTAAAACAAATAACAAGCGGACCTGGCTGGCCATAATTATGATAAAGTCCCTAAGTCCGATACAAGTTTAAAAACTGAATGTGTAAATTCTATCAAATAGCATCTCTTTTGTTGTTCACTTATGAACATACTATACTGCATCTTTTCAATCCACAGGAAAAGAATAAGAATAACTTTATCCCCGAAAGGAAATTCCATTGTCTGTTGTCTCACAAAATATGTCTCTAAAAGTTATCTACTATTTACACAAGAGTTATAAAGCTAATGGCTGTTGGTACAAAAGATCTTCTGAATCTTTCTGTCCTGCAGCGAAGAGAGAGGAGCCGTCCACCACCATTGGCCCTTTGGTCCATCAAGGTGTTGTGAAGTGGTCAACAAAGCAGAGGAAGCAGAGGTCAACGATGATATTGACCCTTTTAACAGGGTAAGGTGCTGGTAAATTTCTCTTCAAGAAAAATATTGTTCTTTATTCAGCAGGAAAACAAGTCCACGTTCCATGGACATAGTGATCTGACAGCCCCGGTGATGAAACACACTCCAGGTTTACTCCATGTTTTCCATCCTGTTGGGAGAAACACATCATCACATGCACTTCGACTGGGTGTTGTTTGAGTCTCTATACTTCTATATTTCTTAATTTTCAGCTGGGAAAAGCAACAATTTATACACTCAATGCAAGTAAGAGTTTCTGCGTGGCCCTAAAACACTAATTTTTTTTTGTGAAATCTCCTGAAACAAGGTCTAAAACTGTCAAAAACATGCTACTGACCTGAGAGTACGCAGTTGACATTGTGGACTCTTCAAGATCTCAGACAACAGCTTAACACCTGATTCCTGCAGGTTGTTTTTACTCAAATCCAGCTCCTGCAGATTGGGCGGGTTGGATTTTATAGCTGCTGCCAGAAAAGCACAACCTGCATCCGTGACTCGACAGTGTATCAATCTGCAGAGATTAGAGGGTTTTTCTCACTTTTAGTAGGACCACTATGTCAAGGAAGAAGTTTACAAGTTATGTCCTTAGATGGTTTATGTTATTTCAAAGATTGCTTGGTTTCCTGGGGTTAAGATACCAAAAATTTATGGGTGAAACATTGCAGGGTATTAGCACTATTAGGGAGTCTTCTTGTATGTTTAGGAGGAATAGTTGATTTCTTACCTCAGGGTTTCTAGTTTACAATGTGGACTCTTAAGTCCATCAGACAGCAGCTTTACCCCTGAATCCTGCAGATCATTGTCACTTAAGTCAAGCTCTTTGAGACTTGAGGAGTCGGACGTCAAAGCTGAAGCCAGTGAAGCGCAGCAAATGTCTGATAGCCAGCAGCCCCTCAACCTGAATAAAACAAAGTACAACTAAAATGAAAAGAAACAGGAGCTGTTGTGTTTAACGAATGTAACATGAGTCTTCACTACACTGTACATTGTATTCATTTATTTTTAATATTAAAGTCAATTAAACACATGATGACTGACCTCAGAGCCTCAAGTCTACAATGAGGACTCTGCAGACCAACACACAGCAGCTTCACTCCTGAATCCTGCAGATCGTTATTACTCAGCTCCAACTCTCTCAAGCTTGAAGGGTCCGACATGAGAGCAGAGGATAAAGAGGTACAGCAGTCCTCTGTAAGCCCACATCTATCAATCCTGTAAATGAAGACGTGATATCAAGTAAGAAATGCTGAAATGAGTGTCTAAGAATGTGTCATGTTCCCCTTTAGAAGAGTAGTTTCCATTCACCTAAAATCAAAGGCAGTAAAGGCAAAAAATAAACAAAGCTCATGAGTAATCAAACATTTGTGCTTATATATATCCCTGAATCATTCTCAACACTTCACAAAAGGAGAAGGTCTATCTCTATGTGGCCTCATCCTCCAATATAATGCAATGTAATGTCTCCAATAGTCAAAGATGGGCACACTCAATGCAAATCTGATTCCAAAACTCTTATGCAACATGAACACTAAAACCTTTTAAAAGTTTCCTTCAGTTTCACAAACTCCTAACGACACAGTCAGTCAAAGGCAAACTGAGGCCATCTTGTGGTCTTTAGTTTTAACATCCTTCTCTGATTCTCTTCTGTCAGAGGCTGGCAGTACATGTTGTTGATGTTTCAGCAGTTACAGTAATGCAAAAATAACAATGATAAAGAAAAGCAGCTTTTAGAAATTATTTCCAAATTCCCAAACCCCAACCCTGACATTGAAGGGATTACCAGGTATGTCCCAAACTGAGCTAAAGGTCGAAAACGTCCATTTTCTTGTAAGACTACATTTATTGACAGTAGAATAAAAGTTGTAACTAAACTGATTTACAAAAAAACAGCAGAGCCCATTTGAGAGTATCTGAAAAAACAGCATTTGCATAAAAGACACACTGTTTACACTCACCTCAAAAACTTCAGTTTACACTCAGACGTCCTCAGTGCTTCAGACAGCAGAGTGACTCCTTGATCTTTGATTTTATTTTTACTTAGGTCTACCTCTTTTAGATGTGAGGGGTTGGACGTCATAGCTGAGGCCAGATGTGCACAGCTGATTTCTGACAGCCGGCAGCAGCTTAATCTGGAAAAGATGTAAGAAAAAAAAAAGGACTCATCATTGTAACCTGTACAAATATGACGGCTGGGAATCCTGATCAGAGACAAAAATTGCTTTTCCAGTATCTTATATTCACTTCCATGTTAAACTTCTGCCATGCTCATAAAACTCTCAAAATTCACTTTCAAAAGGGGTGTCTTACTTGAGAGTTTCCAGTCGGCAGTGTGGACTCTCCAGTCCAGCAGACAGAAGCTTAACCCCTGAATCCTTGAGGTAGTTGTTGTTACTTAAGTCCAGCTCTCTCAGGCAAGATGAGGTGGACTTAAGTGCTGACGCCAGAGAATGACAGCAAACTTCGGACAAACTGCAGCTCTTCAAGCTGAAATTTCAGTCAAGGACACATCTTAAAGTATTATATTGAAAACTAAAACAGCTTACAGTGTCGCAGCTTTTTCTGTCCATTAACAACTGAGACTAACAGTTATGGATACATTGAAGAGTCTAATGTCAGTGTTTGTTTAGTGCAACAGGAGTAACATTTGTCAACAGAGCTTCAGTCACGCCCTCTTTAAATAGCATTAAACAGAGTCAGCCCAAGGCAAAAGTGAACTAACTTAGGACCTTGTGGCCACTAGGGGGCCCCCAATGATCAACAATCAATATTATTGGCAGAAATAGAAAGGCCCCAAAATCAAGTTTTGCTTAGGACGCCATGGAGACTTGGGCCTGCTTTGACATTAAATAACCAATTACAATTTGGCTGCCAAGAAAAAGAAACCCTGAAACATGGAGCATCATGTGGAGAACTCTCTATAACGGCAGAAGTCTCTTTTATATGCCTGGCTTATAATCTGTACTGCAGCCAGTCAGTGGATAGAGCTACAGATCACAATTATATCAGCTTTACGTGTAATAGTAAAAATGAAAATAATACAGTAACAAGCAGAAAGAAACAGCTGTGTGAAAGTTATCTGACCTTAAAATCTCCAGTCTACAGTTTGGACTCTTTAGTCCAACAGACAGCAGTTTCACTCCTGAATCCAGCAGGTAGTCGTTCTCACTCAGGTCCAGCTCTCGCAGATGAGAGGGGTTTGATGTAAGGGCAGATGACAGGACTTCGCAATGCCACTCAGAGAATCCACAGCAAGCCAGTCTGAAAATAGTGTTTGGAGTTAGGTTATTGTATTCACTGGCTCTTCCAGGCTTTCAATCTTATCTCATGTAATACTGTATATGAAGGGGCAAACACCTTTTTTATATGTACACTCCAAAAACTCTTGGGTTATTTCTTCAACACAATTCCTGGGTTATAAGTGTTGAGTTAAATTTCAGGGTTATTTTTCAGATCCATACCCATTTCTTGGGTCATATGGATTCTATTGTAACCCAATTTGAGTATTTATTTTGAATGGGTTAATAATTATGGGTTATTTTTCTAAGAGTAACCCAATAATTGGGTCAGAACGTTGGGTTTGATTGATTCTACATGGTTTCTAGGCCTAATGGCAATTAAAGTGACCTGGTGACCTTGATTATTGAGGTGGCCACCCCAATATATATGGGGCGGCTGGGGTAGCTCAGCAGGTGGAGCATCCAGATCCCAACCAGGGGGTTAGGGTTCAACTCCCGCTTGGGGTACATCTGTAAGGAGCGAAGTATATCTACCAGTGTTGGTCCTTCGGCAATGCTATGGCCTACCTCCTAAACATGAGTGCATTACCATTGAAAGCCAAATTGGCTCAGATGTCGCCCAGGTTAACAAGGTGTGCGTCACATGCTGAGGAACCAGGGCACTGTGATGAGAAATGGGCTACTGGAAGAACAAAGAGTAGGCAATGGACACGAGATGAGAACAAGGCTCTGTTGGGATGCTACTACTCCAGTAACCCTAACCAGCTGGGTTACATGAACAGAGAGCAAACATATAAGGTTCTTAAAGACTGCAATGAGGAACACTAAATTGTAAAAAAAAAAAAAAAAAGAGTAGAAAAAAAAGAAAATCAGTGAAGGGGTGGGGTAGGTTTAATACAGTTTTACTTTTAAGAACTGGTATAAAATTACATAGGAAGTAGGGTGCAGGATGTAACAGCAAAGCTCCCAAAAAAAGCTCCCCAAATGCATATATCAATTTAACCCAAGATCGTGAGTCAAATTAACTCGAAGATTGGGTTAACTTGACCCTTAAAAAGAGTTAATGAGTCAACCCAAAATTTGGGTTAATTTGAATAACCCAACATTCTGGGTCAAAATAACCCAATAAGTAGTCGGCCCCTTTTCAACCCCGATGTTGGGTTATTAGAGTGTATAAGAAGCTTCATATGTTGCCTTTTACAGAAATAACAGAAATGAAGTTGTTGGTGTGTGCAACCTGACTTACTTGGCACGTCTGCAGTTTCTCACAGCTGGGAGCAATCTCCGTCTACCATCAACTGTAGAGTTGTATTTCTTCAGGTCCAACACATCAAGAACCTCCTCTGACATCTGCAGCATGTAGGCAAGAGCAGAGCAATGCGTCTTGGTAAGTTTTTTCTCTGATCTGTTCCCAGACTGCAGGTACTCTTGAATCTCCTGATGCACTGAGTGATCATTCATCTCCATCAAACAGTGGAAGATGTTAATGCTTCTATCTGGAGAGATGTCATAAGCATTCATCTTCTTCAGGTTGTTTATTGCTCTCTGGATGCTCTCTGGCCTGCTCGCTGTCCAACCAACAAGACCTCCAAGAAGACGGTGATTGGACTCCAACAGCAGGCCATGAAGAAAGCGAACAAAGAGGTCCAGATGTCCGTTTTCACTGCTTAGAGCTTTATCAACCACTCTGCTGAGAAATGTATCCAGACTCGGATTATTGTCATTTTTGTTCCAGTCTTCTCCCAGAAAAGTTGCCAGCACTTCCATGTCTTTGTTGAGATAACAGTTAATCGTGTAGACAGCAGCAAGAAACTCCTGAATACTCAAGTGAACAAAGCAGTAAATCATTTTCTGAAAGAGTACGCATTCTCTTTTGAAGATCTCTGTGCATAATCCTGAGAAAACTAAAGCTTCTCTGACATCAAGACCACATCGCTCCAAGTCTTCCTGGTAGAACATGATGTTCCCCTTTTCCAGATTTTCGAACGCAAGTCTCCCCAACTTCAGGAGGACTTTCTTATCAGTCTGCACCCACTCTTCAGACTGCATCTGCTCCTGTTGGATGATTTTCCACTCCTTGTCATACTTCTGTGTTTTCCTCTTTATCTGAACCAGCAGAAAGTGAGAATACATCTCAGTTAGAGTCTTGGGGAGCTCTTCTTGGTCTGTAGTCAACATGTGCTGCAGGACTGTGGCAGTGATCCAACAGAAAACCGGGATGTGACACATAATATAGAGACTCCTGGATGCCCTGATGTGCGAGACCATTCTGCTGGCCACTGATTCATCATTGAATCTTTTCCTGAAGTACTCCTCTTTCTGAGTGTCAGTAAATCCTCGTACCTCTGTCATCCTATCAACATATGACGGAGGGATCTGATTGGCTGCAGCAGGTCTGGAAGTTATCCATATCAGTGCTGAGGGAAGCAGGTTCCCTTTGATCAGGTTTGTCAGCAGCACGCTGACAGATGATTTCTGAGCAGCATCAGACACAACCTCATTGTTCTGAAAATCCAACAAAAGCCTGCTTTCGTCCAAGCCGTCAAAGATGAACAAAACCTTACAAAAATTAAGCCTTTGTGCTGTGACCGTGTGAAGAGACGGGTGAAAATCATGAAGCAGCTTCAGGAGGCTGTACTGTTTCTCCCTGATCAGGTTTAGCTCTCTGAAAGAAAGCAGAATCACAAGGCTGACATCTTGATTCTCCAGGCCTTCTGCCCAGTCAAGAGTGAACTTCTGCACTGAGAAAGTTTTCCCGATGCCGGCTATTCCATTCGTCAGAACCACTCTGATTGATCCCTCTTGACCAGGAAAGACCTTGAAGATGTCACAGCATTTGATCGGAGTTTCACGCAGGGTCTCGTTTTTGGATATTGTCTCAAGCTGCCAAACCTCATGCTGAACGTTGACCCCTTCACATTGTCCTTCAGTGATGTAAAGCTCAGTGTAGATCCTGTTCAGACGGGTGCGAGTTCCTGCTTCAGCCGTGCCTTCTATTGCAAATTCACATCTTTTTCTGAGACCGATCTTATGAGCATCCAAAAGCTCCTGCAGACTGATAGTGCCTGAAAGATATGCACAAAAAGTACTTAATATCTATCTATCAATCCCAATTATATCCATCAAGAAAACCCGCTATTATAGCCACTGATTGAAAGTAGCATTGCTCATTCACATGCAAAGTCAAGTAATGAGAAAAAATTCCCTTTTCTATGCTGTGTCAAGACAAAAGATGTCAGCACAGACACAAAAAGTTTAAATGTATTTACCTTCTTCAATCAATTTTTGATTGGGTGTTTGCAGTCTAGGATTTTCCCTGCATCTTTTCCCACATTGAGGACAGGGGGGATCTCCCGTTGAGTCGTGTTCCTCCCAGTATGAAGCAATACACTGACTGCAGACGCTGTGTCCACAGCTGATTGGTTGTGAATGCCTCAGGATCTCCTTACACAAAGCACAGCACAGCAGCTCATCCTCCACGGTAGCATGTCTGGTCCTTTTCCTCTCTCTGTCATCAGGCAAAAACATTTGTTCTTGTTTTTATTCGTCTACTGTCATAACCTTAAGGGTCTATTCTTGAAATGTAAATGATTTACAGTAAATGTGATGTTTATAAAAAGCACCACATCATAATGTGTTCTGTTAATTTAGTTTTCTCGCAGTGTTGTTTATTTGAGTGTATTTTCTGTGTATTTTCCCAAGTGTTTCAGTTCCCTATTGTTACTGTTCCCCTGTAGTCTTGTGAGTTCTTAGTTTGTGTTTGACCCTGTTTCCCTCATGTTCTCTTTGTTTTATTCTTTAGATTAGTTTTCAGTGTTTCCTGTTTTATTTTGTAGTAGTTGATTTCCTTGTGTTTCTTGTCTGGTTTGACTTCCCTAGTTTTCCCTCCTTCATTAATTAATCAACCACGAGTTGCACCTGTGTCTCGTTTGCCTCACCTGTTGCTCGTTTCCCAGTGTGTATATAGTCTCTGTCTTCCCTTCTGTCCTGGTTGGCTCATTGTATGTTTGTTGAAGTGTGCTTATGCCTGTGTCCCCAGTTGCTCCCTGTGATTTTGCCTTTTTGGATTTTTCTCTTTGGTTGCTTTTTTTCCATTTAGCCCTTTAAATTAAATCATTTTTTAGCCCTCAAAAGGGGCTAAAAAAAATAAGTAAAACTCTTACTTTGAGTTGAGTAGTGCAGGGTCTTTACTGAAGATGAAAGGAGGTTCTTTCGACTGGTCACTCTTCAGGGACAGACAGGAAGAAACTGAAGAGCCCGCTCTGATCTCATGTTTCTCGCTGTATTTTGGCTTTAGTCTAAAAGTAAAAATAGTAACACCAACTGAGAACAACATCCATGTTGATATAAAAGGACCACGTCCCACAAATTCCTCAACTGTTGTCGATAAAAAAAGACATAAAAATTAAGGCTGTGACCTTGAGTGCTGTCTCTAATAATGCTGAATTTGTGATATGTCTGACATAATAATTCAGTCCTCTTACTACTAACAATCCCCATCTAAGGGAGAGATTACAAATAAGCTGCCATGCCCTGTTTAAAGGGAAACTACACCAAAAAGTTGACTCTCTGAAATCTGTACACCATAGTTTTCATAGCCAAATAATGTGAATACAAGTATTTATTTTCTGCTGTAAAAAACATTTGTCATTGCTCCATGTTTATCTAAAAGTGGCTTTAAAACAAGCAAAGTTCTTACTTTGAGTCGAGTAGTATAGGGTCTTTACTGAACGTGAAAGGAGGTTCTTTCGACTGGTCACTCTTCAGGGACAGACAGGAAAAAACTGGAGAGCCTGCTCTGTCCTCTTCGTCTTCTTCACCAAGCCCCATCTTTTGACTAAATACGAAATAAAAACAGTTTATTATTTAATAAAGTTTATGACTTTCTCAAGATTCAAAAGTTTACATACATTTCATTAATATTTGGTAGCTGCCTTTAAGTTGTATGAGCTTTAACCTCCTGGTTGATGTCTTGAGATGTTGCTTCAGTATTTCCACATAATGTTCTTTCCTTCCTGCAGCAAAACAACCCCACAACATGATGCTGTCAACCCCATATTTCACAGTTGGGTTGGTGTTTTCAGGCTTGCAAGCTTTACCATTTTTCCTCTGAATGTAACAATGGTCATTATGGCCAAAAAGTTCCATTTCAGTTTCATCAGACCACAGGACATGTCTTCAAAAATTAAGGTCTTTGTCCCTGTGTGCATTTGCAAACTTTAATCTGACTTTTTATGTTTATTTTGGAGTCATGGCTTCTTCCTGGAAGAGCAGCTTTTCAGCCCATGTCGGTACAGGACTCGTTTCACTGTTGATAACGACACACTCTTACCAGCTTCAGCTAGCATCTTCACAAGGGCTTTTGCTGTTGTTCTTGGGTTGATATTCACATTTCGGACCAAACTATGTTCATCTCTGGGACACAGAACCCGTCTCCTCCCTAGGCGGTATGATGTCTGGACATTCCCATGGTGTTTACACTTGCATACAATTGTTTGAACGGATGAACGTGGCACCTTTGGGCATGTGGAAATTGCACCCAAGGATGAACCAGACTTGTGTAAGTCCACAATTCTTTTCCTGAGCTCTTGGCTGATTTCTTTTGATTTTTCCCATGATGTTACACAAAGAAGCAGTGTGTTTCAAGTGTGCCTTAAAATACATCCACAGGTGTGCCTCTAATTAACTAAATTGTTGTCAATAAACCTATCAGGTTTCCAAGGACATGATATCAGCATCTGGCCTTTCCCAAATTGTCTAAAGGCATAGTCATCTTAGTGTATGTAAACTTTTCGAGAAAGTAATAACAAATTTTCTAAAAAAATCTCTCTCTCATTATTCTGGCATTTAGCAAATAAAAATAATTTTGGTAATCCTAATTGACCAAAAACAGGAAAATTTTAATCTGATTTAATGTTAGACAGTGAGGAAAAAAAGGTTATGTGCTTTTTTATACAGTGTATGTAAACTTCTGGTTTCAACTGTATGTTACATCCCAGATTGCATGTGTATCTACTTGTCCAGGTTCTGCAGGTACAATCATCTCCTCTCATCAAATGGCATTCATGTATATTGTAACCTAAACTAAACTCAGTGAATGGTTTAAAGCCGCTTGGATGAAGGAGTATAAATTTGCACCAAAAGCAGGAAATTTAGCTGTCGAGTGATTTTTTTTTCTGGCTGAAAAAAAAAGAGATCTTACTTTGAGCCAGATGGTCCAGGTTCATCCTTTAAGGACAAACAGGTGGATAGTGGAGACTCAGCTCTGGCGTCCTTGTCCCTCCCATAGGCACTCATTTGGTCTAACAAGACAATATCAACAACAATAAGAGAAGCAGTGGCAACAACAACATCTTCATTGTCATCAATGTTATCTATAGAACAGTAAGTGTGGACAATGAAGACAAAGTATTTTTTACAGTGTTTTGTGATTTGTGATATTTGGCATGTTTTTTTTTTTTTTTTACTTTGAGTATTGTTGTTTTGCTTTCTTTTTGTTGTGTTGTAAACTTCAGGGTCACCACACACCAGCATTCAAACATTACTTCCTCTCCTTTAAATACTGCCAAGGTAAACGCAGAAAGACACCTGAGACAGTGTTTTTGAAAGATCGAAACCGATAGGAAGAGTACGCCATAAAGATAACCTGAGGCGATCTATCTCAACGGCTACTTTTCATATAACTTTTCATTCGTGATATAGGTTTACACTAGGCTTTTGTCGGTGTCAATATCACCTCCTATCATGTTTATAACGGTATAGCCAGTTTAGAGCATGTGGTTTAAATTCCTGTAACACTTTCAACAACCAACGCCCATTCATACAGGCCTACCTGTCATAAGGCACCGTCATTAAATTAAAGCGTGGCTTTTACTCCTCTACGGGCAGCGCATAGTATGAGTGGCCAACTTGGACGTCCGTGCTCCCCGTTATGTTCAGTCCTTTCTCAGAGGAAGAAACCCGCAAAATAGAACGAACGCCGTCATGTAATGCTGTATTTCCGTGGTCGGTCTTGACCTTCCCTTCTTCAAGTGTTTACAGTCAGTGGAGCAAGTCAGGGCAGAGGCCCCCTTCCTTCCCCTCGCTTTCAAAATAAATGACTTACAGTAAAGTCACGAGACTATATGAGCTAACGGTTAAAAACTATTAAACTGAAATGGACTTCAAAATAAAGTTTAAAAAAAGGTTAATACATCATATTTATGGCTTTACAGGGGGGTTTCTAGAATTGCATAACTACAGGAGTAAACAGAAAGTGAAATTTTTGTTATTTTACAAATGGGGCTTGTATAGGAACTGTATATCAGTAAGTTTACATGGGGACTTGCACCCTAGAGGGTAATAGACAATTGAGTACTCCAATTTCTGTGAAGTTATAAGGCACATGTACGGAGGCCAAGAACCGCCACTGCTGCAAATATAAAAAGAATGCAAAAAAAGAGGTCGAAATGGAAATTACAGATGCAAAAAAAAAAAGAAATGGAAGCCCACTGCAAATAAAAAAGAAACGGTGACCATGAATTAAAAAAAAAAAAAAACACAACGAAAGTTAATGATGCAAAAAAAGTGGCGATGCAAAAAAAAAGGAATGGAATAAAAAAAAAGAAACGGTGCCCATCTTTTTTTTTTTCAAAAAGCCACAATGAAAGTTAACACTGCAAAAAAAAAAAGTGGCGATGCAAAAAAAAAAAAAAAAAAAAGAGTTATTCACTGCGAATATAAAAGTATGCAAATTTTAAAAAGGCACAACGGAAGTGAGCAGCCGGGAACCAATAATGATGACGCATTGGTGTTTTACCATCCAGGCACAGAAGACAACGGGGAGAAGACAAGAAAAAAATTAAGTGGAAAGATTATTGTTTAATTTCTCTTCATGTGCTCTTCACTGTGTCATTTGGTTAGGCCATGTAGCGTCTGAGTTGATGTGAAGTTGAACTAGATGATGCCAGTGTAGCGTTAGCTTCGGTTCAACTTCATATCAACTCAGGCACTACATGGCCTAACCACATTGAAAAGCACACGAAGCATAATTAAACTATAACTGTTCCACTTACTTTTTTTGCTCGTCTTCTTGCTGTCATCATCTCTTCATCTCTGCCTTTTTTTTTTTTTTTGCAGTGGAATTCGGTTTCTTTCTCTTTTTTTTGCATCGGTAACTTCCATTGTGACTTCTTATTTTATTTAATTTTTTTGCATTCTTTTTTACTTGCAGCAATGGCGGTTCTTGGCCACCGTGCACACCTGTTTTAAAAATGAGGAGGAAAAGATATTTACATAATTTCATGTAGGCTATGCCTGTATCTAAATTCAGCTGGGTTGAAACATTATTGAGAGACAGACTAAATTAAGGAAGGTGCAGGGATGCAACCACATACTCAACTCAACGATACAACAAAAAAAAAACCTCACTGCAAACATAGGTGTAGCCTGTTTGTGTCCCAGTATGCTAAACTTGCATGCAGTGGGTGGAGGGCCCTCACCCTGAGGCCAAACTTCCAGTTAAGTGACTGTCTGCTGCTGACAGAAATTAAAGTAAAAAAGAATTTAACACCATCCAAAAAGAAAGCAATCAACCCAGGTAGTTTTAAAGAAAATTGCATCAGGCAACAGAAATTTTCACCAAATACCATGCATGACATTGATATGTGATTGAGAGATGTTTCTGTTTTCTATTACTCAAGTTAGTCAGCGTCTCAAGTTAGGCTATACAATGTAAGTCTCAGCCATCAGAGTTGAATAGTCTACATGTATAAATATGTATAGGCCTATCACTATGGAGCATGACATTTATACAATCTCAAAATTACTTTCAATTTGAACTTCAAGTACAACCATGGAGTAAATTGACTTTCAACACAGCAAATATAATATTTAATTACAAGATATTAAATAAGATGAATTCAAACTGAGTGAAAGGTTTTCGCTCTGTGTGTAACAACCTTTTTTAGACACAAGAGGGCGCCATACGTTCATATGCCACACAACTATCTGTTGCGTGGCTGTAATTGGTGATAATATGAAGTGAGGTAAATGTAACAGTATATTTTACACATCAAAATTCAGTAGAATACAGAGTAAATGTTTTTTAATCTGCCATGCCATAGTATTGTCAAAATATGCATGTTGGCTCTATAACTGAAATTGTTGTATCATTTGTAAAGAAAAATAGATCAAATTATTAAAATCTTTATACATTTATATCAACAGCATAAGATAAGCTCTAAAATTTATTAATGACACAATTTCTGTTATCATATACGTGTAACGAAAGAGCAGATTCTTTTATTTGTTTTTTGTTTTGAGGGTTTTGAGATAGTGAGAATTTGACTTTTTTAAAGAAGTGGTTGATGAAGACATTGGATGAGTCTTTGTTGTTCCATCTTGCAGGATGTAAACACAAACACAGAGACACACACTGTGTAGGCACAGAGACACACACAAACACTTTCCCGTATCCTCTGGCACGGTGGCAGCCACTCACACTGCGCACCAGCAGGACCAAGGCCAACCGCCTGCTAGTATTTTTATAATCCTCATCCTCCCTGACCTGTTGCTCCCCTCCTGGCGCCAGTGGTCTCGGTCCTTCCCCTCTTATGCCTCAACCATACACACACACACACACACACTTGTGAACACACATGCTCCTGTGCACCCTGCAGCCCCTCCATGGATAATTGAGACCAGCTGTTGCAAGGTGCCTCTTCCCTCAACCCTGCACCCCTCCCTCACCCTGCTGCTGCTGCACTTGCCTTTTTGGCATAAAGTTATCCAGAATAACCCCCCACACCCTCTTCTTCATATCAGATGCCTTGCATTGTGTTTCCTACTTCTTTTATTAATGACAGATAAGTGTCCATTTTATCTATCTCTTATTTATTAGCTTCTCTACTGTAAAAAAGATCAACTCAATAAGCACAGAGAAATCATTTTAAAAGTTTACTAAATTGCATACAAATAAAATCCCTCTTGAAGTCAAGGTATGAGTTTAACGTTCAGGGCTTCCCCCTATTTCGTCCCCCTTTTGGATTATTTTTTCTCTGACAGTGAGACATGAACCAGTCGGCTGTGTCTACGACTTGCAGAGCTGTAGCTGGAATTTGAAAAGTTTAGGAAAGGAATGGAGGGGGGAGAAGGGGAGAGTCAGGACAGGCATGTCAGACTCTTTTCCAGCTGGTGTGGAGAGGTCAAACTGTGTGTGAATCTATGAGTGTGTGTGTGTGCATGTGTGTGTGTGTCATGGCCTCTCATTAGGGGGTGAGACGCTGCGGCTCCAGACCCCCATGGGAGGATTTCTGGGTGAGTCTGCAGTGATCCTGCCACTTTGATGCCCCTGACCCCCGTACCCCCCACAAGGAGGTTAATGAGCCTCAGTGAGCTCTGCAGGCAGGCTGGTATTCTATTTGTTTGTGTGTGTGTGTGTGTGTGTGTGTGTGTGTGTGTGTGTGTGTGTGTGTGTGTGTGTGTGTGTGTGTGTGTGTGTGTGTGTGTGTGTGTGTGTGTGTGTGTGTGTGTGTGTGATGGTATGGAGACATACAGAGGAGGTGTAAGGAACCCCCAGATTCCTAAAATGCTCTTTTGGCTGTGGTTCTTTGTTTTGGTCAGATCAGTCAGGAGGCCATTTTGAGGAGAATAATGCAATAAAAAACAGTTACAGTCGCACCTTCATATGCACCCATTCCCACATAGCATATCATATAGCAGTGTTGATGCACAAGGACATTTTCAGAGCATTCAATACACGGCGCAGGAACTCCCTTTTTGCCCCATTTGTGACTAGGTTCGTCGCTTTTACATTGTGTTTTCAAAATAAGAGTATTGTGCCTAATCTTAATAAAACAGGGACCAGGAATGAAGAGACAAAGTCACTCAGTTGCTGGATCTGTGTGACAAAAGCCAAATGACATTATTGTAAGCATCTAAGCCACCAGGATTGAACAGTGCTCTATAGAAATTATGCTTTTTACACATTGTGCTTCTGGTGCCTCCACAAAGCTATATGGCAAAATAAAATCACACCAACATCGTGCTTGATGAGCCTTCTTACAGCAATGCAACATTAAAAACTTGACCCGTCACTGCTCCGCATAGCTGAACATGCACTGAGACATGAATGTGTTGTTTTGGGAGGGGCAGTGCAAGTCTTGGCCCGCGAAGAGGAAGGCATGGCAGTCCAAAACAGGTGCTCAGACTCCCTTTTTTTCCTCTCATGTCTTTTCATCATTCACTCCCTTTCTGTCTTTCATCTCTCACACCTGTTGAGGTGTGAGGACCCATGCTGGTTTAGCCCTGGTGATAACTAGCATCTCCCTCACTAAACCTTTTTGCTATCATTCACCGCTTACCCTTGATGTGAGGTGTTACTTTGGGGTTGATTGTGTGTTTTAGCACTGAAACTTCAGTCAAAAAAGGGGGAAGGGGCAGAAAGGTAAAAGGAGCAAACATGGACATGAAAATTACTTTAATCAGATTTTTTAAAGGTAGAATAAAATGAGCAGCAAAATTTTTAAAAAAGTGTAATTCCTTTTCATGTAGTTATTGTTGGAAATGAGAAAAAAAATTAGCTCCCCTTAAACCTCTAAAACAAAGCTCTGTGCTGTTTGGCAGTCATGCTGAAATTGCCATTGTGCGTTAAAGGTCCTTTCACATCGGGACCGTTTTTGTCATGCGATTATTTCGGACATCAGTATTTTTTTTGAACCAGTATCCTGTCAATACAAGCATTCACATCGGCGACGTTTTCCCGTCCTGCGATGTTACGCCATTTATTTTTTCGGATTCTAAAGTTTCGTATACTGTGTGTCCACTTCTGACCAATCAGATAGCGTGTTGTTGCGATGTCTGATTCACCAGTATATCCAGCATGGCCAACCGGCTGATTGTTTACGTGTCTGAGAACAGAGTGCTTTTTAATAAAAGACACAAATAGTACAAAGATAACGACCTGAAGGACAACTTGTGGAGAGTCATAGCGTCGGATTTCTCATATGACGATGGTTTGTGTGTTTTAACAGTTTGCTAAACA